GATTAATCTTTTCGTAGTGAATGGTTATGTAAAGGAAACACATGTCCGTGAAAGATAGTCTCATGACACTAAATCCCGTAGTAGATCTATATGTATCGAGGCATCTTGCCTAAATCACTATCACAATAATATTGTAGTAGAATATCATGATTTCCAAGGATGTCAACCGCATTACTTATCGTCATCCGGTTGCATATCTAAAACTAGGCAATCACAATCGTGTTACATATCGTAGTCTGAATCCATGCCTGATCAACTACTGCATTACGATCGCCGTCCGATAGTGATCCATTGTGAATGTGGATAGATAAGTGTGTTTAACTTGTTCTAACTTATTAACTTATTGTTCCTTGCTTGCTTAACTTGATATCTTATTCTTTATTAAGATAATATTCCACGCAATTAGAAGATAAAAGCCACTTGTATTTCCTTGTATCATAAGTATCTTTCATGTTTGCTTAAAGTATGAATTTGTTTCTTGCATTAACATATAGTTCTCTCACGAATGCAATGTAATGCTCAATGAACTTAACAAAATTAACATAATTAAACTTAACTTAAACTTAAACATAAAACTTACAAGAGCAACTAAAGTACGTATATGGCATAAACTAAAGAACATAAAAATAACGTATAATGGAAGCGAACAAGAGTTTAGTCCAGTAGTAACACCAATGATTTTGAATATGGAGGGATCAGTTGGAATCCCTTAAATAGCACCTAACCAAAAATCAAAATGTATATCACCCTTAGAAAAACCAAATTCATACTTTAAGCAAACATGAAAGATACTTACTAGTCCCCTTCAACCAACACATCTTATTAATTTAAGTAGGTTTTTTTTTTGTAGAAAACAGAGCGCATGGGGCGCTCTAACCCTTAAATATTAATAATACGAGGCGTTTGAACGCCAATAGAGTCAAACAATAGCCAGTGTCTCAGACTCGGTCCCGGGTTATCCAAGACATGCAGCCCCGGATTCAAAGAGTGCCCAACATTCGCCAAAAAATCAGCAACATAGTTCCCTTCCCGGTAGACATGCTCCAGCGTGGTCTCCCATTCCCGTCTCAACAGTTCTCTTATAGCATTTGCCAATATACGGTGGGGGTGGCTCTCCCTTTCCGACTGAATGATAGCTAAAGCCGTCCTCGAGTCAGTCTGGATACGCACTTTCCGGACTCCCGATTCCCAAGCAATACACAGACCATGATATATCCCGGCCAACTCCGCGTGCGTGATTGAATGATCTCCCAAATTTGCTGAGAAGGCTCTCAAGAGCCTGCCGTCACTGTCCCGAAGCACCCCACCTGCCGTGGCACTTCCCGCGGATAGAATTACGGAACCATCTGTATTCAAAGCAGTCCAACCAGGAGGAGGCTTTTCCCAGCCAATCATGTCTTCGGTCTTCTCCCTTCCATCGCCCACGGCCTGTTGAGTTTTAACAAAAGCTAGGTGGCACTGATACTTCAGCTCCACTGCTCGGCGGGCAAGCATCCAGGGAGGCTCCAAACATTTTTCAAACACCCAAACATTGCGGTTCTTCCATAGCTTCCAGCAGAGAATTGCAAATAAGGAAGCATCGATCACTTTGCTCTTGCCCGCCAGATAATAATGTATCCATTTTGTGCTATCTTCTTCGAAGAAGTTCCCATCAGGCTCATCCTCAAGTACTTCCGACCATACCGCCCGGGCGTACGAACAGTCCCTTATTACATGCAAAATCGTCTCCGGGCCGCCACCGCAGACCGGGCAAGTGTCCGTCTGAGCAATATGTCTCCTGCACCTCTCGCCATTAGTAAGTAACTTACCTTGTAGCACCAGCCAAAAAAAGGAGCGAGTTCTCTGGGGTCCCTCTATTCGCCACGCACGCCGCCAAACCGGGTGAGACTGGCCAACCTCCTCCTCCGCTCTCAGAAGCTCGTATGCGGATTTAACAGTGAAACGGCCCGAGGGTGACAATCTCCAGATTGGGACGTCCGGGTCTCCCTCTGTCGGCACCGGGTGTAGGGCCAATTGCAGAACAAGTGCTTCGGGGAGAAACGCTCGCACGTACTGCAGATTCCACTCTCCATTCAGTACCAACTCGGCTACAGTGAGCCTCCTCGCCTCATCAGGCAAACCAATGGCGAAATCAGCTAGAGGTGGCCCGTCCTGCAACCAACAATCCTCCCAGAATCTCGTCTGCCCTCCACTCTTGACATTCCACATCGTCCCTTGAGGAATAAGGTGAAGGATCCGTAGCACTCCCTTCCACAGATTAGACATCCGACCCGTCGTTCGGGGCAGCCACCCATCATCGGTCTTCTTCAGGTACTTGCTTCGCACAACTCTCGCCCATAAGGAATCAGCTTCCGTCATAAGCCGCCAAGCTATCTTCATCATGAAAGCCTCATTCATATGAGTTTCATTTCGCATGCCCAGCCCACCCTGGTCTTTCGGCTTACAGACGGTCTCCCAATCCACCAGATGGATCTTGCGTCCTTGCTCGGAGCTCCCCCAGATAAACCCTCTTATCTTCCTATCAATATACTCCCGTACGGAGGCAGGCAAGAACGAAGTCTGCATCGTGTAAGCTGGGAGCGATGACAGAACTGACTGTGCTAACGTGATCCTCCCTGCCAGAGACAGTGTCTTGACTTTCCAACCAGCCAGCCTTGCATCTATCCGATCAATGAGCTCTGTGAATGTTGCTTTGGAGACCCTGTCATGGATCACCGGGACACCCAAGTATCGCCCTAGATTTTTCGTCTCCAGGATGTTCAAAGCATTGCTAATTACTCCTCCCTCCGCCAAGTTGACATTTCGCGAGAAAAAAACTCTTGACTTGGGCCTGCTAACTTGTTGCCCTGATGCTGCCCCAAATTCTCCCAGACACTGAAGGATAACCTGGACCTGCTCGAGGGAGGCAACACTGAAAAGTATGAGATCGTCAGCGAAAAATAAGTGTGAGAGAGTCGGTCCGCGGCTCGACAGCTTCACAGGCTTCCAATCCCCTTTCTCTACAGCCGCCGATATGAGGTGGCCAAGCCGTTCCATACAAAGGGTAAAGATATACGGAGAGAGAGGACAGCCTTGGCATAATCCTCGAGATGGTTCGAAAGGCTCAGTCAATCCACCGTTCCACTGTATCTGCATAGTCGGTGCGGAAATGCAGCTCATTGTTAAGTCAATAAAACTCTGGGGCACGCCTGCTGCCTGCAAAGTGTCACGAACAAAACTCCACTTGATCCTGTCATACGCCTTGGCTAGATCAATTTTAAGGACCATCCATCCCGTCTTCCCTTTCTTAGCCCTCATCGAATGAACCACTTCCTGCAAAATGCAAATATTATCCGTTATATGTCTACCGGGAACAAAACTCGTTTGAGTTTCATGCACCAGCCGAGGCATGATTGGCTTGATTCTCTCCGCCAAGCACTTCGTAAGCATCTTGTATGTAACGTTGCAGAGGCTGATCGGGCGGAATTGATCGATTATAGCTGGTTTTGCAACCTTCGGGATGAGTACCACGATTGTATCATTAAGATCCTTCACTCGCAAAGGCTGGGACCAGCAAGCTTGGATAAACTGCAGTACCGCAGGGCCCACAAACTCCCACTTCCGCTGGTAGAACAACGGATTAAGGCCGTCTTTGCCTGGCGCCTTAAGCGCGCCCATCGCCTTCACCGCACCCTGAATCTCCTCCATTGAAAACTGTCGTGCTAAGGGTAGCCACAACTCCGGAGGGACCTCGTCAAAACAGGCCTGCAACACGACACTAGCACCATTTTCATCAGTGTATAAATCCTCATAAAATTCCCTTGCCATATCCAACAGGGAAGTCTGTTCCGTCACCCATTCCCCATTATTATTCCTCAACGCCGCCACTCTGTTTCTCCGCCTCCGGCTCATGGTTCTTAAGTGGAAGTACTTAGTGTTGCTATCCCCTGACACAATCCAAGTCGACCGTGATTTTTGGTACCAGAGTAATTCTTCCTGTAAGAGGATATCTTCGAGCTCGGATCGAGCTAGACCGAGTCTCGGATCATCCGAGTCACCCCCACCCTGCACCTCCAGTCTCTCTATCCGTCGCAGAATAGCATTCTTCTTCCTGAATATATTCCCGAAAACATTATGGTTCCAATTTTTTGCATCCTCCGTAAACTCTGCTATAGAGTTGAGAAGGTCCGTCCCTCGCTCCCATGCTCCCGTAGCCATCTCGTGAAAGCCCTCATGCACCAGCCACGCCGCCAAGAATTTGAAAGGTTTTGGGCCAGCTGGCTGGAACATGGGGTTCAAAGTAGCAAGGATTGGGCGATGGTCGCTTCTCAGTCTAGGAAGGTGATTAATCACTGTATCCGGGAACATGGCATTCCAAGCAGCATTCGCCAAAGCCCTGTCGAGCCTCTCCTTAATACCTGTCCTGAACCACGTGTAAGGAGGCCCCGTGAACCCCAGATCGAGCAAACCAGCATCCAAGACACAATTTTGGAAATCACGTGCCCGCGCCGCATCAAAGGGTGCACCGCCCTGCTTGTCATTCGGCTGTAGAATGGAGTTGAAATCTCCCGACAAGATCCAAGGCTTCGTTACCTCATCCGCCATCGTACGAATAGCCTCCCAAAGCTCCCGACGCTGGATGAGCGCTGGGTTAGCGTAGATAGCCGTCAGCATCCATTGCTCTTGGCCGCTTTGAACTCTAACGTGAAGAAACTGGTCCCCTCTATCAACCTCAGTAATAGATGCCACCCCGGAGTCCCAGAGTAGCCAAATTCCACCCGACCTGCCTACTGCCTCTACCACAATGTGCTTGTCATATCCCAGATCTCGAATAACCTCTTCCGCTCTATTTCCACTGATTTTCGGTTCCACCAGAGTAACTATATTTGGTTGATAACGCCTACGATACTCCCTGAACACTCGCATGAAGCTTTTGCTCCCCGCCCCCCTACAATTCCATGTAAAGATCTTTATCATTGATAACACAGAATAATAGGGAACCTCAGCATTCTCTTGGACACTCAAAGTGAGGTAGCCTCCTCATTGAGGCCCCCTCCTACCTTCCCATTACCGTCGCTTAATACTTTCCCTTGTTGGCCATCCGTCCTCGTTGGTATGTCCCCTCTTGGAATGTTCGGAACTCTGGGATCCGGTGGCTTCTCTTGTTTGTTACCACCTATCCCTTTGCTAAGCTTCCCCATGTCACCTTGGCCCAGCTCCATCCACATGGCATTGCTACCCTGGCTTGGTGGGGATATGGTGCTAACGTGATTTGTTACCGTTTGTGCTATCGGACTAGGTCGGGAAGAGGAATACTGGGGGTCCGAGGGTGGTTGATCCACCGGCGGGTCTACTTTTGTATTGGATTTGGACTGCTCACAGTTGGTCAGGTTCACAGCCTCCTTCTCTTTCTCCCACTCGTTAGATTTTCCTTTATTTTTATCCCGTTCTTCAGCAGAATGCATGGGTCGTATTTCCGTCGAAGCACCCCCCTCGCCCCCTATCTCTTCCACCTCTAGTACATTAAATCGAGACCCATTTTGTCTTTCCCTCTCTTGTACCTGATCTCTCCGCTTTTCTTGGCTTCCCCTTTCCGGCTCTGAGGTCGGCCTACGAGACCTTGGCTTCTTCTTAGCGATCATCCACTCCCCATACACTGTATCTGGTTGCTTAGGCTCAGTCCTTGTAGGGGTAGCAGCGGGTTCCTCCACCTCCATTTCCTCATTCCTCCCCATGCAAGAGCACCGAATGCGCTCGAAATACGTACCACACTGCAAACATATTTTGTCAAGCCCCTCATATTGAATGAAGTACTTCTTCCCGTGGATAGTAAATTGGGATAACAAAAGTCGAGTTAAATCAACTTGGACGCAAACTCGGGCGTAGTCGCTTCGCGCCCCCGAAGTGTTGCATGGTCTACCCGCATGGGTTTCCCTATACGTTCTCCAATCCTCATTACCGCCACCGGGTGGAAATAGTGGATCGGCAGCTCCAACAGTCTAGCCCAAACAAGGGTCGACGAAATCTCATGTTCGTATGGATTAAAGTCCTTCGTCCATGGGTGTACGGTTAAGTAGTTATCACCCACTAGCCACGGTCCACCTGTTAAAGCTCTCTCATAGTCTATCCCACTCTTGAAACGAACGAGGAAGTAGCCTTTTTTAACCGACGTTACTTGAATCGATCCCGCCTTCTCCCAAATGCTCTGCAAACGCTTCAGCATCATCGTGTATGAGACTGTTCGCCCTAGCGCCTTCACCACAAGGGCTGATCTCCATTGACGACAGAACATTCTCTCTTCCGCCGCGGTGTAATGAATAGCCGGGCACTTAGGATCACCCTCGCCTTCGCCATCATGCTCCAAACCATCCTCACGTATGCTGGCCATCACATCTTCAGAGTCCGAATCTGCAATGTACCACATCTCAGACCGAGGCGCCTCGCTGAAAAGCCGTCTCGCCGCCCCTTTCCCATCCCCCCATGCCGGGGTTTTGGTACCGGCCGGGGGTATCGTTTGTTGCCTATCAGCTCCAACCTTCTCCGCCAATCCCCCTGCCTGACTGGATTCACCTGGTATCGGAACCGTTTGTTTCACCCTTTTCTTGGACTGCTGCGCCTCTCGTTCGCCCTTAGGGTTTGGCGAGGAGGTCTCGGTCGGGGGTCGCCTTTGTCCGGTCACCGTGTCTTCATGCATAATAACATCGTGGCCGCCCCCGGCCAGCGGTGTAGGCACCGGCGGCATGGAACGCTAGCTCGGAAACCCTACTGCTCGCAAGGGAGAATTTTCCTCTCTCCGAACTTTTCGGAAACCCTCCAGCCTTAATTTAAGTAGGTTGACACCGAAGGTAGGTGCTCCAAAAGGACAATCCCCTTTGTGAACCTCAAACGAAAATCGAGGTTAGATAGGTTGGATTTTGGGATCTTAGCAATGATTTTATCAAATTGGGACTACTTTGCAAGATGTGCAAATGTATAGGGGCTTGCTGAAATATCATTAATTTAATTACCAAAATTTGGTCCCTTAATTAAACTTAAATTCCTCCGATTTAGTCTATTAACTTAACTAACTTGGGCTAGTTAATTTATCAATCGTTAAATCAAATACTTATATAATTCTGGTGGTTTGAAACTTATAAACTTAAATGTAACCTAACTACGAAGATTAATCTAGCTTCCTGATCACATTAAATATCGTTTAATTTAAATCGACATTATATTCTACCCGGCCAAACTAATATTTCACTAGTTAAAAGTTAAATTATCTTAACCTATTAACTTGTGCAATGAATCCTCTTAATAAAATTATTCATATTATTGGATCAAATTATTAAAGTATCTATTACTTAATTGACTCATATAAAATCATTTTATATGATTAACTCAAAATTTTCATTAAGCTCGGGTAAAAACTGAGAAATTCTCAATTGCCTCTCAATACAACTTTTCAATCATAAATCTCTAGGGATTGGCCTAGTGGTAATGTCGAGATGAGAACATCTATCACACTCTAAGACTTACCAAAACTTCTAATACACAATACTATACCAGTAATATCAAACTAAACAAAATACTATCTACTCATCTAAACCAAGCGAAGTCAGACTCTCTTGCAAAGTTGGATCACAAGAACTTCAACAATAGACTATACTTTAGCTTCTCAACATGACATGACAGGCTCACGAGCAGCTTTATGACCATACAATCGTTTACATCTATCTCTCCATATGAGACACAATCACAACCACAGTAAACAACGTAACTTACTTGACAATAACTTAACTTCCTTCCCACTTCTCAGCACACCAACTTACTAACAAATCTCAATCCACAAAACTGGAGGGCCATGGTCTTGCAAACAAGACTGCCTATCATTGCAAATTAAGAGCATTGCGAAAAGAGACGGATCCGAGTTTCTATCCCTTTTGGACATAAAAAGACACATACAAGACACATTTTTACCCCATATACCACTAGTTTATCTTGAGTGACTAGTCTGTTTTGTTGCGCTAGCCAAAGGCGAAATCCATTCTTAGGCACAATTCCATTGCTCCATACCAAATGATAGTGCTACTAATGATTGAAGAGACCAACTAAATCTAGCCTGGGTAGCTAAGCTGCTTGGCTTTCCAACTCCTCAATCGTTGAGTTATATTGTCAATAAAAACTTGAAAATCTCTTCTTGTAAGCTTTCTAGTGATAAGTGGGACTTCAAGATACTTGACATGAAGGGTTCCCAACGAGAAACCAAAGGATTCAAAAATATAAACATTTCTTCCCTTGAGATTCCAGCGTAGAACATCTGACACTTCGTTGGGTTGCATTGAAATCTGGAAATGTGATAGAACTGCTCCAACAACCTTTTAAGCCTTGCTACTCCATGAATCAATCCATTCGTAAAGACCGTTAGTTCGTCCACAAAGCAAAGATGGGTAATGTTAAGAGGTTCGCATCTTGGATGAAAATGTAGCTGCTAGCTCTTCCTTAGTTGCCTTCTTCGTTAGGCTTTCAAACACTTTTATGACCACTATAAAGAGATAAGGCGATAAGGGATCGCCTTGCGTCGGTCTTTTGCAAGCTACAAAACTCCAACACAGACCACCATTGATAGCTACACTAAAATTTGGAAAGTAATGCATGCATTAAAAGTTATATAAAACTCTCTGTAAACCCCATCGCTATCAAAATAGTGAATAAGAACCCCCAATGCACTTAGTCAAACACTTTCATAATGTTTATCTTGACCACACACCTAGAGGAGATGGAAGCCTTATGATAAACTTTCACAAATTCTGAAACCAATAGAACATTATCACTTATGAACCAACTTCTAATAAATGCAGTATGCAACTTGCTTATCAACTTACGTAAAACTAGAGCAACTTTGTTGGCTAGAATATTCGAGATACCTTTGTAAATTGTGTTGCAACATTAAATGGAGCAAAATTCTTGCATCCTTTCGGGGTTGGAAGCTTAGCTATCATTGTAAATATTGTAGAGTTCACCACTTTAGGATGTGTCTAGTAGAGAAGAATCCAGGACCACTCTTTCTACATCTTCACCCACAATATCCCAATTTGTTTGGTTGAAATTAGCGGGAAAATCATCAGGATCTGGAGCTTTATCCTCACTCGTCTCCTTAAAGACTCCTCAAATTTTCTCCCTAGAGATCCCTCTCATAAGAGTATAGAATAACCTTCATTAGAGAGCTTATGTTATCGTAATAATTGATAGTACTCCACTAACTTCACCTCAATTTCACTGTTGGCTGTACCATTGAGATTTTTATAAAACTCAATTGCTACCGCCCAATACCTTTCACATCAGTAACCAACTTTCCATGAGAATCTATCATACGGGTAACCTATTGTCTTTGATTACGAATTTTAAATGTCTTGTGAAAAAATGTTGTGTTTGAGTCTCCTTCAAGAATCCACTGAACCTTGGTTTTCTGCTTATAAAACAGTTCCTCAGCCGTTCTAGTCTCTTGAAACTTTATAACCAACCGCTTCTCTTTCTCTATCAACACCTCAGTTGAATTTGCTAACACTTCCAACTAAGCTTACTCAAGTGCAAACTTCATCAACCTTGCTCTACTAGATATGTTAAAATATTGTTCCTTCTTTGCCTTACTTAGCCCTTTTTTTTTGTTTTTCTCGGTTTCATAGCGCATACATAATAAGAACCCCCAAAAAACTATTGTCCTCCATGCTTCACGAATAATGTCTAAGCAACTCAGGCAAAAAAGATAGTATTTGAAAGGTTCAGGCAGGGAATCCGGAAGAGGGGAAGACCTTAACAATATTCCACAATGAATCAGACACACCTGAAGATATAGTATGCGTAGAACTCTCAAGGAATTGCTCTAGCCACACTTCATTAACCAACAATCGATCCCATCTTTTAGCTATATGGTTAGCTTTTTGCTTATTCCATCATGTAAAGAAGGGGCTTGTTACCTTGTGATCAATCAAACATATCACTAATCCATCCTCTAAAATCCTGCATACTCTCAGTAACCATATGAACATGGGAAGCTTCATTCACCTAAGCGATTGCATTGAAATACCCCCCCCCCCCCCCCCCCCCCCGTTCAAAAAAAAATTGCCCATGCTATTTTGAGTCTCCTGTAATACAAGTAATTCCAGATAGAGTCTTACTCTATCTTGCTCTTTATTTTGTCTATAAACTAACATAAAGACCACCGTGAGCTGCCCTTCTATAAGAATATTCAGATAGTGCTCCATTTATGCTAAACAAGTGATTTTAATCCTCGGTCTCCAGAAGATCCAAACTCTAGTAGACTTTGCTTTATAGTAGTTATTTATATGTTTTCATGAAGAAAAAACACCTGAAATTGTTGCATCACTATTCTCTATAACCAACCAAGTTTCCAATATCCAACTAGATCTCTTCTTTACCTATTGTCTTTGATTACGAATTTTAAATGTCTTGTGAAAAAATGTTGTGTTTGAGTCTCCTTCAAGAATCCATTGAACCTTGGCTTTCTGCTTATAAAACAGTTCCTCAGCCGTTCTAGCCTCTTGAAACTTTATAACCAACCGCTTCTCTTTCTCTATCAACACCTCAGTTGAATTTGCTAACACTTCCAACTAAGCTTACTCAAGTGCAAACTTCATCAACCTTGCTCTACTAGATATGTTAAAATATTGTTCCTTCTTTGCCTTACTTAGCCCTTTTTTTTGTTTTTCTCGGTTTCATAGCGCATACATAATAAGAACCCCCAAAAAACTATTGTCCTCCATGCTTCACGAATAATGTCTAAGCAACTCAGGCAAAAAAGATAGTGTTTGAAAGGTTCAGGCAGGGAATCCGGAAAAGGGGAAGACCTTAACAATATTCCACAATGAATCAGACACACCTGAAGATATAGTATGCGTAGAACTCTCAAGGAATTGCTCTAGCCACACTTCATTAACCAACAATCGATCCCATCTTTTAGCTATAGGGTTAGCTTTTTGCTTATTCCATCATGTAAAGAAGGGGCTTGTTACCTTGTGATCAATCAAACATATCACTAATCCATCCTCTAAAATCCTGCATACTCTCAGTAACCATATGAACATGGGAAGCTTCATTCACCTAAGCGATTGCATTGAAATCCCCCCCCCCCCCAAAAAAAAGTGCCCATGCTATTTGAGTCTCTGTAATACAAGTAATTCCAGATAGAGTCTTACTCTATCTTGCTCTTTATTTTGTCTATGAACTAACATAAAGACCACTGTGAGCTGCCCTTCTATAAGAATATTCAGATAGTGCTCCATTTATGCTAAACAAGTGATTTTAATCCTCGGTCTCCAGAAGATCCAAATTCTAGTAGACTTTGCTTTATAGTAGTTATTTATATGTTTTCATGAAGAAAAAACACCTGAAATTGTTGCATCACTATTCTCTATGACCAACCAAGTTTCCAATATCCAACTAGATCTCTTCTCTACCTTCTCAATTGCGCCAACACAACTAAGTGCTTATCTGGGGAACTAAAACTCATGATATTCCAACTTAAAACATTCATTTACTCTTACGCCTTCCTCCCCCCTGCCTTTAGGTGGAGAAGGAGGATGAGCTAGAATCTTAACTACTTAACTTGACCTTGGTAAACTTGGGAATGCCCTATCATCCAATGTGATATGCTGTTGGATCGGATGTGCCTGTAGGGCAGCGAATTGAGTAACCAATCTACCACTACTTGACCATTAGTTACATTATTAGAAAATTTCCCTTTAGGAGTCTATTTGGTTTTGATGATAGTTAAATTTATGCATTGTGAACAATACATGTATAATATTATCTATACAGTTAAAGAAATTAATGTATTGTACTTTACATAGTTTATTTTTGTGTTAGTTATTGTATTATTGAAATAAGTTATACTACTTTTTTGGAGAAATATCACATTTATTCTTTGTTTTTAACATAAAATAGTAGCACATACAAAAAAATTAGGGATGTAGTTGAAACATAAAATAAACTCAACAATTTCAACCAACTATCTCAATAATCTCACGAAAACACATGATTTTAACTAGGGGTGAAAGTTTGGGTTGCGGGTTGTGGATATTCCGCAAACCGCACCAACCCGCATCCGTTGTGGGTAGTGGGTTGGATGTGGGTGGCAAAATAATAATTTTTGTGGTTAGTGGTTACCCACTATCCATCGTGGTTAACCCACAAAATCAATAACAACCACACTAATTATATTTATTTACTAAAAATACTTTATAATATAATAGTATATAAAAAGTGGGAGACAAAAAACTAAGGGTAAATACAATTTAATAGGCAAACCTTTCGTTTTAAACAATATAATAGCCAAATCTTTTCGAAAACAAATTAATAGCCAATCCGTTAACTTTCTATCCATTTGACCATTAGTTGACTTTGAGGTGTCAGAAATTAAGTGAGCTGGATGTTTTTTTTCTGACGTGGCTGTGACTAAAAGAAACCAACATGCCACATGAATTTTATATTATTTTCATTTAATTGATTATTTATAAAATAAGGAAAAAAAATAGAAAAGGGTAAAACCTTATCCGTTCTCTCTCTATTCTAACCAGACAAAAACCATACACCAAGTCGACTTTCCCTACTCTGTCGAATCCCTCTCCGACGAAGCCCTACCCTTCGATAGCCAGCGACCTCCTCTGCATCACGTTGCCCCAGTTTCTTCCTACCGCTCCTGCCGACAATCCCCCTTTTTCTCCCTGGAGAAGCTGGAGCATTCCATCTTTTGCCTAAGTAGAAGGCTGATATGAGCAAAGAGTACCCAGATCTGAATATTTCCGCCTGACATCGGCCATTGTTGCAAACCACCTCCATTCCGGCCCTCTTGTTTATCAACTGCCTCGGATGACTGCTAGCCTCGGTGAGAGGGTAGCGGGAGAATTCTGGGTCTACATATTCCACTTCTCCCTTCCCCAACCGAATTCCTTTGTCAGAACCGGCACTACGGTAGGACGGCATAACAAGGAGCCGGCTTGCCCCATTTCCTGGATCTCCTGAATCGAGAAACGAAGGCAACGACGGTCCCCTGGATCCCCTGATCTCCTCCTTGCACTCATCATCATTCTCCGAATCTCTAGCTAGTAGCTACGGTCTCTGAAAGGCTCCATCTTGTCGACAAAACGAGATCCAGAGAAACGTAGGTGAGAGAGGGATTGAGAAGTTCGGGTGCTGGCGAGCGCCGCCGGCGACCGCTGCTGGATGGTGCGTCGAGATCCCCTCTTCCTCTTCCCCACTCCTCTTGTCCAAAAGGTCGGGGCGAGGTTAATAAGTCATCATCGGCGTCCTAGATGAGAGAGAATTAGGCAGATATGTCGTAAAATGTAGAGGTTTGTGATTATGTATTTTGGCCTGTGATTTCTTGTTGATGGTGGCGGAAGCAAGTGGAAGAGACGCTGGATAAGTGGGGGAAGAGAGGCGCTGCCTCTAGTTAGAGATAGGTTTTACCCTATTCTATTTTTTATTTATTTTATAAATAAACAATTAAGTGAAAATAATATAAAATCCATGTGGCCTATTGTTTCCTTAGTCATAGCCACGTCAGAAAAAAAAACTTTCAGCTCACTTAATTTTTGACACGTCAGAGTCAACTAACGGTCAAACGGACGGAAAGTTGATAGATTGGTTATTAATTTGTTTTCGAAAAGGTTTGGTTATTATATTTTTTAAAATGAAATGTTTGGCTATTAAATTGTATTTACCCAAAAACTAAAGTAGCCACATAATCAAATGCGCTTTTAAGCAGTTTTAAGTGATAATTTTTTAGTTTATAAAACACTATAATAAAAATAGTGGAAAATAATCGATTCATTAAAATTTGGCACCTTTAGTAACTTTTATCTGTATGTTTTTGTTTCTGTGAAAGAAAATACAATATCATATATGAAATCACAACTCACTGACACAAAAGTTAAATACCAAACTCGAAAAGAAAAAATCTCCACGTTGAGTAAGATATATATAAAAAGTATACCTCCACGAATGGCACAATTGTATATCTCTATAGTCTTGCTACGAACAACAAATACGTTGGTAGCGGCCTCAACTTCATACTTGCATAGATGGATTTTTGCGGGTAACCACACCCAGCACGCACCAACCCACAGTGGGTAGTGGTTACCCACTAACCACTACGGTGTGGGTTGTGGGTAGCATAATTTCAAATTTGTGGGTGTGGGTACTCGCAAAACCCGCCCCAACATCCACCCTTAATTTTAACCATCGCTCATTTTGAGTGATAGTTTATGTTACATAAAAAAATTTATATTATTTGTGTAAAAACTTCACAAAACCAATGTATATAAACAATAAAAACATTAATACCAAGAAAAATTCTATAATATGAAGGCGCAAACATCCTACAAAGAGAAGTATAGTTCTCCTCATAAAACTCGATTTCCTTCTTAAAATTCAATAAATATAACCCTTTTTACTTCCGTCATTTTCGAACACAAATGTTTTTGCCAAACCATTTTTCACCGGACATAGTCATAGAGATGTCCGCTCTAATTCGGTTCTTCGTTTTGGTCTTCCTTGTTTTCTCAGTATCGCGCCTTGTACTACCTGTTGGTGGAATCATGGTTGATCACATCAGCAAAAGACAGCAAGAGCAGCAGCAGAAGGCGGGAAGAACAGAAGGGGTTTGAATGTTTGAAGTCTTGGTCTAAGTTGAGACTGTGTCGTTTTTGGTTTATTGCAATTGAGTCTTTGAGTTTGTAAAATTGAGTCAGTAAAGTCCCTGCGTGGTTTGAGGTCAAAGGCAGCAAGTCAGTAGCTTAGATGTCAAGTCAGTTAGCTTAATTAAAGGGTCGTGGGGTTAAGGGTGTGTTAGTGGAAGCCTGATTTGTAGGCTGAAGCTTAGTACTTATTGTTGATGAGATGCGTGGAATAAGGTTGGTCAGTTTACCAATTCTTTGAAACTATATTGTGGTATCAGAGCAGAGAGTAAACTGTAACCACAACTGCGAGATCAAGAGTGATTTGAGTGAAATTGATACTGATTCTGGGACAGGGAAACACGAGAGATACGAGAGAGAGACTGTTTCAAGGTTTTTGTGAGTGAAAACATGAGTGAAAGCAGCAGCTTTGCACAGGTCTGTCTTCCAAAATTCGATGGAGATTATGACCATTGGAGTCTGCTAATGGAAAACCTGCTGAGGTCCAAGGAATACTGGTCTGTTGTAAGTGATGGTTTCAAGGAACCAGCTGCAGGAGAAGAGTTGTCAGCAGTTCAGAAGAAGGATCTAGATGATAATCGTTTGAGGGATCTCAAAGCCAAAAATTATCTGTTCAGTTCTATTGACAAATCAATTCTGAAGCAAATCACTCAAAAGGCCACAGCTAAGCAGCTTTGGGACTCTATGAAAGTCAGGTATCAGGGGAGTGAGAGGGTGCAGAAAGCACAGCTTCAAGCTTTGAGAAGAAACTTTGAGATTCTTGCCATGAAAGAAGGTGAGACTGTATCTGCTTACTTTGGAAGGGTTATGGTTGTTGCAAATGACATGAGAAACTGTGGGGAAGTAATGCCAGATGTCAAAATTGTTGAGAAAATTTTGAGAACCTTGACTGAAAGATTCAACTACATAGTTTGTGCCATTGAAGAGTCCAAGGACATAGATACTCTTTCTGTTGAAGCTTTACAAAGCTCTTTGCTTGTGCATGAGCAAAAGTTCACAAGGCAGACTGTAGAAGAGGATCAAGCCCTCAAAGCTACACATGTTTTTGGAGGAAGGGGAGGCACTAGAGGTGGTGGTCGATTTTTTGGTCAAGGAAGAGGAAGAGGAAGGGCTCGAGGCTGGAACAGAGATGCTGTGCAGTGTTTTCACTGTCATAAGCTGGGCCATTTCAGGAATGAGTGTCCTGATTGGTTCAGTCAGCAAGCCAATTATTCCAGTTTTGACTCATCCAACAAATCACAAGATGACGTGAGAGATGATCTCCTGTTAATGGCTCAAATTGAAGAAGGAGGACATGCTGGTTTGATGGCTTTCCTGGAAACTCAGAAATCTGAGAAGAATCCAAGCTGGTGGTTTCTTGACTCAGGTTGTAGCAACCATATGAGTGGAGAACGACAGTGGTTTATTACTATGGATGCTGGTTTTGAATGCCATGTGAAGTTGGGTAATGGCAACAGGTTGAAGGTGGCTGGCAAGGGTTCAGTAAAACTGTTGGTTGATGGATTTCCTATGGTCATAAGTGATGTGTTCTATGTGCCTGATCTGTAGACCAACTTGCTAAGTATTGGTCAATTACAGGAAAAAGGTTTGGAGTTTCTGATCAAGAAAGATGTCTGCAAAATATTTCATGAAGTAAAGGGTTTTCTGATGCAGACAAGCATGAAATCCAACCGGATGTTTGTGCTAAGTGCAGAACAGGAAAATAGAACATAGGCTGAAGAGATAATGTGCTTACAAACATCTTTGCAGCTCTGGCATAGAAGGTATGGTCACTTGAATCAGAGAAGCCTGCTGGAACTTCAAAGAAAGGGTTTGGTTCAAGGCATCCCTCAGTTGAATGGAGATCTGGGAGTCTGTGAAATCTGTCAAATTGGAAAACAACACAGACACAGTTTTCCAAAGAAGAGCAGCTGGAGAGCAAATCAGAAGCTGCAACTCATTCATGCTGACTTATGTGGACCTATCACTCCTGAGTCCAATGGAGGAAAAAGGTATATCCTTACCATCACTGATAATCTCAGCAGAAAACTATGGGTTTATTTTCTGTCTGCTAAGTCTGAAACACTAGAAGCATTTAAGAAATACAAAGCCATGGTAGAGAATGAAACATGCAGCACTATCAAATGTTTGAGAACAGATCGAGGTGGAGAATTCTTGTTACAAGAGTTCAAAAATGTGTGTGATGAAGCTGGCATAAGGAGGCAGCTTACAGCTGCTCTTACTCCCCAACAAAATGGGGTTGCAGAAAGGAAGAACAGAACCATAATGAATATGGTTCGATGCTCCTTAGCTGATACAAAAGTTCCTGCTGAGTTTTGGCCTGAAGCAGTGGCCTGGACCACCTATGTGTTGAACAGGAGGCCAACAGCAGCCAATGAGGAAAAGACTCCACATGAAGTCTGGTCTGGTAAGTCTCCTTCAGTTGAGCATCTTAGGATCTTTGGTTGTGTAGCCTATGCTCACATCCATGAAAAGAACAGAAAGAAACTGGATGCAAAAAGCTTGAAATGCAACTTTCTGGGGCTGTCTTATGAATCTAAGGCCTACAAGCTCTATAATCCTACAACAAAGAAGGTAGTGATTAGTCGAGATGTAGTCTTTGATGAAGATAAGGGTTGGATCTGGGAGACTGAGCCTCAGAAAGATGTGACAAAACTGGTTCTAGAAGGAGAGGATGGGAACTGGTTAGATTCTGATACTGAAGAAGAAGTTCAGTTACCTAATGATGAGTCAACTAGTCAAGCTACTCCTGTGATCACTCCTTCAAGTAATCAGGAAGAAGAGGAAGAAGAAGAAGGTACTGATCTGTCTACTGGTAGCCTTGGTTTGCCATCACCAGGGAACTTGGGGCTTGGACATCGAGTAAGAAAGCCACCAGGATACCTGAATATCTATGATTGCAACTGGGCCAACACAGACTGGTGGGCTATGATTGCTCTTTCTGATGATCCTTTGACATTTGAAGAAGCTGCAGTTGATGAGAAGTGGAATGAGGCTATGAGGCAAGAGATGATGTCTATTAGAGATTATGACACATGGATACTTACTGACTGCCCACCAGATGTTATTCCACTTGGACTGAAGTGGGTTTACAGGACAAAGTTACAAGAGGATGGAAAAATTGACAAGCACAAGGCCAGGCTAGTAGTCAAGGGTTATGCTCAGCAACATGGCATCGACTACACAGAGGTTTTTGCCCCTGTGGCAAGGTGGGATACAATTAGAACAATTCTGGCCTTAGCTGCTCACCATGGGTTTTCAGTTTTCCAGCTTGATGTGAAGAGTGCTTTCCTCTATGGTGAGCTTTCTGAAGATGTCTATGTTGAGCAACCACAAGGATTTGTGGTTGCTGGGGAGGAAAATAAGGTTTATAAACTGAAGAAGGCTCTCTATGGGTTGAAGCAGGCTCCACGAGCATGGTATAGCAGAATTGAAGCATATTTCTTGAAGGCTGGGTTTGAGAGAAGTACACATGAGCATACCTTGTTTGTCAAAAGGTCTGGATCTGATTTCTTGGTGGTAAGTGTGTATGTAGATGACTTAATGTTTACTGGCAGCAGTGCTGTGATGATTGAGGAATTCAAGCAGTCAATGAAGGAGGAGTTTGCTATGACAGATCTAGGGAAGATGAGATACTTTCTGGGGGTTGAAGTCAATCAAACTGACAATGGTATTTTCATATGTCAGCAGAAGTACATAAGAGAAATTCTGGATAGATTTAACTTGAGTGAGTGCAATCATGTGCACAATCCAATGGTGGCTGGAGTTAAGTTAACTAAAGATGGTGATGGGATTCCAGTTAATCCAACTGAGTATAAGCAACTCATTGGCAGCCTTCTATATGTCACAGCCACAAGACCAGATGTTATGCATTCTGTGTGTCTGTTAAGCAGGTATATGGAAGCACCAACCAAACAACATATGTTGGCAGCTAAGAGGATTCTGAGGTATTTGAAAGGCACCATGCAACATGGGATTTGGTACAGAAAAGAGCAAGAGAATAACTGCTTAATTGGTTACACAGACAGTGATTATGCAGGAGATTGTGATGACAGGAAGAGTACTAGTGGGTATGTTTTTTTCCTTGCTGGAGCAGCAGTCTCATGGGCTTCCAAGAAGCAACCAGTGGTGACTTTGTCGACCACAGAGGCTGAGTATGTAGCTGCATCATTCTGTGCTTCACAGTGTGTGTGGTTAAGAAAGATTCTTGAGCAGATGGGATGGCTTAAAAGCATGGAGGCTGCAACAACAATTTGGTGTGACAGCAGCTCTGCAATCAAGTTGTCAAAGAACCCAGTTCTTCATGGACCTAGCAAACACATTGATGTAAGGTTTCATTATTTGAGGGAGCTGGCAAGTGAAGGAATTGTGGAGCTGAAGCACTGCAGGACACATGAACAGATTGCTGATGTGATGACAAAGGCATTAAAGTTGGAAGCTTTTCAGCTGCTGCGAAGTGGACTGGGAGTGGTGGATATGCTGGAGTTCAGGAGTGGAAAATGAAGGCTTGAAGAGGTGAACTGAAGCTTTGCTGGTGAGCTCCAGTTCAGGGGAGGATTTGTTGGTGGAATCATGGTTGATCACATCAGCAAAAGACAGCAAGAGCAGCAGCAGAAGGCGGGAAGAACAGAAGGGGTTTGAATGTTTGAAGTCTTGGTCTAAGTTGAGACTGTGTCGTTTTTGGTTTATTGCAATTGAGTCTTTGAGTTTGTAAAATTGAGTCAGTAAAGTCCCTGCGTGGTTTGAGGTCAAAGGCAGCAAGTCAGTAGCTTAACTGTCAAGTCAGTTAGCTTAATTAAAGGGTCGTGGGGTTAAGGGTGTGTTAGTGGAAGCCTGATTTGTAGGCTGAAGCTTAGTACTTATTGTTGATGAGATGCGTGGAATAAGGTTGGTCAGTTTACCAATTCTTTGAAACTACACTACCCACTACCGAACCCTCTTAAGTTCTTAACAAACTTTTCCTTTTCTCTGTAGATGCGAAGGTCTTTGTGGCTGGTCAGCTCTCAGCGCAATAAATTTGCTCGTTTCCATGGCCGACGTCGCTTCTTGCAATCCTCTCCATTCTACAAGACCCACCATTCGGGTTTTGGCAAGCTACAAAACTTAGCAGTTCACTCTTCACCTTCCAATTTCCTTCCCAACTTCACCGGAGAAAAAGCCTCCCGCCGGCAATGACGCCGACCAGGATTTTCGCCGGACTGTTCCTTCTCCTCGCCCTCTATTGCGCCCTCGACCCATTCAAGCACAGCGCAATCTCCGATTTCCCCGATTACGTTTCCCACCCCGTGGAGATGCCGCCGTGGTCGCTGGTTCCCACCGAGAGAGATGAGCTGAACTCGCTGCAGAAGTCGGAAATCAAGTTCCTGGGTCAAATTCAAGGCCCCGAGAGCTTGACCTTCGACCCTCTTGGCCGCGGGCCTTACACTGGCATTGCTGATGGCAGAGTCGTGTTCTGGAATGGCGAGAAATTTGTTGACTTTGCTTACACTTCCAGCAATAGGTCAAGTCAAACTTATGAATTCGAATTGGGGGGTTTTCCTAAATTCTTGTGGAAGGGAAAAAGTTGGTGCCGTTTTCTGGGTTCTTCTTGGATCCTTTGGGGCGATCTATTGAAGGGTTTCTGTTAGTTGAACTGTGATCAATTTGTTTTCAATTTTGAATGTTTTGCTGGTTCAACTGTGTTCTCTTGATGCATCGGCTTATGTTCTGGTCTGGATTTTCAGGTCAGCAATATGTGACCCTAAGCCTTCCCCGTTGGGATACTTGAAGAACGAGCACATCTGTGGCAGGCCATTGGGGATCCGATTCGATAAGAAGACCGGTGATTTGTACATTGCAGATGCGTATTTCGGGCTGATGAAGGTCGGACCTGAAGGTGGAGTAGCAACATCGATTGCTACCGAGGCAGAAGGAGTTCCATTCGGGTTTACTAATGATCTAGACATTGACCAAGATGGCAACATCTACTTCACTGATAGCAGTACCAAGTACCAGAGAAGGTAAAATAATACACCTTCAAATTTGAAGTTCATCACTTTCTCTGATTAACAGGTTCTTTTGCATTAGATATCCAAGTATACCGTTAGAATGGCTGCAGTTCTGTATGTTTCATGTTGTTCAATTGCAAAAGCAAATGACTTTGCTAGTGGCTATTGAATCATCTTCTTGTTGTCCCCCATGAAATGATGCTTTGGGAAGTTATGATGTGTTTCAGGAACTTCATGCTGCTGGTTTTCTCAGCAGAAAACAGTGGGAGAGTTCTAAAGTACGATCCAAGCACGAAGAAGGCCTCTGTCCTTGTGAGAAACCTTCAATTCCCAAATGGGGTGTCTCTAAGCAAAGATGGCTCCTTCTTTGTCTTCTGCGAAGGAGCACTCGGCGTGTGAGTCTTTTCTTCAATAGTAACTACCAACCGGTTTATACGTATAGTAGCTGACACAACGCTACTCTTTTTTGCCCTTGCGATCTGCCAGATTGCACAGGTACTGGCTAAAAGGAGAGAAAGCCGGCACTTCAGAGATACTTGCAGTTTTGCCTGGATTTCCTGACAACGTCAGGACTAACAAAGACGGCGACTTCTGGGTAGCAATCAACTGCAGAAGATCCTACTACATTAACCTATGCGCCAAGTTCCCAGCTTTCAGGACATTCCTGTTGAAGCTCCCGATTTCAGCCAAGGTTCACTTCCTGCTTCACATTGGATGCAGACCACATGCCTTGGTCGCCAAGTACAGCCCAGAAGGCAAGCTGATGCAGATATTGGAGGATCGTCAAGGGAAAGTGGTGAAGGCGGTTAGCGAAGTGGAGGAACGAGACGGGAAGCTGTGGATGGGGAGCGTGTTGATGCCTTTCGTCGGAGTTTATAGCTTGGAGTAAGTAGTAAGATACAGAGAGGGAGTTGAATGGTATAGAATAAGGTTGGTTTGTGTTTGTTCTGCCCCATATAGGAACTGAAAATCTTCTATTTCCCAGAATCCTACTATAAGGACTTGTTTGTCGAAACAGGAAAAATACAGGGACTATTGTGTAAATTACCATGACCATGTTTTGATAGTTGCGTGAAAAACGGGGGAAAAAGGAGGCCGGATCCGTGCGTGTACAATATTATTAATTTTTAAATTTTAATTCTACCTTTTCCTTATAAATCGTGGGCACTATTACCACTAATTTCGCCCCAAGTAACTCCACGGCCGAGCTTTATAAAGTAAGTAACAGAACAGAGGGGAAAATCCCGAAAAACGAAGAACAGCAAAATTCCTTCTTCCCTGTCCCACTCCGATCATGGATGGAGAAGATTACAGTGATTACATGGACGACGGCGACGACGATGAACCCAGTGATTACATCGACGAGGACGACGATGAACAAAGTGATTACATCGAGGAGGACGACGACGATAGAAACACCAAAGCCGCCGCCGCCGCCGCTTTCTCGACGCTCAGCAAAGTCGACATCGAGCGGCGCCAGGAGGCTCTGATCGCGGACGTTTCCACCCTCCTCTCCGTCCCGAGAGCCGTGGCGATCGCGCTCCTCGTCAAATTCAAGTGGGATTCGGACACGGCCCAGGAGAACTGGTTCTCCGACGAGGAGAAGATGCGCCGCTCCTACGGCCTGACCGCGGAGGCGGACGGTGGTGGTGGTGGGGTAGAGAGTCGTGACGAGTGTCAGATCTGTTTCGAGAGATTCGAAATCGAGGAGCGAGCCTCGCTCTCCTGCGGCCATTCCTTTTGCAGGATCTGCTGCTCGACGTACATCGAGCTGAGCATCGACGACGGCGGCGCTGGATGCCTGACTCTCCGGTGCCCGGAGCCCAATTGCCCTGCCTTGGTCTGCCAGTCCGCCGTTGGAACCCTAGTCAGCGACGGCCGGTACGTGGAGAAATACGCCAGGGTCCTCCGCCGGTCCTACATCGAGGGGAAAAAGGGGCACAAGTGGTGCCCTGCTCCCGACTGCGAGACGGCGGTCGAATTCCAGATCGGCGAGAAGTCCAACTACGACGTCGTGTGCGATTGCTCGCACGAGTTCTGCTGGAACTGCGCGGAGGACGCGCACCGGCCCTTGAATTGCGCGACGGTGGAGAAGTGGATCCGGAAGAACAGGTCCGATTCGGAGAACGTGAATTGGGTGCTGGCGAACACGAAGCCGTGCCCTAAGTGCCGCCAGCCGATCGAGAAGAACCAGGGCTGCAACCACATGTCCTGCAAGTGCCGGTTCGAGTTCTGCTGGATGTGCCTGGCCGACTGGTACAACCACGGCGGCGGCGGCGGGGGAGGGTACTACGCCTGCAATTCGTTTGCGGTGCAGCAGAAGGCGGGGGGGAAATTGGGCGAGGAGGAGACGAGGCGGGAGTTCGCGAAGCGGCTGGTGGACCGGTACGCGCACTACTTCGAGCGGTGGGGGGCGAATCGGAAGGCGAGGAAGAGGGCGGCGGAGGATCTGGAGAAGCTGAGGAGGGAGCATTTCGCGCAGCTCGTTTCCGACTACGGGCTGGCGGATTCCGAATTGAATTGCGTGGGCAGGGCGTGGATGCAGATCAGGGAGTGCCGGCGGGTGCTGGAGTGGACCTATGTGTACGGGTACTACCTGGCGGAGGAGGTGGAGGAGGAGGAGGGCGGCGGCGGAGGGGGGAGGAAGAAGGTGAAGAAGGATTTGTTTGAGTTTTTGCAAGGGGAGGCAGAGGTGAGCTTGGAGAGGCTACATAAGTGCGCGGAGAAGGATATTTCTCCGTTTATTAAGGCCGCCGCCGCCGGCGGGGGAGAACGAGTGGTGGAGGAGGCGGAGAAGCAGGAGTTCTTTGAGTACAGGTTGAAGCTGCAGGAGCTGACCAGTACGACGGGGAACTTCTTCGAGCGGCTGGTGAGTGGGTTGGAGAATGGGTTGGACGTTGGAGGATGTAAAGCCGTGAATTAGAGTTAGTTTAGGATTATTGTTATTATCAAGTTAATTATAGCAAAAATCCTTTTTGAAGGTTAGCAACATTTATTTTTATAGGACTTTTTTATGATTTGAATTCGAGTAAGCGTTTTAGTTTGAGTATTTATTTGATCGATCATTGGTCAATAAAATGTGAATTTCAGGTTAAACTAAAAACAATGGTCGATTTGAGTTTTGAGGCTTTAAGACGAATTTGTCTAAACCATCACATCCTCGATTTAGATTTCCAAACTCATACCCGCTCCATACCCCCATGCGGGGAAATTTTTGCAAATCCATCTCTGTACGCGTGATTTTTGCATTTTTGGTACCCATGGGTAATACCCTCACCGCACATCTAACATTATAATATCTCAAATTTTTACATATAAAATTTTAATTATAACAATAAATGCACCTACTATATCATAAAGTCGACAAAGAGACAATTGTTCTTAATTCAGTTCAAAACATCTTATCTTAAAACAACCATGAATCCATTAGATAGAATACAATGTAATCTCCATCGTTATTCATGCAGGCGAGTTGCAGCCTGCAATATTCCGAACCGAGGATGCGCTTTTTGAATTAACTCACTCTCACAAGAGCGCTTTTCGGACTATATTTTCTCTTACTCCACCCATTTCATAAAGTATTATGCCTGGTTTAATGACTACTACCACACATCTCCCTCCATAGCAAGCTAATCAGCAAGCTCCATATAAGTCTCTCCACTTTAGCAACTAGTTTATTTCTTGCAAAAACCTGAACTGCCTAGCTTATGTAGCTGTTAAAGTCAGGAAGCACTCTACAGGTCTGTTGAATCAACTTCAGACTATCTCCCAACACAACTTACATATAATGACAACAAAATAATAAGTGAAATCGAGTTTGTTGGGCAATTCAACACAAGTTACACAATACACAGTTATTAATAGGGATGACGGTTCGGTTACAATCGAACCGAAATTCATTTGTACTCGAAAAATAAAAAATGCAACCTCTATAAACCGAACTCGAAACTGGTAAGGAGAATTTGTACCTGAAACCCAAAATTCCCGTTATTTACTTCGGTTTCGGTTAAAGCAAACCCGAAAATCGAAAATATGTGTTGCCGGAAGCTTACACATTTCTTGGATCCTTTTTTGGTTTTTTTGGTCCTTATCGGTTTTTTGGTTCTAAACCAAACCAAACCCGTTATAGAACAATTCGGGTTGAAACCGAAAACCCAAAATTGACAGCACTCTTATCGGTTCGAGTTTGGTTTAAACCGAAACCCAAAACCATTATCCCATCCCTTGTGGTGATCAGTTATTTATCCTATTATTTTCATATATTTGATAACAAGTCAAACGAGATGTTCTTGCTCTGTGTTGAATTTAATGATACTCTAAAAAACTATGATGTTCAAACGAGAAATCAGACCTGCCGAGATTGCAAAGCTCAAGACGATCTCCTTTGCTTTGGAAGTGGTGGAAATGAAGGGGTATTTCCAGGTGGAGATTGAGTCAAATTGCCTGAAAGTGGTGTCGAAGTTGAAGGGAGACAACGCATCGCTGACGGAGGAAGGTTGGCTAAGTGAGGAGATTAGGACCCAAGCCCAATATCTGGGCCACATAAAGTGGATCTTTGCAAAGAGGGAGTGCAACAAGGCAGCCCATATAATAGCCCATACACTTTGTAATTAAGACTCCCATGAAATTTGAGAGGCTAGACCTCCAATTCTCCTAATCCCGCAACTAACGTGGACTGTAATCCTGTGATGGCTAATTAATAAAATTTTCAGGTGTTTTTATGAATAGAAAAGACCCATGTAGTGGGGGAATACACATTCCGAGGCCACAAGCCCAAACAGATTTAATGGGATATGTAGCATTTTTTTTTTTTAAGATGTGTTCATTAGGATAAAACGATTAGGCCGAACCCACAAAGGAAGTGTACAAGCTAACAAATGCAGAAAGGCTAATATTACGGTGCCGCTATAAAACTGCGGCACCGGTGACGCTAATTCTTATTGGGCCACATGGAGCTGATGTGGCATTGACTAGGTTCATTTAACTCAAGCCCAAATATTAACCGAGCAAGCTGCCCGAACCCGACCACCGTCAAACTAACGGGATGCCTCTTTGTCCATTTAGTTTTTCGTTTAATTACATTCATTTTTCTCAAGAAATAAACAAGCAAACAGGGGAATTTTTGGCGCCTTCCTCGATCTCTCGCCTTGCGACTGTGAACTGTTCCGGCGAACTCCACCGTCGCCGATCAAACTCCAAACCCTCTTCTCGTTTAAATAGAAGATTATAAGAAAACTGTTTGAGCCTCAAACAAAAACCGTTAACAGTAAAGGGTGAGGATAAAAATGAACTCAAAAAATGAATCGTCGTCTCCTCAATCTCCCTCTCCGGTGACGGATGGCCTATCGAAATCACTTTTGACGACTCCGTCGTTGATCAAATCCCAAGGTCCAACGAAAGAATCTAAGGCTGATCATTCTCTGTTTCCTTCATTTATTCTGCAGAACATAGCCGTCGATTCCCAGTCGTCACCTGTCACTCTGTCTCCGTCGAGCAAAACTTTGCCACGATACCAGATGATCCCTAGTCAAAGAATAAGATAGCTAACTCCCGCTGCTTCTTCCCCATCGCTGTAAACCGTCCCCGTCAATTGAAAATTACTGGGAGTTGTTTTTACCATGGGCGGTGCCTTCTGGTCTGTTGCCGAATGCTTGGATTTTATGCTCGTGTGTTGTTTTTGGGGGTGTTCTTATGTTCTGTCATACTTGTTGTGTCTTGTCAGAATAGTAAAGAGTTTTAGTAGGAACTAGGAAGACTAATTATCACGAGTTGCAACAAGTTCATGATTCGCAGTGAGAGGCATACGAATCTGGACTAAGTAGCATTCGTTTTCCAGGTTATATTATGTTGATGGATTCGGTGTGTGGTTCGTTACATGTCTTAGCAATTCAGGAAATGTTTAAGGGTAAGGAGAATCAACTGCCTAGACTGAATTGGTCCCAGCATGCAAAGATATACACAGAATCCTCAAGTTGGATTAGTAATGCCCAGAAGCCAGGAGTCAGAGGTCCTGTTTTCCTCTTTGTTTAATGAACCGGGGCTTGGATCATCCATGTTATAGGGTTCGTTCCCTTTCCTAAATGCTTGCGTCGAGGCCAACACGATGAATATGTTTGTTCAGGTTAGAAGCGGTTCAGCTCCACCAAACAACCAATCCACATTGGACGAAGAAGTTCCATACTACACCTTTGATGTCTCAAACACACCACAATTTATTATCCGGACATTAGCTAGAGAGTTAGGCCTCTCAAACAAGCGATCGAATTAGAGAAGTCGGTTAAAGGTTATTGTTGATGCCAAGCTCCGAGGAGTTTTGGGTCCATCAGTTATAATAAATTCCAGCTAGAATTGCACATTCATCCATCATTCAGAACCTATGAAGGAAGAAAAGCAGGAGTGATTTGCAAACTTGCTTCTCGATTTATAATATTAGAAAATTCTATTGAGTTAGACAAAAAAGGTAGAACTCAGCCTGAAGGAGTGAAGGGTTAGCTCTGTGTTTCTATACATCAGTTCACTTACTAGTAACTCTGCAAACAAAATCACTGTTCAGAGTCATTCAGTAACAACTCCTACCCCAAACTGTCATTCTTGAACCCCGCCACTTCATCGCTGAGCTGACTATGCACTCTCTTCTATCATTTAGAACGAAACCATTTTCAAGGTCTACCCTAGGGACGGATGAGCAGACACCCAAGTCTGGTGACTGAGAGACACTGTCGGGTTTTCGAACACCACCAGCACTTGCAACTCCTGGCCTAAAAGTATAAAATATAAATCAGTAATCATCAAAATAGTACATGATCATGTCATACAGCAAATTCTGAATTCAGTTAAATAAAGACTAAAAGTCTAAAACAAATTGACTTGGGCTTATCAAAATGAACTAAGAATCAAGCATGGAAAGTGGACAATTACTTCTGATAATATTTGGTAAGCAGACTGCACAATTACTCAAACACCTTAGTAAGTATCATTGTCCACGTTTCAGAACAAACCGCGATTCTGGTAATTACTAGAACTTTACAACCCGCCAGCATGATATACGCCACGCAAGTAAAATCTTAACTGAAAGTTCTTTGTAGTCCAGCGCCTAAGATTTGTAAATGTACCACAAAGTATAGAAAATTGAACTATAAACATGATCAAGAATTCAAAAAGCACCTTAAAATTGCATCATAATATTATGAGGATCTGTAGCTAAGGTGTTTTCACTCTTCCTGTTAGGCACCATTACACTTCTCTTACTGCTTCAAGGCTAAACCAGAGATGGAGACCATGGAATAAAGAAACAAACAAGAAGGGGCACCACTATTTGAATCAAGTCTAACAGATACGAAAACATTCATCATTTCTGCTTTCCTCACTGTTTCTGCATATATATGTAGATTCAATCAAACAAACATTATCAAGTAGGTTGCCGAAAACAACTGAAGAAGGGACCTCAAGTTTCTGAACAATTAACCACCAACTTAACACCTTAGTTATTGATGTATGCGTAAACAATAAACAGACCCAGTTGCACACCTGAAACCATGAGAGTCGCCGTTCAACCTTGAACGGGCGTCAGTGCAGCCCCTCTTTGGGATCACGGTATAAGTCAGTGGGCTTTGTAGGGACTGAACTTGAAGAAGCATCAGGTTTAATCCCAGAGCGCTTCTTCTTCATTTTTGTCTTTTCCCAACCATCAACATCAATTGATAATGTCTGTTCATCAGTCTGAACAGTGCCATTACTTGCGAGCCTCAGTGCTTCCCTATCTCGATCAACAGTACAGGTGCTCGGGCAAGGGCACTACTCTGCACATTAAAGTAAAAGCCTAATTTCTTTTTAATGCAAGCATATGCAGGGAAGGGCACCTCCCCTTGAGAGCTAACAGAGAAACTAGTAAAAACCTATTAGCGCAAACCCAGAATGAAAACTAAATAAATCCAAAACACCACTTTGTAGAGAATATGACCAGATATCTGAGTGATCAACATGGATACCAGAAAAAGGGGAAGTAGTGGTTCACAGGCAGAGAGTGGCATACATTTCCGGATAAGGTACTCAAACGGAAATTACAAGTCAATTAAGATGGTGAAACAAATGGGAATCAACATTTCATGTATACAAGTAAGGTGATAGAATACAAACCCTCACGTCCCTAAACTGTCATTCTGACTGAGCCTTCTTCTCCACTGCCTTTGTGGGGTGCAATTGAGCCAATCGAGCACTTCATGTAGCACTTTCTCCTTTTGTTTCTTCCCTGAACAGCTGTTTGTGAAGAAGTTCGTAATGCCAGGATTCTTTGACACTGGATTGACAATCTGGATTGTGGAGCCCTAGAACTCATTAAGGGAATCTTGGGTGGAGAAAACCTTGGAAATCGAGTTGAAATGGTTGGAACGAGAGGATATGGAGTGGGTAATCGTCGTTGGGAGCGGGAGGAGCGGTCGATGATGCCGATGCCCCTAGAAGCCGGAGCCCGGAGGAGCTGCTCGCTGCGTGTGTGGTAGATAACTTCGCCGGACACTGCACTGTTTTCAGAATAAGACGAGCGGGAGATGGAGGAGACGTTTTTGGGTTTGCTTTTCGCATTTTTTTATCGTTTTTAATTTTTGGAGAAAAATAATTAAACGAAAACTAAATGGAAAAATAAAACATTGCCAAAAAAATAGAAAAAATAAAACCAAAGGGCATCCCGTTAGTTTGACGGTGGTAGGGTTCGCCCAGCTTGCTAGGTTAATATTTGGATTTGGGTTAAATGAATCCAGTTAATGCCACATCAGCTCCACGTGGCCCAATAAGAATCAGCGTCACTGGTGCCGCAGTTTTTACGGCGGCACCATAGTATTGGTCATGCAGAAATGAAAAGAAAAAGCCCAAACAATAAGGCCCAAAGGCAAACCCGAAAGCCCAATAGGGTCCGGGCCCAGAGCCAAAACAAGAAAGAGCCTTTCCCGAACCCTAGCCGCCAACGTGCCCCTCTGAACCTCCGCCACCACGGCAAGCACCACCACCGCTCCCGACAAGTCGTCGCCACCCATCCTTTGAGCGTCGTTGTGAGCCAAGCTCTGGTTTGGGTACCCACCAAACCCGAAAGGCAAGATGAGGAGGAAACAACCACCGAAACATCTCATCCCCGAGCCGATCGCCATGCACATCTCGTCGATCACCACGAGAACCGAGCAGAACAACCGGACGGCCGGCGGAAGCAGAGAGTTAGAATACACCAGTCTTCAAGCTCATACTACATCTCTACACTATATATGAATATGATAGTGGAATGTAAAAACTATTGTTCAAGACCAAAGTGAAAAGTAGGAAGGAATTCATAAAAAAAAAGTGGGAAGGATACATTTATCTTCACAGTTATTTATTTATCTCATGTAAACTTTTTCCAATATCAGGATTTAAATAAGGGTCTATTCGGACAACACTAGCTTGTCGGATTTGGGTCATGGATTTGGTACCCAAATCCCAAATTTGATGGATGTAACATAAGTCCATTGTTTGTTGAAGGGTGCTAAATTCGTGCGGTCCTCGGATTTGGTCTTTATTTTGGAACCAAATCCGTGGACCCCACGGGCTTGTAAATCCCACATATTGATTTGGTATTTGCAAATCCTTGATGGTTAGTTATTTATTTAACAAATCCATCACAAATCCATCATCAAATCTATCATGCAAACATTAGACTCTTCAAATCCACAATCCAATAAATCCAACATAAATCCCAAGGTCTTTATTGGCCAAAACCCTCAATTTTCAAATCCAACAAGCAAACGACCCCTAAATAGATTTGTTGTAGATTTATAAATTAAAAACATACACTAACCTAAAATATGACAAACATAAGACATTTCAATCACGGTTAGCTAGTCCACTGAATCTCCTATAATTATTTCTATGGTGTTAACATATCAATTTTGATTTTATAATTATTTTAGTTGAAGCTTTCTCAGCAATTAAGAACATTTTTTCTGATTTATAAATGAAGGATAGTCTTAAAATTGCAACTCAAATATCATTGATTGTAATATTGCATATCAAATTGCAATGTCGAATACACATAAGTGATGCAGAATTCTTAAATTAATATGAATTTTCAGAACTACCATGAAGCAACACTATTTTTGTGTAAACTATAATTGATTAACTCTCTAAACTTTTTAGGCTGGTTATGTGCTAAACCTTAAACCTTTTGTTATCCGACATGGTTGGACCCAACAATATGGACAATATATTGGGTTTGATGTGTTATTTATTTCACTGTTTTTGGATTTATTAATGAATTTGTGAGCAATGACATACAAATGAGTGATGATGAACCCGATTATACTTTTTTCCTCTTTATATGAATAAAATCGTTTAAGACATGATCTAACCTTATATTCATTCGAATGATGGGATGAGTTTGGTTTTATAATTTATTTTAATTAGTTTATTCAGAATATTCTATGCTTGAAATTTTTTATGTATGATTTAGAAGTATACTTATTATCTGTGGTATTAGTGGTAGTCGATTCAAATGTAGTATTTCATCAGGTAATAAAAAATTGTGTACTGAATGCATTTATTGAGTATCGTTTAGCTTGGTATTAGAAACGTGTACAAACTTGTTTATCATTATGCATATAGCTAGACCTAGGCACCGGTTCAGGCCGTCCACTGGCTAGTACGACACGACACAAGTAGGCACAACATGAATACAAAATATATTAGTCGTATTGGTACAATCAGAAATCCTTCATTGGGGCATACTAAACTTAAACTTAATGGGCTCGCGCACAAGTACGATACAGTCTATAGTGGCAAACTCAAGATTTTGTTGGAGAAGTCATTAGTTGATAAAAATAAAAGCTAAAATTGAAATTAAAATTACAAATAAAAAATTTATGCCCCCTCACGTTCCATTAGTAGTCTGCGTCCGGGCTGATAAAATATAAAAATGGGTTGACATAGAACGACACGAAAACCGACAGACCTTCCAAAAGCACGATATGGGATAAACGAGACTAAACCAAACCCTTATCATGCCGGCCAAATTACGGTTCAAACTCAGGTACATGTATAGCTGTGTGATTTAATTTTTTTTTTATTTCGATAAACAATATTTACATATTCTCTAACTTTAAATAATTCATCCAAAGGATGTGCTCAAAGATAGTAATCTCTAAATCAACTCAAGAGTGAGCAAATTCATGTACTTAATCAAGGATTCTTCCGGAATTAACTATTTAGTACGGGTTCAATCCAACCCGGATCAACCCAACCCACGTATCGAAATCGAAGGCCGAGCGTATTAAGAAGACGGACAACTGGACAAGAAACACCGGGCCAACCGCAGTCCGCAGAACATTCCGCCTCTCAACGCACCGTATCCTCCTTCACCGTTTTCCTTCCTTCCTTCTCTTCGTCACAGGGTGGGGGACTGGGGGAAAGTTAATCTGCTAACTTGAAAATTCGTTAGCAGATACTAACTGATATCTAAAATACACGAACTAATATCCAAATACTAAAGTATCTAGAGAGCACATACTAGTATTCAAAGTTTGCTAACTTATATTCACAATGAATCAACTATTATCCTAAATTCACAAACTAATATCTAGACAACACATAATAGTATTCAAACAACACATAATTGGTATCCAGATAACACATAAGAGTATCTAGATAACCCAAAAGAGTATCCATATTGAATACTAGTTGGTTGATTGTGGATATTAGTTGGTATCTGCTATCTGAATACTAGTTTGTGATGTTTTGAATACTAGTCTGTGCTATCTAGATACTTAGCAGACTTGGATTTTTTTTTTTTGTAATGCAGACATGGATATTAGTTCATTCATTTTGAATATTTGTTAGTATATACTAAGGAATTTTCAAGTTAGCAGAATAACTAGGTTGGGGGACTGAGCTGGAGGGCAGCGGCAAAAGAAAGCGCACGAACGACAACGGAACGGAACCCAGAGGCAGAAAGTAAAACTTCTTCTTGCTCGGACACGAATTTCCTTGGCTTTCACTACACTGTTCCAAAGAATCCCCGACCTTCCTTCCGGTGCCGGAAACAGAACTGGGTATACCCCGCAGTCTGGAAAGGTTTCTTCTTTCTCCTTTTTTTTTTTTTACCATTTTATGGCTGGCATATAATTCTGGTAGAGTGTTAGACTGCTGGGTAGCCCAATTTTTTGCATGGGGTTTAGTCCAACGAACCTGAATCAGCTTGCTGAGTCCGACTCACGAGTTGACCGAATACCTCTCTTGGTTCAGGAGTGGATGGTCTCTCTCTATTGATCACATTGCCCGTGAGCTCGCTCGCCGGCGGTGCCGAAACCCAAGTCAGTTAAAGCATGGTGAGTCGTTAGGTTTACTGAATTCCCCCCCTTTCCCCTGTGAGCTAGCTCCCTTGGTAGAATCTGATTGTTTTGTTTGAACTGCATTTTTGGGCATTGATCAAGCAACGAGACATTAGAAAGTGGCTGATGAAGCCACATGACAAGAGCAACGGCAGTGCAAATCCAGCACAACCAGCAAATGTCCCTTTAGATATTTTGTATTTTTTTTTGTCCAGCTAAAGCTACCAATGCTACCCCTTTTGTGAACAAGCAAAGAGTGCATCCTCTGATGGTTTCATTGTCTACCATTTAGTTGGAGGGTGAACAGGAAAGTGCTGGTCGAAGGAAAACCAGCAAATACTTTGCGGATAAACAGAAGCCGAAAGAGGAAAAAGAGGTGGTGAAAACCCCGGCAAAGAGAAAGGCTCAGAGTGATGGTAATCCATCTGTGAAAACAACACCTCCTAGGAAGGTTCAGAAAGTTGATGATGACGATGAAGATGACTTTGTGGTGCCACCTAAAAAGGTCACTGTTGAGGCCACCCCTAATAAGAAATTGAAGAGTGGGTCTGGAAGGGGGGTCAGTCAGAAGGCTGTAGCAATTGATGGAAGTGACGACGATGAAGTTGAGGATGCTGAACTACCTCCTAAGGTTGGTGGAAGAGGTCGTGGTGGTAGAGCGGCAACTGGGCGTTCAGCTGGTGGAAGAGGAAGAGGGGCCAGCCAGAAGGCTTTAGAAAATGATGCGGGTGACGAGGATGAAGTTGAGGGCACTGAACAACTTCCTAAGGCTGGTGGAAGAGGTCGTGGTGGTAGAGGCCCAGCTGGGACTTCAGCTGGTGGACGAGGCAGAGGCAGTGGCCGTGGTGGATTTATGAACTTCGGTGAAAGGAAGGATCCTCCACACAAAGGAGAAAAGGTGCAAAGCATTGAAAACTATAAGTCTTTTGTGCTGTTAGTTATGGAGTGTGATCCACTTACGTTATTGGTTTTTATTTATTTATTTTAGGAGGTCCCAGAGGGTGCTCCCGACTGCTTAGCTGGTTTAACATTTGTAATAAGTGGCACTCTTGATAGGTACTCGCCCTTATTCAGTCGCTCACAGTCTGTTTTCTGAATTCAGAGTTAGCTCCTTATGCTTGTTTCATATGTTAAAGTAACACTCTTGACACTCACTCTTGTTTACTCCCCCCCCCCCCCCCCCCCCCCCCCCTATGTCTCGTGTGAAGGTTTGTATTTCTTCTGCTTCTCATGTTTGCTTTATCTGTCATGAAATTTGCTCTGTTTACAGTTTGGAAAGAGAAGAAGCAGAAGATTTGATTAAACGTCATGGAGGTCGCATTACTGGATCTGTCAGCAAGAAAACGGTCTCCCCTTTTCTATTTTTACTATGTACCACTGTGTAGTCATATTGCCATGTTATTGATGATGTTCATTTGCAGAGTTTCCTTCTGTGTGACGAGGATATCGAGGGGCGAAAATCTGCCAAAGCTAAGGAACTTGGGTATTGTAATTTCACTACTGAATATCTCACTTTTGTTTTTCAAGTTTCTGATGTTTTCCAAGTTGACTGATCTGAGGGCTACATGTGCAGCACTCCGTTCCTTACGGAGGATGGTCTTTTTGATAAGATCCGCTCATCAAAACCTGCAAAGGTGCCAGCAAAAGAAGGGCCAAAGGGTTCTGCGGAGAAAGCTGCAACCCTCCCGAAGAAAAGTCCTCTAAAAGCAGAAGTGAACGGTATCAGATATTGAAATTCTTTCCCTCAATCTTTATACCAATTGATGTTTTCTGTCATTCACCTGTATATCATATTTGTACCGAAATTGTTCCATCTCTAGATAGGTAGATTGTGGAACTAACTTGTTTCTTGAGGACGGTGCTCGTGATGATGGTTCTTAATGTCTAGAACTTTTAACAGTTTAGCATAAGAACTGCATTAATGTTTCTTGCAGTGATATGCTAACATGTTGCTTATTATATCTGCTTTGGACTTGGTCCATCTTTCCCATTGTGTTCGTGGTATTAAGAGGATTAAATCTGAATTATGGTGAATAGAAGATGTTGAACCCTATATTTTCTTTCTGAATCAAACTAGAAACCCTGGTACTGTTAGCGTGTCTCTCCTATTCATGCTTGCTTAAAGCTACATGTTCTGCGGATGGCTTTTGAGTGGTTTTATGTGTTCTCAAGAAGATGTTGCTTGGAATTTCCTTACTGTCTTGTTTGCTTGACTTCTTGATGAATGAAAGAGGAGATTCTTTGCTCCCCTGTTCGCTCTCCATCATTTCTTGGGTGGTGATGGGTGTGATTTTTTTCTGCTTCGTGGTCAAACTTCTCGTACAAATGCAGTAGGTAATGCTTTGCCTTCTCTTGTTTATAGGAAACTCTTTAGCACATTGTTCAACTGGTAAGGCTTCAGCCAAAGCTGTTTCTCCTGCAAAGAAAAGGCAAGTCGTTGAGCACTCCTCCCTGCCATGGACAGAAAAATATAGGCCTAAAGTTCCGAATGACTTAGTTGGAAATCAATCTTTGGTATGACTCTATAATATCAGATGTGTGCATTCTACATGTCTCTCTGTATGATTGGGGTGATGATTATCGTTCTTCTAAACATGAATAGGTTAATCAGCTTCATACTTGGTTAAAGAGCTGGAATGATCAGTTCCTTGGAAATGGAAAAAAACTTAAGGGTAAAAACCAAAGTGATTCTAGTGCCAAGAAAGCCGTGTTACTAAGTGGAACACCGGGCATAGGGAAAACAACGTCTGCAAAGCTGGTCTGTAAGATGCTTGGTTTTCAAGCAATTGAGGTGACTTATCTTTATCTATCTTATTCCTATTGAACTATTTTTTTCCTGTTTACTCCTTTTAAGGCCAGCTTAATTTTTGCATCTTATTCAGTTGCTTTATCTGATGCTTAGGTCAATGCAAGTGACAGTCGTGGAAAGGCAGATTCCAAAATAGTCAAAGGAATTGGTGGAAGCAATGCAAATTCCATAAAGGAACTTGTCAACAATGAATCTCTGGGCTCTAAAATGGACAGGTTTATCCCATATTTCACAATGGCAGTATGAAAGATGTATTGTTTTGCTGCCTCCAACATGAGATTTATTCTTCTCAAATTGCAGGCTACAACATGAAATGACAGTTCTCATCATGGATGAGGTAGATGGGATGTCTGCAGGAGATAGAGGTGGTGTTGCTGATCTTATTGCTAGCATAAAGATCTCCAAAGTGCCTATTATCTGTATCTGTAACGATCGATACAGTCAGAAGCTAAAAAGTCTTGTAAATTACTGCCTGCCTTTGAACTTCCGCAAACCTACAAAACAACAGGTTATGCATTTCTTTACTCTCCATATTCTGGTCTAGCTACTGTTTATTTTATTATCTTATTCTTGGATCATCTAGAATTTTTAAAACTAGATGGATCGAATTTGAAGTGTCCATTCTGTCCTAGCTAAAAAGCATGTTGGGTCTCCATTGGAGATCTCTTGTTTCTTCCTTAACCTTGGCTCGTCATGCTTGGTCTTTCTGTTGAACTCACGTGATTTTGGTACATTGATAGATGGCAAAGAGGTTAATGCAGATTGCAAATGCCGAAGGACTTAAAGCTGACGAGGTAATGCTCTTATGTTGCTTTTTGAATTTGTTCTAGTGCGGATGCTATCCCGTGAATTTGTTCAGCATGTTGCTTCTGCAAATATATTTTTGACTAGGCATTTGGATACTTGGTCAAACTCAAATTTTCTATATGTTCAATTAATGAGTTCAATTTTGTTACCTTGCTGCTATGTGTCGATAATGTGATCACAAGTCTCATTCTACCCAAAAAAAAAAAAAAAACAATAAGCAGTTCTTAAATATTTTTTTATAGGGTTGGTTTGTGTTTATTGTTAGGTGCTACATAGGGTGACATAAGCAGTTCTTAAATCTTCAGCATTCAGCAATCAATTCTTGGTGATTTCACTTACTGTTGCATTTAACTTCTGAATGACTCTTTCTATCTTTGTGGTTCTATCCACCTTTCTTTACCAGATCGCCCTTGAGGAACTCGCAGAAAGAGTGAGCGGAGACTTGCGGATGGCAGTAAATCAGTTGCAGTACATGAGTCTTTCCATGTCGACTATTCAGTACAGTGATGTGAGGCAGCGCCTTCTAAGCAGTGCAAAGGATGAAGATATCTCACCATTTACAGCCGTTGATAAGTATGTGTTTCATGATCCTTCACCTAGAATGTCTGATACCTTTGGTTGGAATCCTCTCTTTTAGCTTAAGCACGTGAAAAGGATGCCACTGATTTTTACTTGTGTGTTAGCGCCTATGGGCGTAATCAAAGAAGAAATGAATACATTGGGCTTTCACCACTTGAAAATGCCTGACAGTCATTCAAGATTATCTGCATTTTAGTAAGTGTATGCAAGAGACGCAGTCATAGTATTAGAAATAGCAAGTTCTCCATCATATCTAAGAAGTTAATTCAACTGAACCCTTCGCTGCTCTTTTTTGTGTATGCAATAGACGCAGTCTTAGTATTAGAAATAGCTAGTTCTCCCTCGTATCTAAGAAGTTAAAGCAACTGAACTCTTCGCTACTCCTTCTTCACCTAGATGGTCTGATACCTTTGGTTGAAATCATATTCTTTTATTACATCTTTTGCTGGCTAACCTTCAAACTGAATTTACCAAGAGGTTTTGCTATTCACTTGGGGTTTGCAGTGTTGAGAGAATTGAGTGCATGGTCGGGCCGCTTTCTTGAGCTTGCCAATTAATAGTAATTTGTTTCCCAGTCCTGTATTTATTTCTTAGAATTTAGAAACCTTGCACTAACTCATTGATGACGGATTTAGGCTGCTTGGCTTTAACGGAGGGAAGTTGCGAATGGATGAGCGGATTGACCTCAGCATGAGTGATCCAGATTTGGTCCCTCTTTTAGTTCAGGTATTTGTATCTTTAACTATACTTGGTGAGAATGTATACAATGTAACTATCAATTCAACGGAAAAAAAATAAAAATAATGTAAGTATCAGGACCATGTCAAATCAGAGGTAGGTTGTGTTATACATGTCAAGAACCAGTTGTTCCCAATAACTCGAGTTGTTGGAAGAGGTTCAATCGTGAATCATATACCACAACACTAACACGCCCCCTCAAACGAAAACCACTCATAAGGGCTTGAAGTTTGCACAGATCTGAAGACAAGAATACCATGTGCTTAACAAATGGGGGTCACCGGGAATCGAACACAAGACCTCTCGGTCACAGAAGGCTCTGATACCATGTCAAGAACCAGTTGCTCCCAATAACTCGAGTTGTTGGAAGAGGTTCAATCGTGAATCATATACCACAACACTAACAATACATTCTTAGTTGCTCCTGGAAATGTTCCAGTTGAGATGTTCTTCTGAATTTAATTTCCCATTTCTTATCTGAGGCCTATTAAAGAGTCTTCTTTAACGCAAAAGCATTTCCTGATGACCCGTATTTCTAGCTTTGTTTTTCACATTGTAATTTAAATCGCAAGGCGTTGGCACGTTAGGTGGAAGTTGGTGAATGTGTAAAATCAACTATATTCAAACTGACCACTTTATATGTAGTCAAATACGTGCAGCTCAGACATCCTGTTTGCTATTGACAGGAAAACTATATTAACTACAGGCCTAGTGTGGCTGGGAAGGATGAGAATGGGATAAAACGGTTGAACTTGATTGCTCGTGCTGCAGACTCGATTGCGGATGGCGATTTAGTAAATGTACAGATCCGAAGGCATAGACAGTGGCAACTATCCCAGGCCAGCTCCCTAGCATCTTGCATCATCCCGTACATAACTTATATGTAGCTCGAACAGTTGTTTTCTTGGCTTTGTTTGCTCTTCGTCTGTTAAGTGTTTCATTATTTGTTGTTTTCCCGTACCAGTGCTGCGTTATTACATGGACAGAGGGAGACCCTTGAGCCGGTGAGTTCTATGTCTTGCCATTGTAGTACGTCAGCCTAATTATTTTCTTATTAGCTTGTAATTAGATCTATTTTCTTTTTTCAGGGGGAAAGGAATTTTAATAGGTTTGGAGGCTGGCTAGGAAAGAATTCTACGATGGGAAAGAATGTGAGACTATTGGAGGATCTACATGTTCATCTCCTTGCATCCGGGCAATCAAACATGAGGAGGTAAAAAACTTGAAGCAGTTACTGTTTTCTCTTTAGTTTGCGTTTTACCATGCAACTGGAGGGGTACTATTGATGTTCTTATTATCTATATCTTCCTTTGTAATGTTTAAATTTAGCTTCTTCTATTCACGTTGTTAATTGTTTACAAATTTTTTGGTTAATGTAATCAAATGAATAAATGACTGATTTTACCAGGGGTGCTCTTCGACTTGATTATATTACTCTTCTTCTGAAAGAATTGACTGATCCTCTACGGATGTTGCCAAAGGTGTGTGCTCCCTTTCTCTACCTTTTTCTTTTGTTGCTATTCTACTATGAAGGAGCAAATTTTAGGCCCATGTATCTAATCCCACCAATCTTTTTGAAACATGATCCAGGATGAAGCAGTAGACAAGGTTGTGGGGTTCATGAAGGAATACTCAATAAGCCAGGAAGACGTGGACACAGTTATGGAGCTGGCTAAATTTAAGGTTGGCACCAGCTACTTTATTGGCGTGCTCGAGCTTGATTATGCTTATTGAACTCTTAAGCTTGTCTTATATCTATTGGCGTCTCGGATCAGGGGAACCCAAATCCATTGGATGGTGTTCCATCGGCCGTTAAAGCAGCTTTGACAAGAGCATACAAAAACAAATCAGGATTGGTACGAGCTGCAGACATGGTCCCATTCCCTGGGATTAAAAAGGCCCCAAAGAAACGCATTGCAGCAATGTTGGAACCATCTGATGAAGGCTTAGGGGAGGAAAATCTTGATGCAGTTGATGCGAGTGATGAAGAGAACTCTTCTGACACGGATGATCCAGGTTAATTACTAGTCTTTTTCGTGTTTGTTGTAGCTATTAATAGCCTGTTACACACATGCAGATAGCTTCCTAAATTTGTTGATCAAGTAGCTCTAACTTATACATGGCCGTCAATTCTGAATTGATTCGACTGTTCTTCATGGTCCATTTACCAGAAAGCACAGTTGATGGGGCTAAACTGCAGAGTAGCCTTCAAAGCCTAAACTCCAAAGGTGAGTCAACCTGTTGGTCTGTGGTCGTTTTTCAACTATTCCATTTTCGAAGTCTTTTCATATTGATCAGCTGAGCCAGATTTCTACAGATTCTTACATATGTGATGAACATTGATGAAACTGCACTCTGTTATTTTCTGCATCGTTGGCTATAATATCATACAGGGATAAAAGTCGAGATGGAACTGAAGGGCGCCCAAAATTCGAACGGGAAGAAGAAACCGGGAGGTCGAGGTAAAGGGGCATCATCGGCTGCTGGTTCAGCAGAAAAGAAACCCTCGGGCAGGGGAAGAGGTGGCGGCGGGTCAGGCTCTTCTGGGACCAAGAGAAAGAGATAGTTAGAGCTACACTGTAGATGACCTGTTGAACACACTACCGAGTCGACGCACCATCCTAGCAATTGGATGCATATTTCGTAGCTTGCTGGCGAACTGTAGATCCATGCGGCATTGCATTGTTCGCCACACCAAGTTTTCACACGTTAGCCATTGCTCTTACTCTACACCGAAAACCGAAAGAGCAGCATGTTTCCAAGAATCGATTTTGGAGGGCATAGCTGATAGATTAACGAGGATAACAACATCCACCACCTCTCTGTTTTAACTTTAGATTCCATAACTGAAAGAGGGTGAACAAATTTTTTTCAATCCAGATTAGAACAACCAATGAATCATTGTTGTTGTTTTGGTATATAAAAGCCACATTTGCGGGAACACTAACCCATTTGGGTAAATTTTCATGGACTTCAGGGTTATTGGCCAAGAAGGTCACATGGCAGCAACTAGTGACGAAAGTGAGATAATAGGCACTCGAATTAGAGAATCTTCGCAAACTATTCTATAGCGCAAAAACGGTACAGTTCATACAGCAACCACCGACGGTACAGTTCGTGACTTCGTGTGTTAGGCGACTGGAAAGCCTTTGCGTCGATTCGCCGGCGGAACGAAGGGAGATATAAAGAGATGAGAGGAGCGTTTCTCTACAGAACCGCTTCGTCGGCGAATTTGAAGATCAGAGCTCGTACAGCAACCACCGCCGGAGCAGCCTACAAGCTCCTCGCATCCGCTTCATTGAGCACGGGCTACGACGGGGAGGAAGGACTGCCTAGCGCTTCCAAGGTCAAGATTTTCGATCGGGAACTCAAGCGGAGACAAGTGTAGTATTCTTCTCTGTTCAAGCGCTCGTCGAATTTTTGAATTGCAGGTTGGTTTCACTTTTGATTTAAAGATTTGCTTCTTCTTTTACTTGCTTTGCTTAGCGCGATCGAGCTGCGTGGTTGTCGACGGCGAAAGATCCTTTTGCAGATGCGGTCGCTGAGAATCTACTCGATCGTTTGGAGGTTGGTAATTCTAATGCTACCCAATCACAGTTCCTACTAGTTGGGGAAAATGAAATGAGCTCCCTTTTTTGTTTGCTCCAATGGGGGAACATGAACATTTTCTATTAGGGTTCTGTAACGGAGATTTAGCGAGCTTAGTAGCTTTTACCATTGTTCTAGTGGTTGAACGTGTTCGTAACGTCTCTAGCATTTTTCGTAGGATTGTAAGAAGACATTTCCGACTGCATTATGCTTAGGAGGTTCATTAGCAGCTATCAGACGCCAATTACGCGGGCAAGGTTGAGTTTTTCTTCTCGTGCTTAAGGTTCGGTAGCGTATTAGACACTGATTTCCCCCCATCTGTGGTTCTCTTCATTGCCAGGGTCTATTGAAAAGTTGATTATGATGGACACATCTCATGACATGATCAAATCATGTAGACAGGCTAATGAGGGTGCATCTAATAATGATAATATCGAAACTTCATTTGTGGTTGGTGATGAAGAGTTTCTACCCATGAAAGAAAGGTGTGTATGTGCTGGCATGCTTGTGTTGGATCTTTCATTTGGATTCAAAGAATTTGTAGAAGGGGAGTTGGATCTTGTGGTGTAATGGTTCTGTGTTTTTGCTGCTCTGTGAAGTTCGGTAGATTTGGTGATCAGTTGTCTGGGACTCCACTGGACGAATGACCTTCCCGGAGCCATGATACAGGTGGATGTTACCGTCTTTTCGTCCTTCTTTTCCTTTTCATGTTTCTCAGTTTTAAACATCAGTTTCCTTACATGTTGCTGTAATTCTTGTTCATTTTTTATTTGACAGTGTAAATTGGCGTTGAAACCAGATGGCCTATTTTTGGCAGCGATTCTAGGCGGAGAAACATTGAAGTATGGTTTTTTGGCTCTTTTGTTATCCATGCTTTTTTTAAGGAGATGCTAAATATATATTAGCATATTGATTCAAATCACTGCATTTGTAACATATAAGGGAGCTGAGAATAGCCTGCACTGTGGCTCAGATGGAGCGTGAAGGCGGCATCAGTCCTCGAATGTCACCTTTGGCTCAGGTATGAATGATCAATTCCTAATCCGGTTTATTCCATTAAATGTTTTAATCTAATCTGCGGTATTGTGTCATAAAGACATGAGATTAAGCCGAATGGTTTGTTTCTGCTGCGTTGTATCAGGTTCGTGATGCAGGTAACTTGTTGACCAGGGCAGGTTTCACTCTCCCTGGTGTGGATGTTGATGAGTACACAGTTAAGTACAGAAGTGGTGAGCAAATTCCGTTTGATGAAATTTTGATTTTTTCTTGAGCCAATTTAAGTTTTCTTGGAAGTATGCTGTCCAAGGGGTATCATCTCTGAAATCATTCACTCTCTGTCTTGGATTTGCAGCTCTAGAACTGATAGATCATTTGCGTGCAATGGGAGAAACCAATGCTCTTCTTCAACGAAGCAATGTAAGAACACTAGAAACCCCTTTTAACTCTTCTCTCCAACATTTCCACTTATTATTATTTGTAAAAAAACCAGATCCTGAAGAGAGAAACAGCATTGGCGACTGCTGCAGTCTACGAATCGATGTTTGGCGCAGAAGATGGCACCATTCCAGCTACGTTCCAGGTCAGCATTTCTCATTTGCTGACACTTCTTCACCGCCTCACACGAATGCTGTTATAGAAGCTCCTGCTCTCGGCTTTGTTTTGGTACAGGTGATTTACATGACAGGTTGGAAAGAACACCATTCTCAACAGAAGCCCAAAACGAGGGGATCCGCCACTGTGTCTTTCCAGGACCTTCATAAGCATTTGGCGACTGATCAAAGCTGAACTGAAGCCTTTTCTTCCATTAAGCAATTTGGTTAAAGCCTTCCAGTTCCGGCTTCTAAACCAGTATTTGTAGATTATACTCTTTCATGTTTATTTTATTCTGAAAACATCCACTTCAAAAGCAAATGTATTATGGATATGTCTGTCTTGTTTATCAGAGCTAGAGTGCACAGAACATAAGTACAAAATAATCAAAAGGTTTACGGTTCACCACCAAATTTCTCATTTCTCAAAACCCAAGCTAAACCTCTTGGGATATTGGAGGTTGATTATAGGGATGAGAGGTTTAGCTTGAGTTTTGGAGAATTATAGGATTTGGTGGTGATTGGTGAAGAAGGTAGCATAAGGAATGAATCGGGCTGAATTGAGAAAAAGGTGGAAGGGTTTGCTTGTTTGAAATCTAGAGTTCTTGATGAAGAGGAACGAGCTGGTTAATGAATAAGTTACCGTCGGTGCCTTTTCGCGCATCGTCGGCTCTCTTGCGCGCCTAATAGTATGAACTGGTAATGTTGAATGTTGTCATTTGTGGGATTCAAGTATGAATATTCATATTTGGATGTTATTCTAGATGTTGTATTTTACAACTTTAAATGTGAGTATTGATAATTTGGTTTGTAATGATGTATGTTATTTATTTGTAAATCTAGATTATTGAGAATTTGAGATTGACTTTGAGATGTCAATGACTCCCCAATATCAACTACCCACATATCCTGACAAAATCGGCTTAATACAGTTCAATTTTGATCCAATCATTTACCTCAAAACCTTTGTCAAACCGGCTTGATGACATAGTCATGTTTAACAACCTTGCAATATCATTCATATGTTGACTTGACCCCAACTTCAGACAAGGACTGAAATGTAGGAAATAAGAGTTTGTGAATTCAATTATTAAGGGGTGAAAGAGGGATGGCTAATTTGTACTTTTTATCTTTATAGCGAATAAGCCGGCAAGGGGAATTTGGAAAGGTCCATCTGGAGAGTGGCGATCGGCAATTCTGCACAGCGGCGTGGAGGATAGCGCTCTGTGATTGAAGACGAAGAGAAAAATCGAAGCGGAGAGAGGAAGAGAGGAGACGCCGGAGAAGAAGAAAAGCTAATGGGATATTCCGAGAAATCATTTCTGATCAGGCAGTGGGATGAGTACAAAGGGTTCTGGGCGGAGAGGTTCTCGTTTCTGGACAACTACTCGAGGTTCGTCAAGCGCGACAAGCCCCTCCCGTCTTGGTCCTCCGATGACGTCCAAGAGTTCATCGCTTCCGATCCCCATCACGGTCCCACTGTAAGCTCTCTTTCTCTCTCTCTTCCTCTTGCCGTCGAAATCTTGCATCGTCCCAGTTTCGAAGCTTTCCTCGCCCTGGTTTGGTAATCTGATTTAGGGCCTCGATTCTTATCTGTTTCATGAAACCTGGTTGGGATTCTAAGGATTACCTGTCATTTTACGATAGGAATTTTGGGAAATTCCTCTAATTAGGAGATGCTGGTAATGACAAAGAGGATTGGAAATGTAACGAGGATTTTAGACAGGGATGTAGTGCTTGTTTATTACAGATTCCATTTGATCGTTTTTGCTGTTTGATTAACTGATCACGTTGGAGGCTGCAACTGCTAGTTATGGTTAGAGATTGTATCCCTTCAATTCCGACACTGCATTCTGAGTCAGAGGAATCTCGAAAATGAGACATTTCAACGAGCTTTCTGTCGTTCCCAAATGTCGATTTCGAAACTCCGTTAGAACAATTAGGTTGAGTTTGTTCCATCCGTAGGCAGAAGAATGTTCTGTTTAGTTATCTTTCGAGTAGTGTGCAATTTCCTTAGAGTACTGGTCAAGAGGATATCAGTCAGCTGGAAGTTTTTGTATGTTTGCATTAGCTGGTTTTTTTTTTTTATGTCTGCTTCAACAATGAAAATCGAAAGATTACCTCCTCTGGTATTGTTCCTTTTTTGCATCCATAAAATCCCATCAAGTTAGCTTTAACAGAACCCAAGAACCATATTTCATTGTCCTTTTGCTTGAGGTATTCCTACAGGTCATTGTAATATTGAGTTATTGACGTTGATGTGTGCTGTGGAAATTCATGGTAACTGAAGTTTATCCTATTTCAGCTGAAAACTGCTAGAGAAGCAGCATCCTTTGGTCTCACCGGGAGCCTTCTTGGAGCAGTATCAACTGCTGCTTTTGCCTGGAAATACTCAAAGAGCTTACATGGTAAGCACATGCTCGTTTTACGATACTGAATTACCAAAGCTGTTCATCTCCTGTTGGTAATCAGTCTTGGTGTAGGATTTCCCTCTTCTAATCCTTTGTTGGGCTTGTGAACAGAATGTTGAAATAATAATGTAATGCTGTTCATTGCCCGAGTTCATCTGTGGATGTTGTAGATGTCTCAGCCTCTTTTGATGACCCCCTTTTTTTCCGCAGGTGCTGGGCTGTCCTTCGTTGCAGGCGGTGCCTTTGGCTGGACATTCGGTCACGAAGTCGCGAATCACTGGTACCAGCTTTACAGGATGGACACCATGGCTGCACAGGTCAAGTTCTTGGAGTGGTGGGAAAAGAAATCTGAAGGGCAGTCGTAAGTTTCGCAGGATTCCCCAATCCAAAATCCATCTCTTTCCCCTTTCCCCCCTTTTTTTGCAAGATCCTGTAACTGCTGGTGGTTGATCTCTCTTACTGAAGATGTTTAGGAACCGGAGAGGTTTTCGCCTCCTTTTTTCTGTCTTTTCTGTAGAGTGGTTGAATGATAACGTTGCGAGCTGTTCTGGGTTGGATTCCGACCTGTCGTAACAGTAATAATAGTAGTAATAGTTACAGGGTGGTTCCTTTCCCTTCTAAATGAGATTGGCAATTTTATCATGCTGTTCTTGTTCTGCACATTTATCCTCGAGCTTGTTAGGAACCCAGATCAGTGTCCTGTTTACCAATTACTCTTTGCAAGATTTGCCTGTTGCAAGATTTCTCTTTAATCTTTGATTACCTTAAAACTAGGAGTTGAAGTCGAATTAATCATGTGACGAAACCCCAAGATTTCCGACTGCTAACCTTCAACTAAATCTCTTTAATCACTTGATTATTATGAATAGTTAACAACACAAGCACCACCAGGCTATGAAATGCAGGCATTTGCACAGCTTTTTCATTCATTCCTATTTCCTCAAGATTTTGACTTGACTGCCACGCCATCTAACGGTTTAACAAGCATATTACTACTTGTAGAGATTGTCAATCTGTCGTTCATATTTAGCAGCCACTCTGTCCCTTCGGATTTTCATGGTTGGAGTTAACAACCCATTCTCAATCTGCAATCGGAAAGGCAACAAATCTCAGTAAGGGTTTCTGCAGCCAAATTGCACAGGGGCAAGGAAGGTTAAAAGGCGGCGTCTCCATTCTATCTTTTTACCGTGAAAGGCTCGTCGATCACCAGCACTGGGCCGACCTGAAACGTGCAGTCTGTTGTCCTGTTATCATTTTACTCAAGGTGTTAGATTACATTACGAAAATGCATCCTCTCAACAGTCAACACTTAATCTTCTTCTGCTTGTGATTCCTAGGCAAGTTACCTGGTACACAATTCATCGTAAATCAACCTTGTCAGTTGATCCTTGGTGAGTGCAGCCGCGTCAGCATCCTCAGTCGAGGCCATTGGAGCAGCCAACAATGCCGCTTCTTTGTTCGGGACGACTATAGCTCCCAGACGGCGTTGATCCTGCAGTTCATTCATATAGTTTTGAGTAGAAAAGTTACGATCTTTCGTTCATAAACCGATAGTAAATACTTTCTTACACGATTGCACCATACCTGACCAATAACAACAATTTGGTGAATAAGATTACTCTTCATAGCCGCTTCTTCAATCTCCAAGGGCTCGACATTTTCACCTATTTGCCATTCAAGAATTAAGCTAGTTAGCAGTTAACAGATCGTAATTTTCCCTAGCAGAAGCTGAAATAAGCAGACCAGTGCATACCCTCCCAAAATGTTATGACCTTACTTCCATTCATACCTGTTGAAAGGACTATGGTATCTTTAGCACGCCCTTCAAGTACAACAATGCCACCGCAGTTTCTGCTCCGCCCTATTGAATGATGAGGAGCAATCCATCCTATATCCCCAGTGTTCAGCCAGCCATCTTTATCCAGGACTTTCTCAGTTGCCCGCGGATTCTGGTCGAATATCAGCAAAAAAACGCACAGCAGTTACAGAACAAGCATTGGAATCTCTCATCTAGCTGTTATTACTATGTTAATACACGAGTTTAAGAGCTACAGATCAACTCCCTTACCTTGTAATAACCTTTCATCACCTGTGGACCTCTGACCTTTACTATTCCCTTTGTGCCAGGTGGAAGAGATTCATCAGTCTCAGCATCTACAATCTTGAACTCCGTGTGACGAATCGGATGCCCAATTGAGCCAAGAACCTTCAAATTAACAAAATTTGGTTAGATGCAGTTTAAAAAGTGCAGTGCCAATGCATAACAGGATGCCTCACATTATGATTAAGTCGTCGAGCTGCAGTAACTGGAGCTGTCTCTGTCATTCCATAACCATTCTGTAAATTCACCCCAATCGCCTACATATTTTCCAGACAATGATAATCATCTAAGACAACTAATGGAACTAACTTGTAGAAACAGAGAGGGGAAATACAAATGATAAAGATCTGACCTCAAAGAATCTATCAACATGTGAAGGTAAACTGCCACCTCCACTAATGGCAGCCTGCAAGTCACCATCGACATAGTAAATTTCCTTAACTCGCAGATACCTCTAATCGTATAAGAATGGACAGGTTACAAGACCTTTCTTATTCCGATATCAGAGTGGAACTTGCTGTAGACAACCTTCTTAGCCAACATATGCAATGGCAGCAATATTGCAGCAATCATTCGTGCGCATAGCCAGTCTAACAAGGCAGCAATATGTGATGGCTGCTGCTCTTTCGGAGTTAGATACATCCCCTATGAATGATGAGTAAAAAAAATAAGTTTCCATGAATATACCACCTGACAAAGAACCCTGACCATATAAATGAAATTCAAAGAGCACATCACTTGTATCCCCCAGACCTCATAGATTCGCTTCATCTCCACGTAAGTTAAGCTGACCCTTATAAGTGCAAGCTCGACAACCTTACGAAGCATGGACTTGGAGTGAATCTGTTTCTGAATCCCTCTGCAGAAAGTACTTCAGAATTAGTTTACTCACCATCAAGTAAAATAGAGGTAGCTACAAAGTAAAGAACTGACCTGTACAGCGTCTCGAATATTAAAGGAACAGATACAATGTAATGGGGCTGGTAACGCTTCAGATCATCCTATCCAATACGCAATAAGTCCAATTAAAGCATCCTGATTGATTGTGTGAAATGTAAAAAGGGCGCTTTACAAGGAGTAACCATTACCTTAAACCTCATTACAGTTGTGTAGACTTGCTCCACACCTCGTGTGAAAATGAAGTACTCGGAAGCTCGTTCGTATGCATGCCAAGATGGAAGCATGCTTAAGAATCTGTTCCCAGGTTCAGCAGGAACCAAGTCCCACAAATTATTAATCTGGAAACCAACACACGAAAATTCATAAACCAGCATATAATTGATTGATAGCCATAGATGAGATCAAATGCATTGGAAAGAATGAACCATACCTGGTGTAATAGATTTCTATGTGTAAGCATGACACCTTTGGGATTTCCAGTGGTTCCACTCGTATACATAAGTGTAGCAACATCATCAGAGCTTATGGTTTCATGTACATACATTGACCCTGCAACCATATTGTTTGCAGTAACATGCAATTGAGGATAAGTTTCTCATAGTCTGACCAAGTCTCGCTGATAATTTGATGAACTTACTTGTATGAATGGAATCAGATAAGGCTCTGTAGCTTTCTTGTCCCAAATCAATGATTTCTTGGTAAGTGAAAACAGGCAATCCCTCTATTCCAAAGTCACTCAGGCATGGTTTCTCTCCCCAAAGAAGAATGACACATTTAACTGTTGCCTCCTTCGTACAAAACGTCCCGACAATTCGACTGAACAATTCAGGGTTGTCCACAGCAAGTGCAGTACTGCAACACATGTAAGACCAGTAAGTAACTCAAATTTGTTAAACATCAAAGGTGAATACATGCATGGCAAGAGAAAAAGAGAGAGTTCCAAAACCTGTCAGAGTGGTTGTATATTTGTAGTAGCTCTTCAGTAGTTGACTTTGTCCCCCTCACAACATTAACTGCTCCCATTGCCATTGACCCTAAGGAGGTAAAATTTTGTACATAACAAAGTATAAGCATGAAACCCTAATTCTCTGATCATTGCAAGTGAAAGTTCCATTTGATGAACCAGGAAAAAGGTAAAGAAAGTACCTTGGTCAGCAACAAGCCACCTACAGGAGTTATCAGCAAAAAGAGCAAGCTTCTCTCGTGGCTCCATCCCCACCATCCTCAACCCTTCAGCAAAATACAGTATTTCTTGCTCCAGCTGCAAATTCAAAGACAATGCAGATGAAAAAAAACAACTCTACAGATCAACCGTTCTTGTAAATCATGGTGGAAAATAATCAGAAGTAGACCTGTTTGTAAGTGAGAGTAGTTGGGGGATGATGGTATGGATCCACCACTGCAACTCTGTCTCCATATTTCTCCGCACTAGACCTCCAAATGTCTGCAACACTTGTCCATTCATCGCTCTCCAATCCAGTCCCTGACAGCAATCTCTTCTCCAGGAATGGTGAACACCTTCTCCTCCCTGCTGTCGCTCTCGCTTCTTCTCTCTCTGCTGCTGTGAGCTGGTCAGAACTCAGACAACGGTAAGAAATTGTTTCTTGCAGCCTCCTCAATAGTTCTTTACAGGGATGAATCCAACAGGTAGCAAATTTTGGAGTGTAACGACAAAGGGGTAACTTGGTGCATCATAAGCTTATTAAATGAAGTATTTACAAACTATCATAAATCGAGTCTAACGAAGTAAACATAAATATGTTTCGTTTTTTGGTAGTTAACTTTCATTGAAGTATTTACAAACTATCATAAATCGAGTCTAAAGAAGTAAGCATAAATGTGTTTCGTTTTTTGGTAGTTAACTTCCATTTCGTGTTTCTGTTTTTTGTTTTCTATTTTCATGTTGTTGTAGTTAAACATATGTTATCATGATTCTACGACAATCATGACAGTATCAAAACTATACTATGAGAGGAGTTAGTTCACTAGTTAAAAGGTAATGTAACCCCTAGTAAAACGTCGGATCTATGTATTTTAATTTCACGATACAATTGATACGTCATTTCTACATGATGAAGTGACTTATCCTTAAGAATTTGAATCAAACAAGTAAGACGTACGATCCTATTTTTTCACAAAGAGCGAATTATCCTGAATCAAACCAGTTAGACCAACGGTTCGTTTCCAGTAAAAACATCAAACCGCTGCGTACCGTGGATTCACAGCGAACCGAGAGAAACGACGTTGTGCTGCCGTAGCATGAAGTTGGCCTTGTACTTATAATCCTGGAATTGGTCATGTTGGGACTGATTAAGGCCAGGGAAGACAGCTGTGACGGCGCCCGGCGATGAAGATCACTACACCGGGAGTTCAAACCAACCGCCGCCGATGAACATGTCGGAGAATGATGGTAGTGACAGCCAGTTAATGCCATTACGAGCTTGATTTTGCAAAAAAAAAAAACAAACTATCGACTCTACCGACGGCAACAAACGTTGATTATGTAGAGACAAAGGCAGAGGTGGTTGGAGGAGAGAGAGATGATTATTGTACATTGATTATGTTCTCAAGGATTTGTTAAGGTTGTCAATTGATCCGATGCAAAATAAACGAGATATCATACTCAGTATTTTAGAAAGAAAAATGAGCAGAAGCATGTTTTGTTAATTGATCCTGGTTAGTGTTACATTATAATTGTTGTTGGCCAATAATGTTTCTTTTTTTCCTTTGTCAACGATGTGCAGAGTTGAGAGAAAAACCAAATGCTTAAAAGAGAGAACTCCTCCTAGGTTTGTCCCGCTATAAGATTGACAACCCTATCTGAAGATCGTATAAAATGAACGTTAAGTCGGTATATAAATTAAATTTGCATACATAGAGTCGAGTTTAACTGAAAATTCAAAAATCACTGGACGATTATTTTGTGTTGTTAAGAGATTTTAAATTGTCATCATTCTGGAAATTTTCATCATTCAAAGTCGTGCTTAGGGTTTTGCTTTCACATGATGACATTTACCTTAGTTCAATTCATCACATGAATAGCTGTTGTGCTAAGAGTTTGTTCAAGATCAAACCATAACTTCTTTTTTTTTTTTATAGTGACCATGTAATTTTATTAAATATGAAACACATCAACAACAGCAATGGTCTGCAGAAATACACAGCTTCAACAACACCAGCAGGCAGCAGACATCAAAATGTAACACTCCTAAACATAATTAAAAAAAAATGAGATTCTCTCCAAAGACACAAATTAAAGTTCTATATGCTCAGCTTATAAGTATCCTCAAGACACCATCTCTAGATCAAGAATTCTGCAGCACATATCAGTCATATACACATACAAAACACAACCACTGTTAATTGCAGCAGAAGCCTCCTCCGAAACCGACTTGTACATCAAACTATCCACTATTGCTTGTCAATATTTCAGTATGCTCAAGAGACAATCAAGATTTCCAAGATTTCTGCAACACCTTTTCGCAAATATGTTCTCATCTAAAACATCCTCCATTACAGCAGAAGTCTCCTCTGCAATCGACTTGCGCATCGACAACAACCACCTTGTGCATCGACAAAAATTACTGTCTCTAATGTTAATGATGAAAACAGATGCTCAACTCCACAAACAGAAAGAAAACTTCAGCTTAAGCCACAACCTATCTAAGATTGATTTAGAAACTCCCATCTATCCTTGAGCAAAGCTTAAAAGTGGAGAATTTGGTAGAACTCTGAAACCAATCACCTCAAAATTATTGTTCGAGCTCCCCTCAAAAGTTACATTGTTCAGCCATTAAAAATGTAACATTTTTCTTAATGAATTCATGCCAATGGAGGAAAATTATAAATAAAATATTCGATTCGAGTCACGAAAAGAAACGATACAGCATTATTTCTTTAGTATCATTAATTTTTCTTTTCAATAAAATGGCCAGAGCTAAGATATCACCATAAGGCTTTAAAATATCATCTGGGTATCAATTTCTCTGAGTATCATCTGTGGTATCAACCACTACAGGAAGTAAATACTAAAAAAGAATTATTTACAACAGAGACCACCACCAGGCTTGTAAATACCAGAATTTGCAAGCCTGCTACAAAGAAGCAGAGATGACAATTTTAAAGAGCTTTTTCATTCCTATCTCCTCAAGATATTGACTTGGCCGCCACGCCACCACATGGTTTGATAAGCATATACATATTACTGCTTGTAGAGATTGGCAATCTGTTGTTCATATTTGGCAGCCACTCTGTCCCTTCGGATTTTCATGGTTGGAGTCAACAGCCCATTCTCAATCTGCATTCACCACAAAATGGAAAAACCAACAGATCCAAGTAATGGGTTAGACTTTCTTCTGCAGTAAAATCACACAGGATGGTAAAAATGGCGTCATCTTTCTGTATCTTGTTACCGTGAAAGGCTCATCGATCATCAGGATTGGACCGACCTGAAACGTGCAGTTTGCTGTCCTGTTATCATTTTCTTAAAGGTGTTAGATTACATTAGAAAATGCACATCTCTCGACAGTCAAACACTAAATCTTCTTATGCTTGTGATTCTTTAATCATAGGCGAGTTACCTGGTACGCAATTCATCATAAATCAACCTCGTCAGTTCATCCTTGGTTCGTGCAGCAGCATCAGCATCAGCGTCCACAATCGATGCCATTGGAGCAGCCAACAATGCTGCTTCTTTGTTTGGGACTACTATGGCTCCCAAACGGCGTTGATCCTGCAGCACATTGATAGAATTTTGAGTAGAAAAAGTTAAGATCTTTCATTTACAAACTGATAGTAAATACTAAATACATTCATGGACAATTGCACCATACCTGACCAATAACAACGATTTGGTGAATAAGATTGCTCTTCATAGCTGCTTCCTCAATCTCCAAGGGCTCGACATTTTCGCCTATTTTTCATTCAAGAGTTAAGCTAGTTCGACTTTACCATAATCATGAACAATTAGTTAGTTTCTTTAGCAAGTTACGAACATTTTCTCCCCACTTATATACCTGTAGAAAGAACGATAGTATCTTTAGCACGCCCTTCAAGTACAATAATCCCACCGCAGTTTCTGCTCCGCCCTATTGAATGATGAGGAGCAATCCATCCTATATCACCAGTGTTCATCCATCCATCTTTGTCCAGGACTTGTTCTGTTGCCCGCGGATTCTAGTAAGAAATCAGCACAGACAAAGAAAAAACAGCTCAAGCCTAAAACAATGACTTGAGGCACTAAATTTACTTCAGAGTGATTCCCTTACCTTGTAATAACCTTTCATCACTTGTGGACCTCTAACTTTTACAATTCCCTTTGTGCCGGGTGGAAGAGATTCACCAGTCTCAGCATCTACAATTTTGAACTCTGTGTGACTAAGTGGATGTCCAATCGAACCAAGAACCTTCAAAGTTAAATTCGCGGATTATTCAATGATCCATCACTCAAAAACTAAAGGAAAAATCAAGGGTTGATTGGTTCCTCACACAACCAGAACAAAGTAAAGGAAACAAGAAAAGCCTTCAGAATTTGGTTAGGTGCAGTTTAATAAGTGCAGTGGCAATGCATAAAATGATGCCTCACATTATGGCTAAGTCGTCGAGCTGCAGTAACTGGAGCTGTCTCTGTCATTCCATAACCATTCTGTAAATTTACACCAATCGCCTGCATAATTCCAGTCAACAATATTCATCATAGAAAATTAATGAAAGTGACTTGTAGATACATAGAGGGAAAAGATAAAAATGAAAAAGAACTGACCTCAAAGAATCTATCAACATGTGAAGGTAAACTGCCACCTCCACTAATAGCAGCCTGCAAGTTACCAACAGTTAATATTTCCCAAGTAATATAAAGGTAAAAACAAGCGAAAACCATTGACTCTTTATCGACAATGTGCGAAAATGGAGGGGAACAAGACCATGCTTATTCCAATAGCAGAGTGGATCTTGCTGTAGATAATCTTCTTAGCCAGCATATGCAGTGGCAGCAATATTGCAGCAATTATTCGTGCCCATAGCCAGTCTACCAACGCAACAAGACGTGATGGCTGCTGCACTTCTGATGTTAAATACATTCCCTGATAATGATATAGAAGGAAACAAGTCAGATTCCATCATATGGTCATCTATAAAGTTTCCAGAATTGACAGATGAAAGAAGGAATTCAAACAGAGGAAAGAAACTCAAAGAGCTTTAGAACTGTATCCCTGAGACCTCGTAGATTCGCTTCATGTCCATGTAAGTTGAGCTGACTCTTAGTAGAGTAAGTAGAACAACCTTGCGAAGCATAGAACTGCTATAAATCTGTTTCTGAATCCCACTGCACAAATTAACTCAGATATAGATTACAAAAATCCTTCACCATGCAAGTATAAACTTCTACTACTGTAATTTGTTGGACGACAACTGACCTGTAGAGTGTCTCAAATATTAAAGGAACACAAAAAATGTAATGTGGTTGGTAACGCCGTAGATCATCCTACCAATAAGAGATATGTGCAATTCAAAACCATATCAAGCTACTACATTAAGGGATAATGGTACTAATGACTAAAGGCTAATTACATTAAAAGACGATTTTGTTACCTTTAACTTCATCACAGTTGTGTAGACTTGCTCAACACCACATGCAAAAGTGAAGTACTCGCCAGCTCGTTCATACGCATGCCAAGATGGAAGCATGCTCACAAGTCTGTTCCCAGGTTGAGGAAGAATGATGTCGCGCAGAGAATTTATCTGGAGAGGAAAAAAAATAACAGCATATGAATGTAACAAATCCCTCCAGCTGAGGCCTCGGCTCTCAGCAGTCTAGTAGCATTTGATTGATTTGCACTAGGGATTGAAAAACTAAACAACACCTGGTGCAACAGATTCCTATGTGTAAGCATGACACCTTTGGGATTTCCAGTAGTTCCACTTGTATACATAAGTGTAGCAACATCATCAGAGCTTATGGTTTCATGTGTATACATTGACCCTGCAACCATATTGTTTATTCGAACAAATTTACTTCGCTTGAACAAACGGGTATAACTTCACAACAGTAAGACCGATCGATAAGTTAACTATCGAAAAACTTACTTGTATGATCGGAATCAGATAAAGCTTTGTAGCTTTCACGTCCCAAATCAATGATCTCTTGGTAACTATAAACAGGCAGCCCCTTGATCCCAAGCGTATCCTGGCATGGCTTCTCTTCCCAAAGCAGAATGACAAACTTAACTGTTGCATTTGAACATAATGTTCCCACGACTCGGTTGAGTAATTCAGGGTTGTCCACAGCAAGCGCGATGCTGCACACATGTAAGACAGTAAGTAACTCATAATGTTGTTTAGCATCAAAAGGAAGAGATAAATTCCAAACCTATCAGAGTGAGTGTATATCTGCAGTAGCTCTTCAGTAGTTGATTTTGTTCCTCTCACGACATTGACTGCTCCCATAGCCATTGACCCTTTGGATAAAAGAAATTTACAGGACAGTAAATAAGCTTCAGTAGACAATTCTATCCCAGGACCAACTTCTTCTAATGGAAAGTATGGCAAACACTATGAGCCATCATACCTAATGCTCTACCCATCAGAAGTCAAAGTAATCAACTTTGAAATTAAACAGGATGGAGAACATGAACACATGATAGAGAAGAGTGCAAGAAATCCAGCATGAATAATCATTCACCTAAAAAGGGAAAGCTAGGGCTTTGTAAAGAGTGCTAGCTGGTGTTGCTTACCTTGGTCTGCAACAAGCCACCTGCTGGAATTATCAGCAAAAAGGGCAAGCTTCTCTTGTGGCTCCAACCCCATCATCCTCAATCCTTCCGCGAAATACAGTATCTCTTGCTCCAGCTGCAAATTTCAAAGACAAGCTCCTGCTCTTGGTAATTCTCGGTGAAAAAGTTATGGGGGAAACAAATCATGGTGAGAAATAATCAGAAAGTGGACCTGTTTGTAAGTGAGAGTAGTTGGGGGATGATGGTATGGATCCACCACTGCAACTCTGTCTCCATATTTCTCCGCACTAGACCTCCAAATGTCTGCAACACTTGTCCATTCATCGCTCTCCAGTCCGGTCCCCGACAGCAATCTCTTCTCCAGGAATGGTGAGCACCTTCTTCTCCCTACTGTTGTTCTCGCTTCTACTCTCTCTGCTGCTGTGGCCTGAGCCTGAAAGACAATGTTGATTCTGTTTTACAAAGATCCCCATCATATGTAACAACGAAATTTACGTTAATACGTACCTCAGATTGGCAGCTAACTCGAACATGGGTGATTGAAGGAGACGATGACCTGCCGTAGCATACACGTAATGATGATCTTGTGCTAATCCCAGAGTTGATCTTCTTGAGCTTAATGAAGGGGTAAGAAGAGACCGGCAAGTAGCTCCGGTGGGGACTGCTATTAACACCACTACAGCGGGAGGCCGAAGATAAGGCTAAGGCTGCTGCTGCTGAGGATGATGAACAACTCCGAGAACAACAATAATCGTAATAGCCTGCCGTTTGTGCCATTAAATGTGGGTGGAAAGCAACTAAGCAAGCAAGAAGATCAAGTGTTTTGGTGTGGAAGTGTCATTAAATCATGAACATGTATATATATAAACACTAGCTTGATAAGTTGATCGGCGTTCGGTAACGTTGAAAGAGAGAATTAGCGCGGGAGAAACGAGATTCGATTCAGTGCTTTAAAAAAATGGAACAGCATGTTTTTTTATTACTTATGAAGAGGAAAGGAACAGCGTGTATTTTGCACATTTGATACTGGGAATCATTAAAGTCTCTAACTTATTGCAAGAACAGAGCAAAGCGTTTCAAGTTCCTTCTGGTACTTAGTCAAAAAAACAATTCTTTTTTAATCGTGAAAGGAAGGGAAAAGGGAAATCAAAAAACAATTCTTTTATAGATGTCAATTCTTAAATCATCATGTGTTTAGAACAATTCCTAAAACAATGTAAATGGATAGGATCACGATAACAATTTATGGTACATTTTATTACTATATAAACCTCGCAGTGAGTCTAATGTACAATGATAATAACAAATCTAGCGTTCTATATATATATATATATATATATATATATATATATATATATATATATCATGTGTAGCCTGAGGTATGTCATTCCCAGTCCAAATCCAGAATAGCTTCTTCTTTATTCTGAATCATGAGCTCACTCTCTATTGATCCATCAACAATTGCACTCAAACCGATCCATCCATCCGATGTGATCAATCTGCAAAGGAGAATTACATTGAGTGAAGATCATGGACTCCCATTGCTTAATGGCCGGATGATTCGGATGATCCAGAATGGAATCATATAGTTGTAGGATACTCATATTAGAGTTTAAGAGGGTGAAGTGCATCATACCTGAGAAACCGCTCGAGTTGAAGCAATCGCAGAACCTTTAGTATTCAATTCGTACCAGAAGCAGCAGCAGCCGGTGGAGTATGAGCATTGGTGGCGGTACTCGTTACTGTTAGAATGCGTTCGCTGCCACCAGTTTCTGATATATGTTCATGATCGGTTTCCCGTACTAAATTAGTATCGACCTCTGCGTTTGATGCCGAAGAAGTGCTCGTTATTTCTTCTCTCTCTGTGGAATCCAGACGCTCCATCATGCGAGAAACTGTTGCAATTCCGGCATTTACCTCTCTTCTAACATCAGAACTGATGTCTGCCATTGGAGAGCTGCGAGAAAAAAATCTCTCCTTCCAACTCCTTGTACTCTTCGTAATTGATTCCTTGTATCTGAAACCAATAACAAAAAAGGAACTGAGTTGACCAATCAAGATTACAACACTTATGGAAAGGCAAGAAACAAGGATCGGTAAAAGTTACTTCATTGAAACTGCATTAAGCTTCGATTTTATGGAGTCTGAGATGGATTGGAGTTCAGATGGCCCAGCTCTGTCTTGGCTATTTGGGGAAGACTGACTAGGAGATCTAAAGAGAAGACACAAGTTACGTTTAAAAGGCTAGCAAATAGAAAAATATTGTCTTTGGGACAATGCCAACGGAATGTTGATAAGAGAAAAGTGGAACGAAGCAGTACCCAGTGTTTGAGGAAGTTCGGTGTTGGCTGATACCAACACCAGAGCCAGAAGCGGGTGAACCGGCATGGCCACTTGTTGATAATGGTGTAACCACTTGGGGAGATGCTTCTCTGCTATTTGGAAGGGGAGATGACTCGCCAGCCCCTCTGACTGGAGAAGATGGTGTCGCTAGTGTAGCGATTGGACCTGCTTCAACCTCTCCTCTTTGGGTTGGGGAAGCGCCAGTTGGACCAGTGGCTGGGCCATTGTGATGACTAGAAAACACTACATATTGAGGGCGGCTTTGAGTTTGAGATGATGACCTATTCCGGGAACCTTCTCTACGAGAAACATGACGCCGTCCCATTGCAGCAGCAGCAGCCAGGTGCTGGATTATTCGCTCTTCGAGTTCAGCTTCATTTATACCAACTGGCAGCTGAATTAGCAAAAGAACTTCAGTTTAGAACACACTGCACATTGGCTATGTTTAAAGCGTACGAAGAATTTTAATTCAGCTGGAAGCCTGGAACTTTAAGGAGCTGAAACTTTATGAAGGAACAGACATGTTGCAATTCGAAGTCTCCCAGAGTGGGATGATGAAATATGGCAGAATTCCTTGGTGGATTCAATCTTATATTTCTCTCGCGTTCTACAGCTTCAAGCAGTTCCTGACTGTTAAAGTAAAATAAAAATCAGCAATAGTCTCCCCATCACCAGTAACCCAAGGATGATATGAACAGGAATACAGGAAATGAACCTGGTTGGATCCTTCAAGGAAATGGGTTGCCAGCACATAGGACACTGGGAGCTTCTTTGGCACCTGTCCATGGATAAAAGATTGCAATTTAATATGTTACCATATAAAAGAAACTACCAACACTAAAAATATGAAAACCAAAATATCACATAGTTTAGCAAAACGGTTTTCTACTTGAACATCGCCCAAGACATAAAAATGATTACTGACTACATTCATTAGGCAAATTGTTTTAGGGCTAAAAGGGTTTTCTTATGTGATCATCACATGGCAAAAAAATGCAAGTCTCTTTAAGCATAAAATGACTACCAAATCTAATGTACAAAATCTGAGGTCATAGAAGAGGTCAGGCTTATAATAATAGTAATATGGTCAAGGGTCATTCGAAACTTCGGATGATCTCTACACGTATTATGAGAATACATGCATTCCACAATATACAATGTTCTTCAGAATACAACATTTCTAAAATGCATCTCTTTGGAACTTCTATGAGATTTTAAGAGCATCATTTTGGAAGTTGTTTCCCCCCACCCTTTCAATTAAAGTGATCTTCTCACTAGTCTGATATTACCTCCGCTTTCCTTTTAAGAGAATGACCATTGACCAGGACAGGAAAAAATTGAAGTCACCTCGTAACATCCAAACAATGTATTCTTACAATCAACTGAGCTATTAGATCATCTTATTTGAAAATATACATTCTAACAATCCCAGGTTACAAATGAGCCTCTACCTATTGTAGAAACCCTGTATAATTTGAGTAGATTCTATAACCAACCACATCCCTCCCTCATAATATCATCCAAAAGATTCTAGGGCACCCAACTCTAGGATCTCATATTGCTGCTGGAACAAAATTACAAGGGGCTGGTTTCATAGCAACTGAACACCATCATGAGTTTAACTTTTCACCTCAAGTATCAAATATGGATTGCACACCATAAAGCAAGCTTCTTTCCTCAAATCAGCAGTGTAGTTTTAAGTTTGGTGTTATGAAGTCTAGTTATCAAACAAAGCTGTAAGTTTTAAATAATCTGGCCATTGAAATCAAAATTCATGTGTACAAATCAACGCACCATTCAAGGACGCATTGAAGATGGAACTCATGCTTGCAAGTGGTTAACTGCAAAAGAGAAGAAGACCCCACGGAGAGGGAGGGGAAAATCAATAAAGCTTGCTTCAAGTAACAGTAAAACAGCTTAATGTGTATAAGAAGAGAAAACCCCTAGTAGTGCCTACAGACATACAGTTGATGGATCACTGTCACAGAAGTCTTCCAGGCATATGCTGCAAGCATCATCGCAGGCATCCTGAATGCCTCCTTCCACGAAAGCCGCAGCAGATGTTAAATGTGCTTCCCCCTTCTCGCTCTCTTCCATTCCCTACAAATACCCAACTCAGAAAGTTTGAGCTTTGAATCCTTTAACAGTGCCAGAGTATCCAAATAACATTAGACGATCACTTGGATGTCACAGAAATCATCAAACGATCCAAATCTCCATAATTAAACCCTCACTGGAGTGAAACTCCAACAAGTTCCCATCTCAAGATAAGATTCTAAAAGGGAAAGCAAATCAATATCCCCTTCTCAAAACAGGGTTAGACCATCCATAGAAGGCCACTCTCTTCAGTGAATTCCAGAGCTGTTTTCATTCATCCAGGACTAGAAGCAGAGTTGGGAAATGAACTCTAATAAACAAATGAGCTTGAAATTCTTGATCTCATTCAAACAAGCCGGCCCAATTCAAACAACTCTCAGACCCTATCCACAACCAGTGAAGCCACAAAAGAGAACCAACGCAAAGCTTTACAAAGAAGCGAAATAACAGCAGGCGGAGAAGACAGTAAGTGAAGGGAAGAGGGGTTTAAGGGTACAGTTTACCTCCATGGATGTCGGTTCCGGAATCCGATCAAACTAATTACAGATCGAGCTTCCGATTGCAATCCTAATATAAATATGTACGCAGAGCCGAAGCGGGAAGAGGAAGAACCCTAGAAATCTGAAGAGATGGGGAAGGTAAAGAGGGGAGCAATTGCTTGAAGAGCTGTGGGTAAAAGGAAGAAGAAGAAGAAGTCTTTGTTCTTCTTGTATGTGATGGGTCTTTCTGAGTTTCTGTGAATTCTTTGTTTTTGTTTCTAGTTTGGGTTTGCGTTCCTTTCCGCCCTTTCGGTGGTCTCTGTGTGTGGGAACTGTGACTGTGTGCCCTGACTCGCGTGAGTACGCGCGTGTGATTCACTGCCCTCTCATTTCATCCTAATTAATTATAATTTGCCGAAATTTCTTGTTGGGTCGGCACAGGTCCGGTTCGGTCAGAATGGCTCAGCATGTGTTATTTTATTTATGCATTTTCCTTTACGAAGAGATTGACTAAAAGTTTCTACCAAAAAAAAGATTGACTAAAAGTGGTTAAAAAATTAATTTGATTTTCTTCAATTTGATCTCTTGTTATTTATTTAGTAGTTGGATCATAAAATTGTCAGTAACTTGAAACACCTAAAATATTTTTGGCCTGAATTAAATGCCCCATTAATTAGTCTCGACATTAAATTAATGCGGTGTCACAAGGCTAAAAGTGCCGCTAGTTAAACAACAACGCAGCGGAATCGATGCCGCGGTCGCAAATTCAGCGGTGTTGCGAGTTCGACAACGCCGAAATATTCAACGATGTCGCAAGGCCAAAACAACATCGTGGAGCTCAACGACATAGTGAGCTTGATGGTGTTGCAAGCTGAGCAATGCCGTGAATGGGTTCAACGACGTCGTTATGGAAACTTTGTTGGTGGAGGTGTAAACGACGTCTTGCACGTGAGATTCGGGAGTGAAGAGAAGATCAAAGCGGTTGAAGACTACGACTCTGTGGAGAAGAGTGAAGACACGTGGGAGTTCACAACGGAGCGGTTGAGGAAGCAGTTCCACGGGGCGTGAAGACTACGCAAATGATTTCATATAAAATCACCGGAGCAAGGAGAGAGAAAGTAACCAAAAAATCAACACAGATCAACTCTGTTCAAACTTTACCTTTTCTCTGTAACTCCTTCGTGGAGCTTTCCTTCCAGGAAGGATCTCCATAGTTGTAGTCTTAGTCGTAGTCGCGGAGCTCTCCACAAGAATCTCCATAGGAGTAGCGGTAGTGTAGATTCCTCAAAAAACTCAAACACCCTCGTTCGAACGTAGTTTGGAGAGGTGCGAACCGTAGTAACGGTCGCGTTGGTTAGAAGTCAAAGGTGCATCGATCAGACCAACATCGCCCGACGGTGGATTTTTGACGGTCACGTTGATTTCACCATTCAGAGGTGCAGCGATCAAATCAACATCGCACGGCGGTGGACATTTGACGATCGTCATCGTTTTCAGAAGTCAGTTGCACCGATCAAATCAACAACGCCCAGCGGTGGATACTTGACGGTCACGTTGATTTCAACATTCAGTGGTGCGTCCGATCAAACGGCACCGCAAGAATTTCCCTTACGAAACATCAAATCAACACCGCCTCTACCAAAATCGGCGCCAGCGGTGGGATTTGGTTTTCTCGGGAAACACAAACCAAGTTTTTCTCGTAGCAATGACATAATTTTCATTTATTCAATGATTGTAGTGCGAGTTAGAAGTTAGAACTACAATTTGAATCTATAAAATATGTAAGAATTAAGATATTTTTGACCGCCTTATTGAAAAACCTAGTAATTGCACTTGTTTGAGGCCTTAGACACGAACACAACCTTTATCCCATGATTAGCATGAAAGGTTTGGTGTCTCCAATGGAGCAATGTCATTACTAAGTTTAATCTTGTAGAAAATGTAGTTGCATCATAGAATTGAATGACTCTTGTTCGAAACCTTAAAATCGGATTGAGAAGACATAAGCTTAGTTTGGTCCTGCTGTAGTTTTTGCAGAAGCAGCTTCTGGCTGTAACTTTTAGATAAGTACTTTTCAAAAAAAGCAGTTTAGTGTTTGGCTGTAAAACTATTAGAAGTGCTTTTTAATAAGAGCGGTTGTGTAAAATGATTATAAAGGACTTATAATATAAAATAAAAATAAAAATTCTAAACAATAAAAAGTAGTCAAAATGGATCTTGTTAGATTTCTTTTATATTAAATAATATAATTTTATAATTTATTTTATTTTTAAAATTATATAAATGAAGGAAAATTATATTTTTCTGAAATAAAATTAAAATAGGTAAGGATAATCTTGTATTTTCAAAACAGCTTTTCGTAGAAGCTCCAAATCGGAGCTTCTGCTTTTATGTTATACAAAAACGCTTTTCGGCTTTTCAAAAACCGAGCTTTTAGAGGTGTTTGGCCCTGCTTCAACTTTTGAAGCCGAAAAACACTTCTAAAAGTCGGGCCAAACATAGGCATAGAGTTTGGCATGCTTACAGATGCATTATGTAAAAGGTTTGACTTAATCTTATTGGATTAATATCAAAATAAAATAGGATTATGGTTTTATTTTTAAATTTTGTATTCTTTTTCGGAGTGATAAAGATGACTTGAGAGAGGGGTGATTTATGGCTCACTATGAAAAAGCTTAATATTGTTTCTAAAGAAAAGCTTAATATTGAAATATAACACAATGTTTAATTTTTAGGGGATATACTTGCTAATTATTGATAAAGATTTCAAGGAGTGCTAAATCTAATTAACTGAGAATTAATAAGGAGTGTGTTATTACTCTGGTGCCACGGATTGGGAAATTGCTAGAATCGACAAAGTAAGAAAACAAAAAACAAAAGCACACGATACATGATTTACGTGGTTCACTAACACAATCTGTGTTAGCTAGTCCACGGGTAGGAGAGCCAGTTTCACTATATCGAGGAGATTACAGAGGAGATGAGAAGTATTTATACTTCTCCATGTGGGTCTAAACCTAATCCAATCTGGTAAAGAAAATGTTTACAGATGCCGAACCCAAATAACATGGGCCGAGGGCATTGCCCCCGCCCCCACATCGGCTGATAGTCTGATTCAAATCACATTAACAAATTTTCACCTTGACTTGAATCCTCTTCCTCTGAAATCTCCGATGTACTCTGCTCATTCTCTCTCTCCTGCCATCAATGCCCCATAGGGCGGAGTCACCCACTCAAGACATCAAGCAAGTCAAAGCAGTGTTGGAACTTGCCATGTGGAATCGACTTTGTGAACATATCAGCAGGATTATCCGCGGTGCCAACCTTCTTCACCTTAATCCTCTTCTCTGTCCTCAAAAAATGATACCGCGCGTCAATGTGCTTAGTCCTCTCATGGTGGACTTGATCCTTGGCCAAGCATATTGCACTCAAACTGTCATAATACACCACTGCATGATCATGATGTAGACCCAGATCACCAACCAGACCCTTCAACCATATTCCCTCCTTAGCAACTTCTGTCAACGCCATATACTCTGCCTCAGTAGTAGACAATGTCACCGCCGACTGCAGAGTTGCCTTCCAGCTCACTACAGAACTCCCAAGAGTGAATACATAACCGGTCATCGATCGCCTCGTGTCAACATCTCCAGCATAGTTCGAGTCTGAATACCCAGACACCAAGCATTCTGTATCACTTCCAAAGTTAATCCTCACATCAGATGTAACCTTAAGGTACCGAAAGATCCTCTTCACAACCTGTCAATGCTCCTTCCCAGGTTGTATCATGAACATGCTGACAACACTAACAGCATGTGCAAGATCAGGTCTAGGTGCATACCATAGCGTACATCAAGTTACCTACTGCACTAGCATATGGGACTCTCGACATGTACTCCTTCTCAGCCTCTGACTGTGGTGCATAACCTGAGGATAGATGAACATTTGAAGCACTAGGAGTATTCAAGGGCTTTGCTGAAGACATGTCAAACCTCGACAATATCTTCTGGATGTAGCTCTTATGTGACAAGAAAAACTTCTTCTTCGACCTATCCCTGTAAATCTCCATACCCAAGATCTTCTTAGCAGCTCCCAAATCCTTCATCTCAAACTCAGCACTGAGAAACCCCTTTAACTTTTGGATATCAGACTTCGACCTCGCAGCTATGAGCATATCATCCACATACAGAACAAGATAGATCATTGAACCATCCTCCACCTTGTTGTGATACACACAACAATCATATGGACTTCAGCGAGACCCCTGACTATTCCAGTCGTAGCGGCTGATAGTTCGATTCAAGTCACATCAACAGAGTGCTATGTTTGTTGTCGAAGTAAACTATTTCGTGTCATATTTGTCATCTCAAAGCGTGTGTGTCAGATTTATCAAAAAAATGAGCAAAAATGAATCAAATTACACATAAAATTCATTAGATCACATCAAATATCGTTGTGTGCCCACCCCCTAAATTAATCCTAAATCAACTATTATTTTTAGCCTATAATATATCACTCTCGTAACATTCATTACACCAGCTAGTAATCCTCTGAATAAAGTATAAGGAAGTAATACTAGCAAACCTTTTTTTTTTTAATGCAAAAGTATATACTAACTTGGATGTAACATAACAAACAATTAATCAACAATTACAATTTATGCATCATCTCCATCTTCAGTTGGTCGACAATTTTACTCTCTTATAAATAAACATCGAGAGATAATTAAAAGAAACTCAATTAAAAAAAACTCAGATATGTGTAGGATAAAGTTAGGATTATAGTTTTTTGAACACTTAACACGATCATTGATTTAACTAGCATCCCACTTTGGACCAAACAAAGATTTGATTGGCATGAATTAGGTAGGAGGTGGGTTCTTAATTAAGCTGGATTTGATTGAGAATCAAAAAGGAGCTTCTTTTGGGTCGATTTAGGTTTGTTCGGATCTCATCTCGACCCACCTAGGGACATATATATATATGGGACAAAACCAACCCTAAACCTAATAATTGACGAGAAAGGAGAGGAAATGGTTATGTTCTGTTCTGTGAAAGGGAAGACTGAAGAAGAAGCACTGCTGTTCTGTCCTCCACTCACTGTGGAATGCCCACGCGACGCCCCCCTCTGAGATGTCTTGCTACTTTGACGAGTCACTGGAAGAAACCACAATCAGGTATGGTTTTGATACTATACCCGATTCTTGTATATGTATGAGTAAAACTAGAACTATTTCGGGGTTTGGTATTGAATATGCGCTATTCACCACCTGATCCGATTCGTTGGTATCTCTATGCCAAGTAAGATGACTATCAATGGCATCAAACCATGCCTTGTCACCACTCACGTGGGGTTCCTGTATTCAGAATCTAGAAACCACCAAGTTCATTTTGTACATCTTTCAATAATACGAATTATTGAAATGAACTGATTTTCTATGTAGTATCACTATACTTCACCAAGAGCATTTTAACTCTTTTTGAGTTATCCTTCCTTGAAACAATGTATAAAAGAATAATTATTATTTTTTTATACGAGGAGAAATCCGTCTTGCGACGGCAAATCCCGAGCCCCAATAGATACTCGGCAAATCCTGTGAGCGTTTAATACGAGCTTACATTTCTGCGTGTGGCCACCCATAATATTAGATGTTTTCAGACTTCTGATTGGTGGTGATGTCGATGAATGATATATTGTTGTCACAGGACCGAGATTAATTTCTATGTCTGGTCACAATTGAGTCGAAATTTCAATGCACTGCATTTGCTTCGTGTAAAAATGGAGGACCCAACTTGCGGCAAAATGTGTGGTGGTGGGGAAGAGCTGAGAGAGCAGGCCAGTTTCTGAAATTGGCAAACGTTTATGGCAATTGGGTTTTGACATGCTAACCACCCCAAATCTGAAATCCCCCATGTTAGTTAGGACCAAAACTATACAGAAAATTGTGTCGAAGAAGTATTTACAACACAAAGCAAAACCTAGCTAGCATCTCATAACGCTATTATGTAAGCATAAAATGGAACCAAGGAGTAGTCAGTAGTGGCTCTACCTAGGCGTTGGGCTATGTTTGGGCCGGCACGGCACATGCACGTTTCAGTCTCATTTTATCTTATGTTGTGTTTGGAACGGTACGTTAGTTTAGTGTTATGCTAGCTCAATTTTTTAAATTTATTTGATCAGGTCAGGAGTCAGGCACGGTTTGAATATTATCGTTGTCAGGAATCAGTTGATTCAAATAACTCGAGTTATTGGGAGATGTTCAATGATGTATCATATACCATATACTAGCACACCCTCACAAACGAAAGCCGGCTCATATTAGCTTGAATTAGTTTGCACAGATCTGGACACCATATGCTTAAGAATCATAATCCACCCAAACCATTCATTCTTTCATTCATCATCCTCATTCCTCAACAACAGCAGCTCATCTGGCCCACTACACAAAACCCACATGGCCCACACACCTCCGTTTTGGGCCTCTCATGGTGATAACAAAGCTTGGGCCCATTTAACCAAATTTGTACCCACCAACTCCCTCCCCAAAGTACATATCAGGACACTCCCTCTGGACAAAAAAAAAATATTACTAAAAAAAAAGGCACAAACAAAATTCCCCATCAAAATTATATTCACCAATGTACATAAATCTCTCATCTATACACTTACGATCCATCACCACCGTCCAAATCATCAACAAATCTAACCAATCACCACCGTCCGATGGCGGCGCGACGGGGTCGCAGAACAGATCTTACGTGTCCTTTTGCGACGGGCTCCTCCAGAACCCCGTCCCGTGGAAACGGCTCCACATCTCCTTCTCCAAATCCTCCGTCTTCTTCGCGCCGTCGTCGGCGGCGGCGGCGCCTCCTTCTCGCCCTCGCTCCACCACCTCCCTGACCTCCCTCTCCAACTCCTCCCTCGACCCGCCGCCGCTGCTGCTCGTCGTCGTCGCCGGCGGCGCCAGCAGCCCGCCGTGCTGGTTCTGCTGCTGCTGCTTCTTCTTCCGCCGCCGCCGCTTCTTCGCCTTCCGGCACAGCCCCGCGGGGACCTTGTACACCGCCATCACCACGATGTTCATCAGCGTGCACGGGCAGCAGCAGCAGACCGCCGCGCACTCCGCCGCCGCGCCTCCCGCCACCTCCCCCGCCCTCTTCGTCTGGATCGCGTTCTTCCTCTCCAGCCTCCTCCCCCTAACCCCTCCTCCGCCTCCATTCTTCTCCGCCGCTGCCCCCTCCGTCGGTTTCGGGTGCGGCTTATCGGCGAGCAACGGTTGCTTCTTCCGGCTGCCTAGCGACGGAGGGAAAAGGTCCTTCCGCCCCATTCGATTGAAAAAGGAAAAAAGGGGGGGAGAAAATCGAAAAGAATCGGAATCGAATTAAAGAAGAAGAAGAAGGGCGAAATCGAATTCTCTCCTTCCTCTGAATTTTTTTCTATTTTGCCCCTCGGGCGGCGGTTTTGGTATTTTTCCCCCGCGACAATCAGAGAAAGTGGTGTATCGGTAAAATCAAAGGATCGTCCATGGCGGACGTCGACGTTGTCGTCATCGCCGGAGGGAATCCAGAGGTTTGCGGGAGCGGGGGGAAATTGGGAAATTAGAGGGAAGGCAGAAAGTAAAAAAAAAAAAAAGGATAATGATGCGATTTAGATCGAAGAAGACGGGTTGCTTGATTGGGATTTACACTAATAACAGAAGGAAGGAAAAAAACTGAATCCGCGAAACAGGCGGGCGGGGGACTGAAATTCTTCGTTCTTGTTCATCTTCGTGTCGTTATTAAAAAATTTAATTTATATTTTGGTAGGTTAATCGTTTTTTTTTTCTTCCTGTTTTTATTTTTAACTTTGTTTTCTCAATTTATTTATTACACGGAACTTTTTTTTTTGTATGGAATATTACGCGGAATTTCGAGTTCTGGTGTTCTGCGGGGCAGAGTGGTCATGAAACCGTATCGGAGGTCGTATCGGGAAAGTGGGTATTTTATGACAAAATCGTGGTTTAATCGTAATTCAACCGTTAGTATTGTTAAATACCGTTTACTGATTTAGTCTCCAATACTTGTATTTTTTGGTTGAACTATCGATACGGTATGATTTCATGGACTAATGCATGGCAGACATGAAACTGTTCAGTTTTGGGAGAGGCGGGAAAGTTTCATTTTGGTACCCAGGGCAGGCGGCAGCTTGTGAAATTTCCGCTTGCATGCTTAATTTTGATAGGTCACAACTTAATGTAACTATAAGTTTGGTTTTTTGGTTTCTTTGCTACTTGATAATCCCTGGACGATGATTGGAACGGTTTTTTTTTTTTTTACAAAAGATAATCTTGTATAGATTAAAAAGAGATCGAATACACTATACATTGGACTATCCTATTCTTATTCCAACTTACAAATCGTACATGAAGACAGGGTCTTTCTAGTCGCAAAGTGGGCTACCCTGTTGCTATTCTAACTTACAAATCGTACATGAAGACCATTATGATCTGCCAACAAACAAAAAAAACTTCCTCGAGAATGGCTCCAGATCGATTATCTTGTGTATCGGTCTGGTTTATCTTATCAATGACCATCTTCGCGTCTCCTTCGAATCGAATCTGTGAGAGGTCACAATCCAGACAAATAGTTCCACTAATGGAGGATCATCGATATACTTGATATGCACCCCCCCTAACAAAGACAATCTAACCACTCTGATCTTCTGACATCATACTGCCCGCCCGAGTGTGATCCATTCCTTGTTGATTTGGAAGACTTGAGTGGGATAAATATTGAATGAGGGTTTTTTTTCACTGAGTGCTCTATCATAAGATTTTGAGTCACTCTTCCTACGATAAAGATCTCATCTCTTCTATATTGCAGCCTGTAGGATCTCAAAAGACATACATTAACATCACGAGCGTCAGGTGAGCAATTAATGAGAAAGAGGTTAAAACTTTGTATGAAAGATTTCAGAGATGCAAAAATTGCCCAACGATTAATTACAGCAAGTTGAAAAAGACATTTGATTGCTATGATTGGATATGTCTAGAAAGAAGGTGTGTAACATTGAACATGTTCTACTTACCTTTCTTATAAATGAAATATATATAGATGATTGGAAACTCATAACTGCAATATAAATGATTAGCCAAATCCAGACACATATGGAATGATTGGTTATTTTAGAATTTTTGGTGCTATCTTTATCACTAAAACCCACAAATAGGGTAAGGCTTGGTGTGTCACATGTTATCTCCACCAAATTATATCATTAATGTCTTACAAATCATAATTTCAATACTAAAAACCCGTTTCAACTCCGAACCCAATATTATCCTAAATACGATAAACCCGATAGAGTTATTTGAAATCTATAAGAATAAGAGCTCGATTCGACAACCGAGTAGAACTCTGGGGACTAAATAGTGGGAAAACGCAAAAAGATGAGGGCTTTCATCTGAACTATTGCCCAACAACCTATTCTGCGGTCTCTGCCAGGAAGGGGACTGGTCCTCCAGAAGCTTTTTGACCAGCCGAAGAAACCAAGAGAAACCCAGTAGGCCGTTAATTTAAAGGAATTAATTGACGTTCAAGGAAGCAAGCGATGAATTAATTTATAAAATTAACAACTAAGGATTAAGGAAGTATCTTAATCAGTTTTAAGATATTACATGCGCACTCAACTCAAGCGGGAGGAGACTAAATACGTCCCTTTCTGCTCACAGTAATAAATTGTGGATTGCAATTCCAGATAAAAGACAAACGTACAAGGATTTCATTCATCAAGTGGGAAGGAAAAAGAAGACGTAGTGGTGTCAACTGTCAAGTGTCAAACTGTCATGGATTGTGGGTTGTTTGGATGAGTTACCCAAATAACTCATTTTGAGTTATTTAGGTGCAATTAACCGTTTGTTAATGTGGTATTTGTAGAGTCAAATAACTTATTTATTGTTCATGTGGTATTTCAGTGGTAATTGAAATAAAGTATCTCGTTTGGTTGAACCATGCAAATGTGGTATTTGACATGTGGTATTTTGGTAAAAACAGAGTGATAAAATGAGTTATTTCGAAATAACACATGGGTATAAGTTATTTCAAATAACTCATTTTGAAATAACTCATACAAATACTCCATCCAAACGACCCCGAGTTAATTTGAAATAACTCATACAAATACTCCATCCAAACGACCCCGAGTTAATTTGAAATAACTCATTAATGAGTTATTGTCAATACCTCATAGGGGTAGTTATTGTGAAATAACTCACAAATACCACATTCTCATTTTGTGGGGAATTCCACTTTTATATTAACTCGTTACACAACCACTCGTCCAAATGACGGAGAAATTATGATGGATTATGGAACCATTGTTAGAGCTAGTTTATGAGAATCATATAATGTTTGAATATGATTTGGGTCTTGGGGGAGGCTAGGTTTAGGAAGGTAGTTTTATAGGTGGACTCTAGTTGTTTCATCGATTTGACCACTCAAATTCAGGTTATATGCAATGTAGTCAGAATCGTGTTTTAAAATTTAAAAACTTACGATTTTACGTTTTTAGGTCACTAAAACGCTTCTACACAAAATCTCAGTTTTAACAACTTACGTAGTTAAAAAGTTTGCTTTAAAACTTAAAAACTTACGATTTTACGCTTCCAGATCACCAAAAACGTTTCTACGTAGAAACTCACTTTTGACTACATTGATTATATGTATGTTATAGTCGTTTGAAAATTTTAGTTTTATTGGCGCGTTTGTTTTATTCGTGTCTTCTGTAATGATAACTCTACAATAAATATTCGTACATGTCAAGAATATGAGGAGCCTTAGGCCCTGTTCACTTTTATTTTCGTTTCCTGTTTTCTGTTTTCATGTCATAAATTTGGCAACCGAAATGAGAAAACTTGTTTACTTTTCATTCTGTTTTCTATTCGTTTCCAACTATGAAAACAGAAAGTGGCAACTCCCTGCTGTTTTCGGAAACGACAAAATGTTGTTTTCACCTGTTTTCATCATCTGTTTTCTCAAAAACAGAAAACAGAAATGAAAGTAAACAGGCCCTTAGTTTAGCTTGTTAGTTTTTGTGTGATACTTTTGGGAGCTTTTGTAATATCTTCTGTCATTTTTTCTGACCACCATATTGTACCCTTTGGATTTAATCTACATTTAATCCACACAATTTTTGTTTTCGGATGTATCATGGTGACTTTAGAGTCCTTACAAGAACTTATCCATTCATCCAACATGTCACTTAATATTGTATTGTTCTTTATCCCTTACTTGCATCAGATGTTACATTACACTCCCTTTGGAACTCGATATCCTCGTTGAAATTTGTCTCATCATCATTCAACAGGGGATGCAGAGACGCTTCGTACTCACTTGTAAAATCTCAAACCTTTTCCTGACCAAGATATCGACTATTTTAGGTCTAGATCCGCAATATTAGGATTTGTGATTGGAACTCTGGTTATCACATATACAAATTTGTGGTGGGAATAGGGGGATGATATTGTTCATGGTTCACTTGTTCTTGTTGCCTATCTATAACGTGGCTCCCACTTCAGACCCAAATCTGTGATCGTCCGATTGGTGTCCATTAGTAGTGGCCTTAATATTTTGTCTTTAGAGTTCTAAAGTTGATGGTTCTAGTTTTTTCTGTAACAATTTCATGCAGATGGTTGGGAATTTGAGACAACAAAATATATATGAGGCTGCTATTGAACCATCGAGTTTCCTTTTAGCATATTAAATTTGATAATATTGATTCCACGATTATCAAAAATCTAATAAGAGTATAATCAAGGTGTTTGCTTTACTTTTAATGAAAACAGAATTTGTCACACAACTTATCACGACTCAAATTACTCACAATAAAAAATCAAGGTTCAGGAAATCGTATCGGAGGAATGAATGGTAGGGTATTTTGTACTAAAACTATGATTTAACTGTTATTGAGCCGTTTTCTATCGCTAAAATCGTATATCGTTTTGAGTCCGGTCCGATATTTGCGGTCCGACCGGCCGGTACAGTAGGGTTTCCTAAACCTTGTAAAAAAATGTATCGATCAATCGCGATAAATTTCCACGTGATAGAAATAAAATAAAAAAACAGCTACATAGAGACAAGAGTTCATCCGTTCAAACAATTCATATTACCTAATACGTTATTTTCATGCAACAACAAATTCTTGGTATGCGGCCTAACCATACCATTATCTTCCCCAAATAAGTATAACAAGCCTAACCGAACTCTCCATCCCTAATTCTCATTTCCCATTATTCCCTTCACTGTGTCTCGCTCTTTCAAACTCTTCCCAGGAGCACAAGATCTCTTCCAATAGACACAGGCCTTGCCACATCATTATGCCAACTCAGCTTGCGTCGACTCGAACAACCAACAATCTCGGATAAGTTGAGGAGTCCGGTGAATGGGGTGATCGGGAAACTTTACCTTCCGATGAAGCCAAGCCACTTAAGGAGGATTGCCAAGAGAAGCATGCATATAGCCATGATCAGACCTGGTTTGCCAAGTAACCAGTTCTTCACTTTCTTTGCACCTGCAGCTCCTCTTTGGAGCCTATCCATCCATCTCATCTGTCATAAAAATTTCCATAAGGAACACCATTTTCAAAGAATACCAAACTAAACCGATTTTTTTTTTTTTTAATGGAGGCCAAATAAGAGCCAGAAAGGTATGCACCATTTTGTCCAAGTCTTCTGGGGATAGAGATGACATGGCTTGCTGAGCTTTTGCTGCATCTTCTGGAGAAAGCTGCACTCCAAACTGCTTACTCATGTTGGCAATCATATCCGGACTCATGTTTTGCATCATTGAGGTGAACATCTGGGAGTAAAGAAAATAGCACATTTTAGGATTCGACAGACTGAGAAAATTAAAGTTCAGGACTTTATACATTAACTAGCAACGTGGAATTCTTTTGGTCAACAAATATGCAGTTTGCTCTCAGCAGTTTCCCATGAGAAGCTGGGGATTTCCTTTACATACAAAATCCACCTCTTTCTTTCGTTCTTTCTACGGGTGTAGTAGTTTATCATCATGTTGGACATTAAAAGAACCCAATGTGATAAACAGAAAGGGGATCAAATAAACATACCTGTCGTGTTGCTGGATCATTCATTTGATTTCTCAACTGTTCTTGCAGGTCACCAGCCGAGCTTGGAGAACTTGACTGATCACTCATTGACCTTGAAAAGAGACTGCCAGAGGAACTAGGGTCACCACTACTATTGCCACTTAGAGAATTCATTTCTCGAGGTTCTGTAAAGTTTGAAACTTTGCTTGAACTAGATGCATGTTGACCAGAGGTTCCTTCTTTTGCAGCAGAGTCCTTTCCTCTAAGAGAGGATGCCATTTCAAACATCTTTTGAAGATCTTCTGGTGGCATGTTGCTCATCATTTCAGAAGCAGTTTTAATCATGTCTGGGCTCATGTTTGGAGGAAAGGCACCACCTGGTCTGATACTATCAACACCATTACTAAATGGATTACCCCGCTGGAAAGAAGATGCCATCTGAAGCATTTTCTGCAGCTCATCGGGAGGCATCTTTCCAATCATATTTGCAGCAGTCTTGAACATATCTGGGGACATGTCAGTAGCTTTCCCACCACTTATTGAAGCCAAAGTTTCAGGATCAGCACTAGAAATGAAATTCTGGAAAGACCTGCAAGAGGGGAGAAATGCAATTAAATATTTGGGCAATAGACATGAGTGCCTGAAGTCAAAGAGAGTGTTAGACAGAAATGGATCATCTCTAAACATCATCAAAGCATGGATTAAAACAACATCTCAGAGCTGATTTCCATCAAAGTTAGATTGACCTGTAGAGAATCATAGTATTTCATGCCCCAACTACAGAAAAGGGATCTGTTCTCGAGTTATTTCACAGTTTCACTTACATCCCTCAATTCAAACAGCTAAATTCTCTCAGCTTTTTATACATAGGAGAGGAAATCTCTCGTTCTTCTCAGGAAAAAAAATTAAGTTTTCCTTTTCATTTAAGTTCAAGTAAAACTAACAGATGCTCTTCATTGAAAAGATAAAAAGAGTAAAGCTGTACTCAGGAAATGTACGACAGGGAAATAGCATTGCACGTACAGCAGTTCCTAGGGGCCCTAGAACAAACCTTACTGCTTCCGGGTTATCTTTTAAGGCATGCAAAGAATCTGAACTAGTCATTGAACCCCCAGCATCAGTCTGGCTTCCAGTGTTTGGAACATCCCTACTATGCTGTTGAGGAATTTCACAATTCGCGGAAGATGAATCTTCAGTTATCTCTTCAATTACAACTCCTGCTCCAACATAAGATTATTGTTACTAAAAACCTTTGAAATGAAGCACGGAAAGAGAGCAAGGGACATAGGAGATGAAGAATAATGTACCCTTTGGTGCACTGTAACCCTGTTCACCGAAACTTTCCTCAGCATCCCTGTACAGAAACTTGCAGGAATTAGTCAAAGACACCACGATGAAGTCGGGATGTTCAACAAAATTTGAACAGTCAAAGAGACGAATAACCAGATTGACAAGACAAAGCCCATATTCAGTGACAACAGGTTTGGATGCCAAACAAGTATGTGCAATGACAAGGTACAAGTCAATATAGAACACTAATCAGTTACATATTAGCTTACGAGAGCCCCAAGGCGTCAATACCTTAAGACAGCCGTGATAGTTTCATCATCAGGTGAAATTTCATGTGCTTTTGCCAAATCAGAGACAGCATCCTAAAGTCACGAATATGTTTGACAAGCTAGATTAGAATACGTTAAACAAAACCGATATCCAGAAAATCTCAATAATAAGCTGGAAACTTTTGGATATAGACTTACTCGCAATTGTCCAAGTTCTTTGTAGGCTTGACCTCTCCGATAAAGAGCCTTGACATTCTTACCATCATATGCCAACACCTAAAATAGACATACAGATGATGGTTTTAATAAAAAGGAACTGCAAATGAGCAAATCATAACTATATGTATAGAGTAAAGAAACAAAACCAGTTATTCCTGGCTATCAGGAAACTGTAGAAAAAACTTGTTTTCATGACAAACAGTAAGGAATGAACCAAAAAGACTGTCTTCTAATATTCTCTTCCCAACTATCATACAAACATGGTCCTACTTTTAAGTTTAGTTAGTAATGCCTCTTCCTATCTTCAAATGAATTACAGTGACATGGAAAACGAACTAAACAGAAAACAGTAACTGCTCACTACCATAATATATCCATACCTCTGTTCCTTCCTTAATGCACTCATCAAACTGTTTTGTCTTCAGGTAACAGGACATCAGGTTGAGAGAGCACGCCAATAAAAGTGCACTGCCTTTGGAGGCTGGGTTCCCTTTAAGATTCTTCTTTGCCTAAGATACCAACGAGGGAAACAGAGTCCCATCAACCTCTTGGGAAACATTTCACAATCTCTAACAAAATCTATTCTTGCAGCAGCGGGAACAGTGACAGAGAAAACAGAAAAAGGAGGAAGGGGAGGGTGATACTTACAAGCAAATATTTTTCCGATGCCTCACTGAATTTTCCCTGGTTGTGAAGTTGATTACCCTGCCAAAGTTCCAGTGACAGTTATAAAACTGTTAAGTAGATGCACTCTGTAGTTTGTACATATCTAAGTGTGTTTGACTTTCTAAGAAAAAGACACTTCCACAAACAATCGGAGGGCAAAGATATACAAAAACAAAGGGAAATTATCCATCTTTAAGAGGGCCTATCACCTGTTTCTTCAACATTTCAGCCGCATTCATTTCGTATGTGGCCTGGGAATCAAGCCGAGCACGCATAGTTGCTATCTCTTCAGGTGATGCAGTAGCAATCTTCTCACTAATCTCAGCCATCTCATCGGGACGAGTATGCTTCAATTGCTCTGCCGCCTGCCTCAAGTCTTCTGGTCTCATGTTCTTCATGCTTTCAGATGCCATTTTCATCAAATCTGGATTAGACATCATCTGCTAAGCAAAGAGCAAGTCAACCAATCGATACTGAAAAAAGCATCAATCAAACTTGCAACCAGTAAGTTATCACTACCATAATCGATACTGAAAAAAACATCAATCAAACTTGCAACCAGTACACATGCAAGTCTCGAACCATTCATCCCACCGATAATCAATACCCAAGATCACATGTAATAGGTCCAATTACCAACATAATTCACTCAATGCATGTGTTAATAGAGTAACAATAATACCAATCAACATGTTCCCCAAATTTGAAAAGCAGTAAAATTGGCGTCCAGCAAGAGGGTTCATTCATAATCAGAACATTACGCGAAATCAAAATTCACCCATTGGCCATCACCATTAGACAGAGAAAGATACAGAACTGAAAACACGGCTCAATGAACAGCTTCCAAAATCGAACAATTCGCAGCATTAGTAAAGAGGGGAGATTGAATTGAAGGGTGGGACGACGGAGAACCTGCTGCTGGATCTTGGCCAACTCGGTGGGCGACATCCGACTCATCTGCTCTTGAGCGAGCTTGATCAGCTCAGGATCCATCATTCCGTTGAACATTCTCTCCTCTCCCCCGCCAAAACAATTACAATCCAAACTCGATTCAAACGAAGATCGCCGGGAACCCCGCAAACAGATTAATTACAAGAGACGATCCCAAGAAGAACGAGAGGGGATTACGTATTCAGAGAAGATTTGGAGAAGCACCGCCGGCACAATAACAAAGGAAACAATTTCGAATTCCGTGGACTCTTCCTTCTCTCCTCCCAGAAAACGAAGTCCGTGCAAGCAATACAAGAACAAAAAAAATTAGATGGATGAAGCTAGTCGGGTCGTTATCCAATTTTCCCGCGTCTGCGTTTTTCTAGATCGCCAAACAAAGCCTGCGATTGAAAATTCTCGGAACCGGAATCGTCAATCTGGACGGTGGACGGTGACGGTGGAGGAGATGAGTTTTTCCTTTCTTTTTGTTTTGCTGGGAAAGGAGGAGGAGGAAGCCGGGAAGGTCGAATAAGCGTAGCCTTCTGGAAGGTTTAATTTACTCTTTTGACCCTAATTTGCTGTTTTGTACGGTGGAAAGTTGACGTGGCATGCACAAGGTGGATTTTGCTTCCGGGGAATCAAACTTACATGTCGTTTTGCTGTTGAAGTTAGATCAACAGTCTACACATAATATAATACGCCGAAGGGAAAAACGGGAGCTCCATTTCAAATTTCCTGCAAATTCATTAAAAAGACACGTACTGGGATTTGAACCATGACCATTTTAAAGAAAAGCAAAGACCATAACCAATCACACTAAGTACATTTGTTGTATCTTTTTAAATTAAAAACATATAATAGCAGGGAGGGAAAAACCCTTTCCCCATTTCAAATTCCCTGCTCGAGGAGCGTTTGTAGGAAGGGTAGAATAGGGAGTGTCAATTTTTTTCTCTTTCCTCTGTGGAACGGGCCAACTTACTGTACACATGCGAATTTAAACGGGCCCAGGAGTGTCAATTTTTTTCTTTAAACCTTTTTATTTCTCTGTGGTGATAAAATATATATGAAAAGGAGTTGAATGCATGGTATCCAATGAGCTAATCGCTAATCATAAAATAAAAAAGTTGAATGGGCCTGACCTACATGGGATTTGGCCATCAAGTGAAACAAATGAACATCATTGGTTTGCCATTCTAAAACAAGCTATTTTCTCTGGCATAATATATATTGTGCTATTATTCTATATCTTAGTGGCTAAAATATAATGTATTTTAGAGTTATTCCATGGTTCAACCTCGACCAACCCAATTAGTTCAATTTTTATCATTTCAAATATATATTTTATAATTATTTGATATCATAATGATCAAATTATAGTGTATTTTATAGGGAATCGTTTGGTATTTGTTAGTAAAAAACTAAACATAAAAGATCTATTTAGTTATTTTAAACATTAAAACGATCCTAACTATTTTTAGTTCTTTTTGAATTTCTATGGTTTTATTCCCGAATAAGTGATGTGAAAATGGCGAATTGTAGTCGTCTCTTTTCTTTCACTATTTTTTATTTTCAAATAGAAAGTTTAAAAGTAAAGAATAATTAGAATTTGGCATGGGTCGGTCAAACAGGCTGAATTTCAAGTTTTGGCCCGTTTGTTTTATGCATTGCAAATTTATTAGCATGTTGATGGAAATGGCTTGGAAAAAGACATATAAGTTGTACCTTTGCAGAAATGTCCTCAAATGTTTGAATGCTTTGTGAATCACTTTTCGTGACTTTTGTGATGGTGTATGTGCTTGACGATTGCGATGTTGTAACTGCTTAATTTGAGAGTAAATCTTTTGATTTTCCCTATGAGTTGTGATACCAGTTCTGGTGGTTGCAACATGTTGTCGTTGTTGGCCTGTAAAAGTTGTTCTGCCGTGATGCTAAATACCTTTCTTTCTTTTTTAACAAATTGTGTAGTAGTGCTATGAAACATACCACCCATGAACGCGACGCTTATTATGGTCTGTTCTTATTTCCGGTGGTGAGAAATTGTGAATTGAGAATCATATTCGCCTACCGCACTGTGTCTGGTTGGTGGTTGCTTACTGTGCTCTCTAGAGTTATGAAACAGACTACCCATGAACGTTACCCTTAAGAGTCCATAACTTTGCGAAAAACCAAATTTAGGCAATCAAAGGTGGTGGATGTGTGATGATTTTTTATGGCTTAATTGTTTGTGAATTGGATATCTGATCTTTGTATGATTAGAGGGGATGTTTGCTTAATAGAACAATCTATTTTAATTCATGTTTATTTTTAACATGAACTTTAGCAACTCAAAACCTTCGAGACACATATCACCTACTGCATTGTATCATTTTTCCTGGGTGCTTGTTGTGTTGTCAAACTTCTTTGCTGATGCTGCTTTTATACTAACAGGGGAGTTAAGAACCCATGAATGTTTCCGTTTGACACAAACAGGAGGACTTGCTTCTAAATCGTGCACTAAAGATGATTGGAGGAAACATTTCTGTTGCAGTTGATATACTGCAGACCAGAACAAAAGCAATGTATAACATCAAAACCAACCATATGAACTATTAGCATTGTTGCTTTACTATTTTTTCGTGGTTGAGTCTCCTTCAAAAAATTTAGTTTGATTTTAGAAAATTTTGCTTCTGCAGTCCTGTCTTGCCACCAACGCGTTCAGTAGATGGAGATGGCAGAGGCGAAGCCTATTTTTGTGTTGTTGTTGCTGGTTTAGGGATCGGTTTGTGAAGAAGAGGGAGAAGAGAGGGGGAAAGGGAAATGCAGGAGAGGGGGGTAACTCTTTTCTCCGACAAAAATGGAGTGAAGAAAGGAATTATGATCAATAAGAATATGGTTATCTTACATAACGGTCTCTATTCTATTTGAATTGAGCTTGAGAGGCAGTGATTAGGACGAGCTGCAACCAATTCATAGTGAGAAGAGAGCTATGAACTGTGATCATGTCTTATTTCAAGTTAGAAGGTAGTTTCAGTATAAGGATTATTTAATTTGACAAGTTGCTTCGTCCATTATTCTTGGTAGTTTCAGTGTCATTCTAGCCATTGTTTAGTCTGTAATTTTTGAGAATTGATGTGCGAGTAATGACTTTCGCTTAGCTTCAACTATTATGTGTGTATTTATTGGCATGTGATAGAAATCTCTTTTCCTTTTCTTTGAATTCAGTTTCATACTCTAATTGTATCATTTGTACATAGGCAAATCATGCTCGAGATGACAACTCGCTAATATGGCTGGTGCAAGGAACGAAGCCATCATTAGAATTCAGACCGACAACGGGGAGGGATGCCCAGGACTAATTCAATGATGATTGATGATGGTATAATAAAGACTGCAGTCTGCATCAGCACCAATTTCTAGGCCTAAGTAAAGTTATTCAACCCATAACTCTACTTAGAGCTAAAAATTTCCCTAACCCAACCTTGATCCTGTTTGACCCACTTCTGAAGAGTCAAGATATATGACTAATCCTCTCCGTTCGTATTTTCTTATTGACTCTTTCCGACCCTTTAGGTTAGGACGGGTCGGGAGGAATCGGATTAGTGGGTCGGTCCTAATCAAATGGAATCCCAATCCCTTCACTCTCACTTGCTTTCTCTCCCATTCCACAAGTGGGTAGCATACAGTAATCCGGCCAACGGGCCGGGTAATAAGCTAGTTTTTTTTATAAAGGGGATTTTATTGCACTTCAAATTGATCTCAGTTACAAAGAAAGAACGAACCAATAATTTGGTTTCAACGAGAGGAAGCCTAAAGGCATTCGGTTACAAACAAAGCTGTGTAAGACAAAATGCAGCAACAAAGAACACAACACAGTCTACAAGCCACCCGGAAAGAGCAAAACCCTTGACCGAAAACAGATAATCAAGAAACTTCCTTGCAAACAACCAATCAAAGTGCAACAAAACCACAATCAGCTTATCCGATCATATCGAAATCCATGGTAGTTGAACATCATCACCCCATGTGCCGCTCCTGGGGAAAACTCAAGGGCATCCATCACAGTGAATCTAGTAACTAGACTGCATGGCGGTGGAAGAGGATATAACCAGATTGCTCCAAGCTGAAGAGGCAGAGGAGGCCGAGGCAGAGAGATCAGGTTCGAAGAAGAGCAGAAGCTCTCAAAGTAGCGACAAACCTCCACGAAAACACCGAATCCCAAACGTAACCACCGGAGATGGCCCAACCCACCACCATCCGACAGCTCACCAAGCCACTCATACACCTAGGGAGGTCGGAGAGGGAAAGAAGGGAATGGCTTCACCTTGAAGATGAGGCCACCAACGAGGGACAAACCCACCATCCAGATCTGGAAGAGGCTCCCAAGTTGCAAACTCCAGCTCCTACGACGAGCAAGCCCAGGAACATAGAACCAAGATATGAAAGAATAGCCATAGCTCGACTGGAAAGGAGAAAACTGAAAGCCAGAACGGCTGGAAATCCGATTGAAAACTACTATTAGTGTTGAATCTGAAGATTCCAAATTCGAATTTCTTAAGTAGCCACTAATTAAAAAATACTACATATATCATATATATATATATATAATTAGCTACATTTATGATAAAACTTCATCTTCATTTTTTATTTCGTTATGATTAGACTTAGACTATGTTTATCACTGTGAATATTAATGCAATTATGTTGTAAACCCACAGTTATCCATATCATCTGCAATCACCAAACCCACTCACGCATGCATGCATATGTAGGTGTGTCATTTTGTCATTCATTCACCACATAGAGGCTAGTTCCAAACCAACCCAAATTCACATAAATCACCCACTGCTCAACTAATGAGCACTTACCACTAGGGGTAGGCGATGAGTGAGTTGGGTGGATTTTGGTCGCAAATTGATCCATTCGCTTATTAATGAGTTAATACAATTCCGACTAGCTATCCACCCACATTTTCTTTGAGTTCTGTTGAGTGAGTGGTGGATGGATGCGGTTGAATTGTGGGTTAACCCGCAAAAGCAATTCTCTGACTAGTGATTAGACAAATTGACTAGTTTGTATAATAAGTCATTTGGATGACTGGCAACTCGCCCACCACACACCTGAATAAGTGTGGGTAGAAAATTTCATATTCACAATTCACCAACCTCAATCACACAGTCACCATGATTTGAATTATTTGCAGGTAAATCGATATCAAACTGCGAAATATAATGCGGAGTTGCTCGCCCTACTTACTTAGCCCAGTGACCCGTAACTTGTTTGAGTGATGGGCCGCTAAATCAGAATCTTTGCCAGCCCGCCGCTGGCTGACACTATTCCATAGCAGTTGGTTGGTTAGACAGAACTCGGAAGAAATACTTCGTCGCAGCGAACCGCCACACCTCTTTGCTTTACCACGCAACAAAAAAAATGGCGTCGAGGGTCGCAATTCTGAGAAACATCGTCGGCACTACCTGGTGCTGCACTTCCGGATCCAGGCGTTGGGTACACAATGTCGCCGCCGCCATGACTCCGCCGTTGAGCAATTTCCTTCACCATCCTTCTCTTCCTCCGCCTCTGCTGTTTCCGTGGTCCCTTCCGAATCCGAATAGGGATGGCGAGTGGAGCAACCACGTGGGCATCGATGGCGATTCGGGAGGGCTAGGGTTCCCGGGTTCCCCAGTTGGTGAAGCTATGGAGCTAGCTGTTCCTAAGAGAAAGGTGAGAACTTTCTCTCTGTTCCTGCTTCTTTTCTCGCCTTTGATCCTTACCCTTCATTCGGCAATCCAGTCAGGCGTTGCTTTGTGTATACTTGAACTGAAAGACTTGATTTTTAATGCTCGCAATTGAAGATTTTGGACGGTGACGGAGTTCTCTCTGTCTTATGGAACTGATTAGGGTTTTAGGGTTTATGTCAAATGCTTGGGTGGTTTTACGGTTTAGAACTTTGGGCGAATGTCTAATTAGGATGATAGCGCTACTGCTTGCATTTGCTACCTGATCATGTTATTGATTGGCATGGTCTCTGCATCAACTCATTGCAGGTTTCTCCTCATAAGAGAGGGATAAGAAATGGGCCAAAGGCTTTGAAGCCAACACCTGTGATTATTCGCTGCCGGTAAGGAATTCAGCCTCTCATTGTTAATGATAGTGAGGATTACTACTCCCTAGCTGTATCTTATAATGATTGCCGGAACTTCGAATTTTCATTGGCTAGTCTGAGTTACTACACATGTGGTGTTGGAGCTTGTACAGCATGTGTGCAGAAAGTCAGATTGTTGATTACCATATCGTTTTCAGAATTTGAATCTTTAGGAAACGTTTAAGCTTCTTATTTCTTAAACATCATTGTCATGAATGGGTAAACATAGATATTCGCTTTGAGGTGTTTCTGTTGACTGTTTTCCCCCCGAAACTTGGTGTAGAATGTCAGGAACAACTTCTGCTTCGTGTTTTCCTCTCTTGTTCTTAGAGTTATCACCAAATCAAATGCCACGATCTTTGAAAATGGAGTTAAAACCACAATGACATTCTTTTCTTCTCCGGAAAACTATTTTGCTGTTTGAACCGAGTTTCTTGGCCCTCTTGCAGTGTCAAACTATATCATCTTCGTAAAATCACTGCCTAAAAATTTCCCTGGTCTGATAATAATGGTTTATTGTCCGGTTCATGCAGGGTTTGTGGCCGAGTAAAGCTGCCACACTTCTACTGTTGCAGTGGACACAAGGAGAACGCAAACGAGAAGAATGGCTGAAACAATGGCCGAGTTTCTCTACCAATGAAGCAACTTAATGGATTGAAGATCTCAGAGCTAGAGCTAAAATCTTGTAGGCATTTTTTCCCCCTTGTCATCATTAGATCTCCTGCAGAGATATCACCAATGCAACTTGCTTGCTGGTGGTTGCGCTTTTTTTTTTTGTTCTGTTTCCTAGAAATGCTCTACTTTCAAATTTTCTATCAGTAAGTTTCATCACCTATGAAGCTTAAAGTTACTTTAATACTTTAGTTACAGTTTAGAGTTTCTCACTTAATGTGGAAGCCATTAAAGATAAACACAATTAATCACGAATTAATTGGGATATGATAATGGATATAGACTACATATGCCTAAATCGAGACATTGTCATCCCTGAAGGAGGGAAGGCAAATATTATTATCGATAAACCTATATCACTCTTATAAATAAATGAAATATTTTACAAGCAAAAATAACATCTGAGGCTGTACAAACAAATGCAAGCTTGGGTTGGACAAACGACATGTTTGATAAATGAAAGCCAAGCAGCAATACCTAAACTTCTGCCGTTAGCAACAGCTCTGGTTCAAGACACTTCATCTCTCCCAAAAGCTTTCCTCGCATCTTCTGCAACTGCCGACTTCAGAGCTCTCAACTCCTCCATCCTTCCCGTCTCCACCAACACTTCCTCCTCCGTCATCTTCATCTCGGCCTCGTTCAAATCTACAGCGAACACTGCCTGCTGATACTCAACCACCATCCGCTCCAGCTCCGACCTGCCATTTCCGATCATCTCCAGAACGGCTTCCTTCTCCTCCGCTACCTTGTCGAATGCAGCCTTCATTTCCTCTGCTGCCATCCTGCTTCTCTCCACTTCCAACTGAAGGCACTGCAACTCGACCTCGACCTTGCTCAGTTTCCTGTTTGAATCCTCGGCCTCCTTCCTCATGGAGCCAAGCCTGTCGATGGAGTGCTTCAGCTCGGCATGCACCTTGGCTTTCTCTTCCTCCGACTTTAGCAGCTCCGTGGCTTTGCCAAATGCTCCTCCTCCATCTACTCTCTCGATGTTGTCGATGGCCAACAGGACCTTCTCGTTCTCCCTCCGCCGGTTCTCTTCGTCGAGCTTGGATCTCAAAGCTGAAATCTTGCTCTTCAGCTCGAGTTGGGATTGTTTGGCCTTGTTACCTGTTGTTAAAGCCTCGAGTTCTGTCTTCTCGGCCTGAAGATGGGCAAGCTCGTCTTCCTTTTGGGAGAGGTAAGATGATGAAGCGTTCACTCTTGCCCTTGCTTGAGCTTCTCGCTGATCGAAGTAGGTGAGGGATGAGGAGAAGCTGGAGAGGGAACATCTGAGTGCTGAGAACTTGTTCTCCGTGACTGATTTTGTATGCTGCAATGCCTTGGATTGAAGCTCCAAGGAACTCAGCTCCTGTTGCTTGGCTTCCACTCTACAGGAGACTCTGTCGAACTCGGTAAAAGCCTCCTCCATTGCTGTCAGAATTCGGGCAGAATCCGTTAGCTTATTCTCCTTGGCTGTTTCTAGCTTCAATTTTGCTTCTTCTGATGCATGCAACTTCTTTCTCAGTTCATCCTTCTCGCGCATGGCAGCTTCGTAGAGTCCAAGCAACCTGTCGTTCTCTTCGTGCATCTCTGTAAGCTGCTGCTCTAAGTTCTCGAGGACTGCTTTCCTCGACTCTGAGCCATTTGGTTTGTTGCCTGGGCTGTCTACGCCCATGTTGTCACACGAAGCTTTGTATTTGATTTCAGAAGCTGCACGTTCGTACATCTCGATGAGACTGTTCTTCTCTTCGATCAAGGCCTTCAGCTTTGACTGAAGTTCTTCGTTTTCTTGGATCCGAGCTTCGAGCTTTGATCTCACTTCGGCATTCTCATTAGATAATTCTGCTTCTCGTTGAGTTGCAGCAGCAATTGCAACAACCATGGACTTGAGCTCCACGTGATTGTTAATACGAACTGAGGGCTCCTCCTCCTTTATGTGTTTTCTGGCTTCTTCAAGTTGTTCTGCCAACTCACTGGCATGCCTACAGTAAAGTAAAAGTAAGAGAATCTGTCATTTCCACGATTTTCAGGCAAATGAAGCACAAAAAATAACATTTTCAAAGAAACTCTTTACCTTTCAAGTTTGTCTCTTTCCTCTAGGCAGAAGCTCAACTGCTTATGGAGAGTGTCTATTTCTGCCTGGTTTTGAATAGCCTAAAGAGATGTACCAATTAAGTTGAGCATGTCAAATGAATAACCATCAACTTTAAAGATGATTATTTGTTATAGAAAAGAAAGACAACCTACCTGCATACAGAGGAATTCATTCTCTTCCTTCAAACGCCAAGGGGATCCAGGTTCCTGAGTTACAGAAAGACAGAAGGCAGGTCCACAGGAACTCCATTAAAGTGTGAATTGTAGCTCTTGGAACAATGATATTATTAAGAAAGCTTACTCGACAGAGTTTATAAATTACCTTGCTTAACTTGAAGAAATCGGTATCCTCATCTTTTTCCTTGACTGAATCTTCCTTCTGGAGTGCAAGTACAAAAAATATAGGTCACATGGAATTCAAATTGATGGGTACCAATATAAAAGTTGAAAGTGAGTGCGAGTAATCCAGAACCTGAGAGAAGAAGGTTTCTGATTCATGCATAAGTTTCCAATCAAGCGCCTCAAGCAACTACCAAAAAAAAGTGGGGAAATAGGTTGAGTTTTTCGAGAGTTTTGAGATCAAAATTAGAACGTTAAAACTCTCTCATATGCTTTTCATACCTTATTCTGCAACACTGTGATCTGTTCATTCATAATCTCCCTTTCACCCTCCTCGGAGTATGATTTCAGCCTGCGAGGAACACAAAGAGCCAACAGAAATTATGGTCAAAGATCTACCATAAATACAGATGAACAACAGCGAATGAAAGGGAATAATGACAGAGTAGATTATGAACGAACGAACAAGACATACCTTCTAATTTCTTCCTTGAGCTTCAAATTTTCCATGGCAAATCTTGTAACTTCTTGATTCCGATCTACTTGCGTTCGTAGAAGTTGAATCTCCTTCAATTGTTCCTCCTTTTCTTGCAACAAGTGTGTCTCTGCTGAAATTTTACCAGCAGCAACTGACTCTAAACGCTTGACTCCTGCTTCGCGGAATCGTAACCTCATTTTGAGGCCTTGTATCTCATCTTCTCTTTGCTTAGCCTAATTTTCAAACAAATGCATTAACTTGGTACTAATTTTCAGATGAAACATTGATAATAATAGAATGAAAGGCCACCTAAAGAAGAAAAGAAGAGGGGTATTAGGATCTGCTAACTTCATTATTTTGCGACCTTTGTAGTTTCCAGATTACAAATACTAAATTTTCTTCATGAAAATTGAGTATAAATATGCTTAACAATAGGACGTAATCTACCAAAAGGAAGAAGTTTGTTTCGGACATACCAGTTGCAAGACTGCCTGGTTCTCAGCCTTCAGTGCCTTCAATTCCATGTCCTTATCTTTTTCCCTCCTAATAGCTCCAATAAGGGCAATCTCATAGTCTGGCTTCTGATGAAAAATAATGAAAAAGGAAACCAAGCAGTTAGCTAGTAGCTAATATGTCTTATCTGGATGTGGTCTAATGCTCAATAATTTAGCAAATACCTGAGACGCCCTTTTGTCAGAGACAAAAGGAGTGAAGGATCCAGCACTAGGTGATCCAGCAATGCTTACTGCTGAAGCTTCGATTCCAGCAAAACTGCCTGCTCCATCATTCATTAAACTGCGTAGGTGGGAAACCTCTTTCTGGAAACAAAGATATGATCATTTTTTAAAATTTATCAAGTGGAACACCTAAAAGTAAGTACCGAGCTAATACAAAACTCCATCATTATGGAGTTCACTTGAGAAAACAAGAGAATAGAGATGGTGAATAGAGCCCAGTTACCTTCAGCTGCTGAATTTGCATCCGCATTCCAATCACATCTCCCGAAGTATCTTCATTGACAATTGCCTAAAGGAAGGTAGGACACCAACCTTAGATTACCCATAAAAGAAGGCCACAGTACAAGGACCATAAAAAAAATACAAGGAATAATTGAAGTTTCAAATAATTCAATATCAACAGGAGTCCACGACTTCACTGCTAATAGAAGGATGAGTGTTGATCACTTACATTGTTCTTAATGAACTTTGCACGTTGTGCAAACTTCAATGTGCCTAATGTTTCTAACGAATTGCTGCAACAAGGCAAACAGCACCAAATTTAATCATCACAAATTACAAAAACAATAGACCTTGAAAAGGTGTAACAGCTTCTCGGCGTCGACCAAAGTAGAAAATACCATTTGCAGAAACAAAAACAATTCTGCTAAATTGATGACTGTGAGCAAACTAAGCTACCACGAATTTGGGTGTTAAGTCCATACTTCAAAGTTCAAACAATATTTTATTTTTCTAGTCTTATGCCATGAGAGATCCACGGGTCCAGAGTTCTATATGAGAACGATGTGTGTATCAGAAAGAAAATTGTTAAGTGAGGAAGCTATCCTACATATGCATTTTCTAAACAGCCATATGACCATATCTCTACTCGCACATAAGCGCATTATTGGAAAACCAGCAAAGGCAGAGAGTTAAGGAATTCGCAAAAACTGTGGATACACAGTGTTTTGTTTCCCCTTAAACAAGATAAGTTGGTGACTCACCAGAGAGCTGGACTAATATTTGCAACTATGATAGTTTTTGAATTGCCTCCGAGAGAGTCCTGAAATAAAGGAATCAGTTAGAACACAAAATCCTAGAATATAGACATCCCTCTGCAATGAATGTTCCCACTTGACACAGTTTACAAATTCGAACGTCAGCAACTCGACTTTAGATGAGCTAAGTTTTCAGACATTGGTGACGCAATGAAAATCTTATAATAATTATTACCATCTTTGAATGAGGTTATAATTCCTATGAACCAGCAAATTCTAAAAGTTAAAAATTCAGAACCAACTCAATAAAAGACACTATGGCATCAGCAGTTTGTCAGTATCACAAGTTGCAACTTTGGCAAACCTAGAGATCCAAGGACCAGCCATAATGGAAGCAAATTCTTCAATTGGCTGACAGTACGATGAGCTACGAATATTTCTTCTGATGGAAAACAGAATAGAACTACTATATAAAATTATCTTTCTATTCTCAAGCAATTATGTGCTGTTTGTCTGTTACTCTGTTTCAAAGCAAATCATTAAGAATTTATCATGCTATTCGAAATAGCATCAGATGCTGACTATAAGGCCAACATGTCACTAGAGCAGCAACCAACCTATCTATCATCACCACTCCAAAAGTAAATTTACTGCATGAATGTCTACCTGAAGCAAAAATGTCAACTTTGAGTCTCTGTATGGAACATGGAGTGATTTTCCATTGGATATGCTAACAAGATTCATAATCACAAGGCTGCAAGCAATAAGTGAGATCAGAGAATAGTTTTGTGAATAACTGGTACTTTCACTGTAGCAAAGAGGCAATCTTTCAATCGTCCATGACAAATATTGTGGTATAAGGGAGACTATACCCCAAGGTGGATAGGGACTTGTTAATGTTTGTAGCTTCCTTGAGTCGTTCTCCTTCAGCACCAGAACTCTTCTGCCTAGGGGCATATAGAACAAGATCAAATGAAGCATTCATAATTAACTCCTGAACTAAATCTTATGTTATGCTATCAACATTTAAAAACATTTACCTTTCGGACCCAGCTAAATCAACTAGGTTAAGTCGAGCAAATCGGTGGTGAGTTACACCTTGTGATTCCCACTGATAAGAACTCAAATATCAGCATTAATCAAGCTCATGCAAAATATACAAGATACTTGGATAATAAGGTCTCAGTGTGAGTGAAGGATGATATACTAACCTTACTTTCAATAATGCACGTGAATACACTGTGAGAACGACTACTTGCATGGTTCATATTAGTTGCAGCCACTTTCCTATTTGCTGCACCCTGAAAAATAATGTAAACAGAGCATTAAAACCCATCTCAAGTAAACAATGGTGATATCCATCTCAAGTATTTAAGAAATATAACATCTAGATTTAAGGTTGACATACACTATATTGAGATGAACAATTGCAAGCTACAAATGATAAAATTTTGTGTGCTTTGGTCACTCATATTTACATTGCATTGCAGTTGTGATGGATACCATACCAACTCAAAACCAAGTAGGGTATGGATTATGGACATAGGTTTTGGTAAATGACCAACCGTCGACAAAGATTGAAACAAAGTATTAACTCATTAACCTGTGCATTCCCGCTATGAAAGCTTCAGTATGAATCACACCAAGCATGAAAACTATAGCTACTAGTGGAAAAGAACTTAACGGATCATATAGTACCTCAATAAGCTGTTGGATTACATCTCGAGCGCTGGTGACTTCTACCTCTTTCAAATTTTCGACATATACTCCTTTCTTCACATCTTCCCTTATCTATAACATGCAATGAAACAATTTCAATTTGTCAAAGTAAATCAAAGAAGTGAATAAAGGAAGTGTGATCGTCTGTCTAAACATTGTAACTTGTAAGACAAGAAAACTTGCAACAACATGAGAAAGTTCTGACTATTAAAGCTACAGATACTGAAAAGAAGACTTGAATTCACATAAAATCAAGTTCTCAATATCAAGACTCTGAATATGAAGCGGTAACAATGTAAGCTTAATGTACCTGTAAATTGTTCGAAGATGGGTCCAACAGATCAAGAATCTGTTCATTATATATCTCCAGGAAAGAGCATTTGCAAACAAACTTAAGTTTTTCATCTTTCCGAACATCTTTTTCCTATACAAAAAAAAAAAAGGAAGCAATTAGTCATTTTCTTGAATGATGCAGATGTCAGCATTTGTAGTGCCTGTGCATAAAAAATCTGTGTACACGCAAGGAAGAAAAAGACAAAACCTTCAGTGACAAAACAAGCTAGAAAACAAATGTTGATTGGTTAAAAAAATATGGGATAATGCAAACCTTTTGTATTCTCGAGAACAAGTATTCAAAGACTCTAGGCGTCATCCCACAATGGACACTGTGTCTTCTTGTACCTCCTTCTATGTCTCCGAGCATCGTGTAAGTCTTCCCGCTTCCTGTCTGCATCAATAAGACGGTACCCAAAAATTGGAACCAGTGATGGACAACTCATATGAATGATAAGCTAGTCAAATAAAATTGTATTTACAGTAGAAGATGTTTGCTGAAACTAGTAGTAATACTCGTTGGGACTTCTAGCTCTGGTTACACCATTAAGTTCAGTCAAGGAGTGAGCTGAAATGAAAGGATAAAATAGAATTGACCTAACACTCAGAAGCATACCTGACCATATGCAAACATACAACTATTATACCCTCCCATGCAGTTGTCAACCATCGGCAACCCAGCCACCTTGAACATTTGTTCCTGAAACGAAACACAAAATTAGAGCCACCACATAAAAGTAAGGTAAATTGGAGGTGTGCAGAAAAGGTAAAGCAACTGAGAAGGTGAATCACACTCAACCTGGCTAACATTCTCGTCTGCAACGAGATCGAAAGTATAGCGGGACTCTGGAGGCCCAGTCCAAGCTATCACCTGAGGACTCTCTCGCCGGACGCAAGTTTTATGACCTTGCTGGGAAATTTCTGAACCACTCAGTGGGCGCATTCTTATGATAACCTGCCAAACTAGTAGTCAAACGTTTGTTTCCATCATTCTATCTATGCAAACATGAACACAGGATAAGAACTTCCAGGGAAGCTCCCACTTGAAAGAGTAACCTACATACATAACACAATTCCCATTGCTCCATAGGCATATCCAATGATGACGAATCGATTTCACTAGCCAACCGAACGAAAAATTTACCAGCAAATAAATTCAGTCATGACCTAGCTCAATATGAATTCTCGTTTCAGAATCGCAACCCTAATACACTCCTAAGCCTACTGTAAGTGTCAGAATCGACGAAAAGTTTTCTCAAGTCTCACCTGAACGTTGTTGTCCTTCCAGAACGATGAATCGTCACCGAGCTCGGAGCTCTGACTCGGCAACCCGATCGTTTCACCAGCGTCATCATCATCGTCCCACTCTACGATCCTCCGAGCTGCGGAAGCGGCAAACAGAGGCTTGCCGGATGTAAACTCGTCCTGCTGAGCAGCCGAGTTCAGCAGAAGAGGAGTATTCGGCACGGACTCCGAGGTGTAGCGGTCGTTGAACCCGAACTTGCTCTTGATGGCACTAGCGGCGGCCTCGTAGTTGAAAGGCATTTTTCGCCCCGGACTGGATTTGGCTAATTCTCGCCGGCGATCTTTACTGCTTCCGTCTCGAGCTGAGGGGGAAAGGGAAAGATTAGCAAGTTGCCCGCGGAGGAAGAAAGGGGAAGCGTTTGAAATGGCCGAGTGTTTCAGAAGATGGGGGGAAATACGAGAGGGAGATATGTGAAGTGAAAGGAAGTGATGATCCGACGGTGGAGAAGTGAAGATAGGGTCTGAGATGGAGGGCCGTGATGTGCTGGATTTTGAATTAGTGAACCGTTTGAGGATCTGGGTTATAAAACAAAGAAAATATCGAATAATTTGTTAAGATATCACTTGACTTCACCCAATTACAAAATGGTCACTCAATACTTTTTATGTAACAAACCAGTAATTTCGGTAAACACTCGGGGGTGGTTGTGGTGATCTACACTTCAACGATCAAGTCAATATGGAAGAGTATATAACATGATGAGAGTCATTTCCTTTCATTGGAAGATTTAAAAGTTAAAATCCTGTGTATAGGTTAGGATTTGTATCTTGTCTCGCGCTTTCACTAGATCTCGAAACAACCAATGGACTATGACACATATGTACCTGATGGATACTAATGGTGGTTTAGATCGATTTAGTCATACTGACCTATCATGTCTATATTTTGGATGATTCATTCATAAGATTTTGCATATCACCACTTCGCACGGATCACACCCTTCAATTAATGGCACGCCAATCACTGCCACTTTAGATGAATCACGTTGGGCCTCGAAAAAATAAAAATGTCGTGTTTGATCCAGACATTTGTTATTGATTATCCTGTAATAAAAATTTTCTGAACTTGAATTTATATTACCATTCAGAACACCTTACTACTTTCTAACAAAATAGAAAGTGTTACTGAATTAAGCTTGCACCCATTACCAACAATTCACCCAACAAGATGACTTTTTCAAAAAGTTGTATATTGAAATCTCATAGAAAATGAGAGATAACGGAAGTATGCTTTGAAGAGCTCAACCACCAAGTTCAAGAGGGAGCTTAGATCTGCAGAGGTGCATTGGTAACAAGGAGTTCATGTAAGAGCATGTGTGTTCTATTACTGCAGACATTAGATCGTCAAATTACGTAGTGAAAATTTGTATCTTTGGATTAAAGTTTATATACATCTAAAAGTTAATCGCATACCACTTCGATTAATTATTAGAGATTTAATGGATTTATAATATCAGCTCAACATTGAGTAGTAAATAAGCTAGTTGGGCTTTATTGGCTTGAATTTTTTAGTTTATGTGGTCAAGCTCCTTCTTCTTGGCCTAGGTGGTCGATCGCCCCCATGGCCTCTATAATCGATATCGCCTCTCCCTTGTACCAACCCAATTGGTATGAATTATATGGCTGGAAAAAAAAACTTAATTCTGGAACAAGACAGAATTGGTAGCCAGCCAAGTGGGTACCAGGCCGATATGACAGGCTTGGTACCAATATATGAAATTTAACTAAGTTTGAAAATCAAATAGGCTTGGTAGCCAAGTCAACAAGGTACCAAGCCGACAGGCGACAAGACGAGCTTGGTAAAGAGATACGAGATATGGCTAAGTATGGATACCAAACCGACAACACTAGCTTGGTGGCCAAGCAACAGGATACCAAACCGAGTACCAAATAGGGAGTCGTACAAAGACTAAGTCTGGATACCAAGTTGGCAAACGGGTCTAGTAGCCAAGCAAGAGGGTCCCAAGTCGGCAAGACGCATAGATTTGGTATCAAGTTACCAAACCCCCAAAAACTAAGTATAGAAATCAAACTGGCAGGGTACCAACCCGATGAGGATGTGACAAGATGGCCACCCGTTAGGGTACCAAGTCAGGTACCAACTAGAGAGTCGTACAAAGACTAAATTTGGATGCAAAGTTGGCAAAACAGGCCTGGTATCCAAGCAAGAGGGGTACCAAGTCGGCAAGACGTACAAACTTGGTATCAAGTTACCAAAACTTCCAAAAACTAAGTATGGAGATCAAACTAGAAGGCGTCAACCTGATGAGGGTACCAAGCCATCATGAACACTTCCTAGATTCTCAAGACTAAGTATGAATCCTCGGGAAGAGGCTGGTCGGCCAGGATGCCGAGCTGATATGGTGTCAACTTGATGAGGACTTGGTGTAGAGCCATTAGTGGGCCATATGGAGACTAAAAAAGTCGCAAAGACTAAGTATGAGAGCAAGCCGACAGGGACCAACCTAACTACTTAGTAGCATGGGCTATCAAGTCGGAGAGACGACAAGATGTTAGGTTGATTACAGAGATTTGGTTACAAGCCAAAAGGTATCAAGTTGATGAGACATGCTTGGTAGCAACAAGTACAAGTCGACGAGGAGGACTTGGTGTCAAGTCAGCTAAGTGATAAGCCGACAGGATGAAACCAAGCCCTCCAAGACTAAGTGTGGAGTCTTAATGTGTAAAGGGGCTAAATTTGCATCCCATAAAGATGAGTAACCAGGCCTACCTAACAAGATGCGGAAAACAAGCCGAAGAGGCGTGCTAGGTAACGAGATGAAGATGGTATTGAGTCGACATCAAAAGAGCAAAGTATGAAATCATTAGGGCTATCAGGGTTGTCAAGGAGGCTCGATGGAAGGGCGAATGTGACGGAGATAAAGCGAGGAGACCTCAACCCCATCCGGTTAGGACGAGATGAGAGACCATCAAACTGACACCAACTATCACCAAAGCGGTGATAAGGGCCCTGGGGAGATTGAGTAGGAGGCTAGCTAATTGTTACAAGGCATTTACAACTGATGGCTATAAAAATAGAAGAAACGAATACTGAAAAGGGTTCCACAACCAAACATTTGACACCATATGTCAAACTTTATCATTTCTCTGCAATGTAGCCACAGTCGTAGCTTTTAGTTTATGGAGTTCTCGCTGAATCGCCACAGGAGTAGGAGTAACTTCACTTAGTTTTCTCAACCATCAAAAACATCAAACATCCTCGTTCGACATTGGTTTAGAGTGGTGTGACCCGTGTTATTAATCATTATTCTAGAAATCAAAGGTGCATTCATTGAAATCAAACACTAAAGTTGTCTTGGTGGAAAACAATGTGGAAGAAGGAAATTCACAAAGTATAAAAGGCATATTAAGATGTGATCTAGGCTAACTAAGAGAAGCTATTATGCTTAGACAATAGTTTCTTGATGAGGTATCATTTAGGATGAGATACCTTCACCCTCGCATACCATATAGTACATCGAGCCGGTTTCTTGCTTCATCTTGCCATTTTCGCAGAACACACATTTCGTGCCCCCTTTGATAAAGGACGAAAGAAAGCAAACAACAATCGATAGTGATACAACACGGTTAACTAGACTCGATGTGCCAAACAATGAAACGCAAGGTGAAGCCTAAACATTATCCAAGTTTCACCATTTTGTTGTGAACTCAGCTTTAATGCTCTGAAGGGTATGTAGGTCGTTAACTAAAGCATCTTGCATGTTACCAATGTACTATCTACTCAAGGATATTATCCCTATTAATCCCTAACTTCATCTCCAAGATATTGATTGGTTTTCACATACTCCAATTTACTCTTTGTAAACACTTCAGCATCCATTCTCTTCTCATGCTTCACGATTTCAACAACTGCTCTGTTGGCAAGTTAATTTTCAGTGCATCACACAGACTAACTCTACAACTCTGCACCATACATTCATTTATCCAGATTCCCAAGAGCAAAAACCCAGAACCCAGAAAAGAGGCATATCACCATTTCCAGCAACTTGCACGGCCTTGGCTCCACAGCTCCTGCACATTTTTACAACATAAAACAGATGCACATAACTCCCATCAGCCACTAAAGGGCCGGCAATTGGTTTCTGAGATGGAAATCAAAACCGGCTTAAACCAGCCCTTGTTTATGACAAGTTTGGAGAGAGCAATAACATTTTTCAAGAATAAACTTCACCCCACTGAACTGATGGAGAAGGGAAATCCCTCCAGCGCCTCATTACATTTAGAAGACCAGAAAAAAACGCCAGCCAGCCCAGCCAAGGCCCCAACCAAACCATCCTGACCGACCCCAACCGAACCCACATGCAAAAACTAATAACTTCTCCTACTACGTACTCAAATGATAAGTAAACCTAAGAGCAGCAGCACTAGCAGAAAAAGAAACTGGAATTCCCCTTCTCTAACAACACATACAACCCGACCTCCATGGCTCTCTGTCTCTCTCCCCTATATTTATGTATGCCTAAATAAATCTTTCTAGTATCCTTGATCTGCTGGGCTGTGGAGGCAAGAAATCCTCCAACCGTAAACTGGATCCGGATTTGACCTCATTCAACCCGCTCTCCCCTTTCTCTGCTTTTATTATCTCCAAAGTGCTTCCAAGAACATCTCCAGCTAGCCCAACCTCCAGTAACTGTCCGGCTTCCTCACCGCCTTCCTTTAATATCCGCCCCAACTCCCTCAGGGGCACCACGTTTTCCACCACAACTCGTCCAAAGACGCGTCCCAGGAATTCTGCAGCTTTAGGGGCATCATTCACAGCGTCCTCCAACGTACTTAGCACCAACTCGAACCTGCAAATATATCAGTGAAAGTAAAAAAACCAGCCTTGTGTTCCAGACCCAAAATTCACGACCATTAGTAAGTCTGGGTCACAAGCATTTTACCCTTGAACAAGGTGGCCTGAAGTCAGTGCTCCGTCGTGAGACCTTGCAAGACTTACAATAAGCTTAGCTAAGAGGTCTCTCTCCATGTCTTTCCTCTCAAATGAATCTGTGACCCAGAGTGAGATCATTGAAGGATGGAACCCTGGAGAATTCAGGTCTTTAATGCATAGGACTACTTCTCTCTCATCTCGGGCACTAGAAATCACAAAAGCACAAACAATCAATTACCTTGTCAGATAAGATAGCAGACCGACCAAAACTGCTACTTCAGCTTGAGTTGTTCAGCTTTAAAGAATGTAATATAGATAGCAGAAACCATAATACTTAAAAGTTCCTAAAGCCACAGCAGATCTCATTTAACGAACAACCATGCCCTGAGACTAAAAAGTAAAGTCCACTACATCCCCAAGAGATTCCAGAAATTATATCTCACTGATGGAACCTTAAACCTAGTATATCTGCGGATTGCTTGGGACCAATAATTGGTCGGAATTCACTCAACTGTTCCATTTGATTCTATGCTCTTTTTTTTAGCATTATAGGTGAGGTTGGTCTCGAGCTTTGATTTAGGTTTGGTGGATTCTACAATTCTTTCACAGTAATGGAAATATATCAATTAGCTACATATACAACCCAAGTAACATATGAAGCATGTTCAAGAACAAAATAACAGCACACCACAAAAACCAAGTGCTATGCCGAACTCTCCCATATACATATTAAAAATATTATATGTGTATCCTATCCTGACTGAAGAATGAGGCTGGCAAAAGAGCAACTTAAAAGAGAGACACAAGGAAAAAAAGGATTTCAAAGTTTTATACAGGCGATTGAGGCAGAAAAATAATCTCCTCTGCTAATGAAAACGGCACCTAGCCTATATGGTCTTGCTCGAGAATGACTTTCAACCAACACAAAGGGCTGGCCTGACATGAAAATATTGCCATAATTGGCAAAGGACATCCCTTAACTAACCAAGAACAGGCTTGTCAAAACATTGTCATGGAAACTGGAGCTAAGCTACTAATGTTTATGGCACTGGGAGTGGGACATAAAAAGAACATGAGGTAGTAATAATAATGTAATATACCAGTTGGGCGAAAAACCTTCAATATGGCAATTAACAAATAGAATAGTAAGGATCAAGATGGTTCAGATAACCCAGATAACTTTTCAAGTTAAATAAAATTCACAGCAAGAAGCTAGCAGATCTAGCTACTTAGCAGAAAACATGCCAATGCTGAGTTACTGCTGCATAAAAAGAATGCAACGTACACAGTTTTGAAGGTGAGAAACTATACCTGTAGAATTCTTTGATAGCTGCCATTGACATATCTCTTAGGCGTTCCTCAGGCCATGCATTTTCTGAAGGTGCATTATGGCTATCAATAGGAACCTGTGATGGAGAAGGTAGTGATGCAGCATGAGATCTATCAGAATCACGATCCATATTTCGAGCATCCCTGCTAACATGATTTACATTACGATCTTGGGGCACGTTAGATCTATCAGGAACATATCTCGGCATAAGATCTTCCCTTGGGGCATAAATAGGACGCTCTGACACACCGCTAAAACCATTCAAACCAGATCCCACTCTTCTAGAGTCACTGGGTGATGCAGAAATATCAGTCAAAGGACTTGCTGCAATTGCAGCAGGTGACCCTCTAATCGACATTCCTCTAGCAAGGCCACCTTGTGGACCCAAAGTTATAGAGTCGTCGCCAAGTGGTCTTTGAGGCAAGGGAACTGATAAGGCCGACTGTCTATCATCATTAGTATGCCGAACATCCTGACTTGGGAATCCACGTGAACTGGGGAAACCATGAAAACCACCCATTTGAGAATTTGGAGAAGGGTGCATAGATGACCCTCTGGGGCCAAAATCCATTGTTCCCCTTCTCGCAGGCGTACTAGGATTCCGAGAACCCCTGCCGCCTTGATGCTGTCTTTCCTGAGCAGCATCCCTGTGCACTTCATCAATCTTTTTTGGCCCTTCGACCTTCCTTCTCTGTTGCCATTTGTTCCTCCTAAGATCTATAGCATCCTTCAACATGAATCTAACCCTCGACGATAGTTTCATGTTATTTGATAATTTTGACATCCTGTCAAAGTAAGCATCCATATGCTCCTTCGCTTTCGGATGATCTATCATCTCACCAATGGTGCTCATCAACTTACATAATGCTTCCACATCCTCCTCATCAGGATTCTGATACTGGCCCAACAACTTTTTGATGCACTCATGCATTATTCTCTCTGTCAACATCTTCTTCTTGTATAGCTCTCCTATCAACCGTATATTACCAAGCATTCTTCTTCGAGCATTCACCCTTTTTTCTTCCCTTGCCTCTGCTGACAGTTTGGTCTCTCCCTCCTCATCAGCTTTATTTGCTTCTTCTTCCTCTTTTTCTCCCCTCTCAAATTCCTCCTGACACTTGTTCAGAAGTAGTCTCTTGAATGTTATTTTTTCATTATCTTCAGTGAAATCAGGCAAATCCCCAGCCATATGATAGCAAAAGTTGGCATACATTTCGCAGAAGGTAGGCTCCATCAAAGCTTTGTCAAAAATCTGAGAGATAACGCCTGTTAGAGTGACTGCATTGTCAATGTTAACAGCCTTCACTTGCTCAAAAAGCTTCTCGAAATTTTGAGGTGTGAGCTTGTTCAAAATGGCCTTCAGTTGCCTCTGCTTGGCCTGTTCTTCATCAGTTACTTTACCAACTTCATACTTTCTCTCAGCTCTGTGCATCACCTGTAATGGAGTCTGCGGAGAAGGAATTAATCCCTTCTGGAAATTGGTAGCACGCTGCCACCTGTCACCATCAGGGCTGTTCCTGGACATTCCTTGAGCACCCACTGATTGCATTGGCCCAGATAATATTCCTCCAGCATACTGCATTGGGCTCTGAGCTCGTGGATTCCTCAAGACACCAAAATTTCCAGCTTGACCAGGTCGGACGCCCATATTTGCAGCATAACCTATATCTACACGCAGATCTCTCCCTGAGCCATAATGACCAGGTTGTTTGTTCCACCTGTCGTCATCACCCATGTTTCCACCTCGCCGGTCCATTCTCGATCCACTGTTTGACCTATCCACAACTCTTCCAGAGCTAGTATATGATTCACGATCGACGAGATGAGAGACATTTGGACCCATCAAGGCATCTGCTATATCTGCTGTAATTTCAAAACCCTCAGGAAGATCAGTACATTGTTCAGAAAATTTCAGGAGAAAGTCTCTGGAATATTTCTTGTCTACGTTTCCATTTTCATCCTGCTGCAACAAACTGGCCCCAGGTGGCTTTCCACTGTCAACGCTTTCCAACTTCGGTGTGGAGATGTCAGCAGCATCTTCCCAGTCTTCAGGTTCGGGTTTACTTGATGCTCCTCTATCACTTGGTGTCGAACCCACAGGAAGAGAATCATCAGCAGTTGCATCCTTTATGCTAGCACTAGTGGGCATACCAGTTGTAGTTTCTGTAGAACTGACACTCTCTTGCTTTTCTTCAGGACCTTTATAAGCCATATAGAGGTCAGAAGTTGTACCAGCTGCATCTGCTTTCTGAAGAATTTCTTTCCTCTTCTTCTTCCCTTTACCAGCATTACTCTTCGATCTACTCAATTCATAGGTTTTTTCCACATAACCAGATTGTCCATAGTCATCTCCCTGCTTCAACCCTGACTCACAGTCAACAAGCTGATTCACTGTACTTGATCTAACACCAGAATCGCCACTGTCAGTGGCTATATTGGTATCGTTTACATTGCCCAAAGTTTCGTCACCATCCAACTTCATAACAACTGATGAACTGAAACTACTGGATGAGGTAATATCTTTTTCATCTGCTGTCTTGGTAATTTCTGTATGGCAAGTCACAGGTTCATTCTGTACTTCATGTGCAATTTCTACAGTACGAGCCTCATTGCCAGAATTCATTGACGCCAAATCAGTTTTCTCCTGGGCATTATTCACAATGTCTGCAAACATTGAAGTTGCTGCCGATGACGTAACGGAACTGCTTTCATCCAATTTAGCAACATTGGGTAATTCACTTTCTCCTTTTTCTATCGCCCCTAGAGTCTCAGTTGTATTAAGAAGACTGGGGATGTTAGTTGCACCTCCAGTATCAGAAGTTTCAAGAGGAATCCCACTAGTACCAACTCCAACATTTCCAAACGTGGCTTCTGTAAGATCCGACTTTGAAGCATTTATCATCAGTGTTGATTCCTTGTTTGGATCAGTTAAACCATCAGTGGCTACTGAAGCGGACAAACTCGAAGCTGCAGTAGTTTTCACACCAACCTGTACAAAACGATTGCAAATAGAATTCAAGAAAGTATATAATTTGTTTAAAACAAAATACTATCAATACTTAATGAAAATGCCATCTCAAGAATTAAATGGATTGAGACAAACCTCATGCTGGGGCGGAACATATTCTTTTTTCACTGGCTTTTTCTGATTGTCCTTTATGGAATTGGATCTGCTAAGGTTCTCCTTCGTCCTCACTTCAGCATTTGTAGTGCCTGGTGCTAATCCCTCAGAATGATCAGACGAGGCAGCAGAGAGAGGATTGGGAAACACAACATTACCAGTGGATGAAGCAGGATCTTTAGCTGATACCCTCAATGCTTTAGATCCAGAAGTCTCAGTCCCGAGAGTCGCTTGTTGTAAGGAGCTCCCAGACTGAGTCTCCACTCGAGAGTGAAGTGAGACAACTTCAGAGGGCTTGGATGACTTTTGCAACCCACTTTTATCAGTAGCAGAAAAGCTATTAGCTGAAGGTTGAGAAGCCGTAACAGATGGGTTGACAAATGAGACATTTTGTGGGGCCTGGTTAACAGGATAGCTGAATCTAGGTGGCTGAGTCCCAGGAGGGACTTGGCCACTGGTCAACGGCAAAGAACCTGGAGGGGGATAATATAGATTACTGGCATTAAAAGAGGTAGGGAAATAGTTAATTGTATGAGAAGGTGGATAAGATGGTATAGGCTGGGATTGAGGAGGCATGTTAGGATGAGCCCTCATGCCTGATGTTCCACCATCTCCATATACATCTGTTCGCTTATCCAGCCTCAACTCCTCGTGAGTCTTTGGATCAGTAATTTTCACAGTTGTTTTCCTCGGACCGCCAAACTTCCCTCCCTGCTGTTGTTGATACTGTGGGGACATACCAATACCTAAGTTCCCTAACTGAGGAGGCAGTGGATGACCCATTTGAGTTGTAAAACTCATGCTCTGGCCTTGGTGCATGAGGCCTTGAGCTTGCATTGGGTGGTGTTGAAGACCTTGAACAAACATTGGCTGCTGGACCTGGGGGGAATTTCCCATGGCTAACGGTATGGGGATAGGCACTTGAAGAGAAGCTCCTGTGACACCCTGTGACTGCATTTGAGGGCTTGGCCCGCCAAACTGCACAGGTACCTGTGGCTGGGGAAACGGCATCTGGACGGAGGTCATAGGAATCTGAAGAACCGAAGACTTTTGTGTTTGGCTTACAGGTGGTGAAGGCAAGATCTGTGTGTCCTTCTTGGTCTTGGGAGTCAAATGAGATTCCACTATATTTGATTGGTCAGCAGAGACAGTATCCTTTGGTAGTGGCTGCTTTGGTATTGGATTTGGTAATGAAGGAGCAGATCTATATGCATCATGGCGTGCCTGCAAGTACATAGATTAAAATCGATTTTGTATGTTCGTGAGGGATTCTAGAGAGGCAGATTCCCAAATAAAGTGGGGGAAATCTACAGTACACTACAGTTATAGAAAGATGTAAATTTCATCTAGCAGGAAGCCTCTGTTATCAATAAGCAAAAAAAGTCGGCACTCGCTAAAATCTATTACTAGAGTGAGGGGGGAAAACAAAAGAAGAATGGACCTGGTCGTGCTTCTGCTCATCCAAGTTTGGGGGAGCTGAGTTAGTTCGAGCAGGAATCTACATCACAATGCTTCTTTTCAGACTGGTGCGCAAAAAATTATAAAAGCCAGCACAGCACAAGTGTAGTGAAATACCTGCATCCCGTTCATAAAACCAGGACTTATGGACCCAAACTGAAACGGGAATGACTTGGGCACATCACCTGGAAGCATACGAGACCATGTTAGGGATGAGGAGTGCCAACGACAAACAGAGAGCTGAAGTACGATTAACAGAGCATACCAACTCATAGCATAGAGAACAGATACTTACCCTTGACAGGTGTAGCTAGTGTACCGCTATCGGGGGTCAAGGCGGAAGATTGAGAAGTTGGAGCCTTTGGAACTGGCCGGGTGCTCCTCTGTGAAACTGGAGCCTCAGTTGGCCTAGCAACCTCATTTGCAGCTGTCCCAGCAGAATGACCTGACCATGATACATCAACAAAACCATAAAACAACTGGCAGTGGCTAGAGGTGCAGAAATGAAACAAAACGCTTCGTTCATGATAACAATAACAATTATATATTAACCAACACACAAAAAAGCAGCCAGCTTTATCCCCACTCGTTATTCCTGAAAGTAATTGGCTTGAGCGATCAAACATACCTTGTAATGGGGGTTGAACACGAGCGCCATTCTGCACATTATGGGCCGAAACAGCACTGGCGTAATCGGCAGAATTAGCTGCTGGTGCGTTCACCCTCGATTGTCCACCATGAGCATTGGTAGGTTTTTTAAAACTGATGCCAGAATCGACAAAAGAAAGGGGGGAGAAACAATGATGAGGTAAACAAAGCAGAACTCATAGAAACCCTAACGGATAAAAGCAGAAATCGCTCAGTGAAGGACTTCAACGAACAAATGAACCCATCAATTTAAGGATCAGAAATTGAGAACCGAATGAATAAACAAAAAAAAAAAAAAAAAAGGAAGCAATACAGAGAACACAAACAATCCAAATTCATAACGAGAGGAGAAGAGGCAAGTGAGTGAACCGGAATACCTGCGGTTGGAAGAGAGATTAGATGAGGAGGACGGTGAAGGGGCGGGGCCGGCGCCGCCGCCTCTACCGTGAGGAGGGCCGCCTGAGGTGTTCCGCTGCTGATTGAAGCTGGCGGATCGCCCTGATTTCCGAAACTGGGTATCACTCCTATCCGACCTTGATTGATTGAAGGACATATATCCGTACGCTTAGGAATCCCCCTCGCTCGGTTTTGGTACCTATAAGGGAAAGCAGATCGAGCTAGAGGGATCAAAAAAACCATACCCAGAAACAACATGCGGAAACTGTAAACAGGATGAATCAAAAAGACTGAAAACAAAAGCCAGGTAGAGGGAAACAGAAACCAAACCAAAAAAAAAAAAGAGGAAAATAATTGAACTGAGAAGACGATTCAGTACGGTAAGTAACCTACCTTTCGAGAGTGGAGAGTGAAGATTGTTGTGGGTGGGAAGAAGGGGGAGAGAGAAATTAGGGTTTTAATGGACGGTCATGGGATGGGGAGGGGAAGAGATAGTCGAAGAGGAAGAAGAAAGGGAGGAAGGAAGAAGGGGAAGCCAAAAAAACGAACAATTAGGAGAGAAAAGAAGGAAAAAGGCAGAGAGGTTAGTTTTGGTAAAAGAGTGAGAAGTTTAATTTGGAGGAGAGAGAGAGCGGTCAAAAGGGGCAGTAGGTTTTTTAGGATTCGAATAGGTCGGGTCTCCGGATCGGAGTGGAGTGCTCTTCGCTTATTTCTTCTATTTCTCATTCTCCTCATCTTTCTTCATTTTCCTTTTTCATCCCCCACTCTCTCTCTCTCTCTCTCTTATATTTTTTTGTTTTGTTAATTTTTGGAAGCAAATTTTGGTCCACTCAATTTGGTTTGTTGGGTTGGACTTTTGATTTGAGTTTTATTTTTTATATAGGATTTTTGTATAGATTGTTTGATTGAGTAGTTACTATCAAATTGCAATTGGAGAGTAATGTAGGGATTTGTCGAGAGAGAATTAAAAAAAAAAAAAAAAAAGAACGTTTCCTCCCCCCTCTCTCTTCCATCGTGCGCTGTGGCGAGTGCGAAGTGGGGGTTCCGCCTTCGTGCGCTTCGGCCGTTCCGGGCAAATCGCCGTCGTGCGACGCCGGGTTCTGGCCCTGTGGGCTGGTATGGCCTTTAAATCACCTGGATATGGGGTTCTCCTCTTCCCAATTGCAATTGATTCCCTGATTTGGGAGGTGGTTACCTTTCTCCTGCAAGCACTTTCGATGGCGGTGGTAGTGCACTTCGATGATGCCGATATTGCGGCTGGAGCAGATAGGGAGGAGCATTCACTGATTGGGCGGTTGGTGGGGCTGCCACCGGCGTTGCCTTCGGTCAAGGCAACCCTGGCCCGTGTCTGGCGGCCCGACGGTGAATTCACCCTCTCTCCGTTGGAAATGGGTCTGACCCACATCCTTTTCTCATCGAAAACGGACATGCAGAAGGTTGAAAAGGGATCCCCATGGATATTCCCAAAGTATTTGCTTGTGGTGCGCTCTTGGGTTCCCCCCTCACCGACAGTTGCAGCCTCGCTGCTTTGGGCATCGCTGGAGGTCCAGATTTGGGGTGTGCCGTTCGAGTGCTTCACCGCCAAACTTGCGCAACGGTTAGGGTCTGCACTTGGGGAGACGGCTTCCCCAACTCTTCACCGTTCAGATGTCTCTGGTGGACTATATATCCGAGCCGAACCCGTACTTGATTTGGCGGCGCCGCTTCCAGTCGAGATCGAGGCTGGCCACGTTATTCCGGCGAAAGGTACTTTTATGGCCACGATTAAATATGAACGCTTGCCTGTGTTTTGCTTCCTCTGTGGAATTATAGGGCATATCGGCGCCAATTGTGCACGCAAGGCCGAACTAGAGGGTGGCTCACCTCGCTATGGGGGGTTCACGGTGTCGAAGGAATCGGGACCGGAGATTACGGAGAATATGCTGTCTCGGCGAAAGAAGCGGTTCACTTGGTTGAGGGCGATGTCTCAAAAGCCTTCTTCCTCCAAGGTGGCTGGCGGGTTTAGGATCCCACGTCCTCCAGCAGACAACAGGGTGTTGGTGGCACAGATGGGGGATCAGTTGGGACACTCCTGGGAGGATACTCAGCGGCCACGTCCGGGACGGGTAGGGGAGCGGCTGCAACTGCTCTCCTTGACTGTTGAACCGGCTCCTGTGTCTGATGTGCATCCGGCTAATACTGAAGTGGACGAAGGGATGATAGATGCGGATAACACCATCCCCTCTCCCCCAGCAGCGAAGAGGGCCAAGCACGACAACATGTCTCTGGAATCAAAATCAAGGGTGGAGGCAGCCAGCCCGGACTGGTCCCATGGTGATCCATGAGTATCCTAGCTTGGAATTGTCGAGGAATCGGCTCCTCCTTGACAATTCCAACTCTTGGTGGAGCCACGGGTCGCTTTCGGCCTCATATTGTCCTCCTCAGTGAGACCAGACGCGATGAGGAATATGTTAAAGGGAGATTGGCAACATTGGGATTTAGTAACTGTAGGTGTCATGTCTCTGCTAGTGGTAGGGGGGATTTGGCTGTTGCTTGGTCCTCTAGCACCATATGTACAGTGCATTATCTTTCAGGATTTCTTAGTGTTCTTGAATGTACAGTTGTAGGAGCAGGGTCCTTTGTTTTATTATTTGTGCATTTGTCTTGCGATGCTTCTACTAGGCAGGAGCAACTTAATGAAACTGCAGAGTTTGTTTTGTCGTTCTCTGTCCCAGTGATTGTGTTGGGGGATTTTAATTGCCTCTTATCTCTAACAGAAAAACGGGGAGGTAACCTGCCCTCTGTAGCAGATTTGGATCAATTGAATATGTTTGTGAATGCAACAGGGCTGGTAGATTTAGGCTACCATGGATCACCATTCACATGGTCCAATCGGCGGTCAGCTTCGGCGCACATCATGGAACGACTAGATCGGTGTCTGGGAACTGATTCTGTTCTTTCATCTTGGCCGGAACTCAAGGTAATTCACCTTACTGACTTGGGTTCTGATCATCGGATGTTGTTGTTGCAGCTCACATCTCAGAATCAGCCCACCAAAACTCGTTTTCACTATGACGGGCGATGGGATACAAATCAAGAGGCGGTAGACATTATCAGGCAGGCTTGGGGTAAAGGCATACATGGTACCCTTCAATTCCGAGTCTTCAACCAGCTTAAGTTCGTCCGGCATGATCTGGTGGAGTGGGCGCGCATCGGTACATCCAATTCTGCACGCTCTATCCGTGAATACAAACAGGCTATTGAAGCAGTCCGGGAGGCTGAAATGGTGGACTGGGATCACGTTAAGCAATTGGAATCTCAATTGTCCGAGGCATATAGACAGGAGGAGCAGTTTTGGCAGCAGAAATCTAGAGTTGGCTGGCTTCGAGGCGGGGATTCGAACACCCGGCTGTTTCATTTGGCCACCCTTCAACGGAGGAGGAATAATCGGATAGAGGGCCTCCGAGATGAAGCAGGCGTCCTTCATCACTCTATGGATGAGATGGCAGGTATTTCAATTCCGTATTTCCAAATACTCTTTACATCTAACCATCTTGATCCTACGCCTTTTGTACAGAGTCTACGGCTGCCTAGAAAAGTAACCTTTGATATGAATGCTTCCATCACTGCCCCAGTTACTTTAGATGAGATTAAGCTTGCAGTGTTCAGCATTGGACGGTTACAGGCACCGGGTTCTGATGGATTTTTTGCAGGGTTCTTCCAAGCACACTGGGACATTATTGGTAAGGACATTAGTGCTGCCGTATTATCCTTCTTTGCGTCAGGGCGTCTTCTGCAGAGCTTCAATCACACGTGCATCACTCTTCTCCCCAAAGTCCCTAATGCTGACACGATGAGGCAACTTCGGCCGATCAGTTTATGTCAGGTCTTTTACAAGATTATTGCGAAGATTCTTGCTGGTCGGCTTAGCCGTATCATGCCTGATTTAGTAAGTCTGACTCAAAATGGTTTTGTGCGTGGTCGTTGTATCACTGACAATATTTTGATTGGCCAAGAGGTCATGCATTTTTTAAAAACCAAAGTGCAGGGGCGGGATAAGTGGATGGCATTGAAACTTGATATGGAGAAGGCTTACGACCGGGTCGAGTGGTCCTTCCTCCTTTCTATTTTGCAGGAATTGGGATTCTGTCCAACTTGGATCAAGTGGATACGAACGTGTATATCCACGGTCAGCTTCTCGGTCAACATAAATGGTGGAACTCATGGGTATTTTAAACCGGAACGAGGTATTCGACAAGGTGACCCTATCTCCCCGCTGTTATTTGCTTTATATACAGAGGCTTTCACGGCCAAAATCAATCAAGAGCTGTATTCGAACAACCTACATGGGCTACGGATTCACCGGCGAGCACCTGTTACCTCCCACCTTATGTTTGCTGATGATACTTACATGTTTCTTCGTGCATCTATTCCTGAGTGTGCTCACCTTTTGCATGTATTTGAGGACTATGGGCTCTTGAGTGGACAGCAGGTTAATCTCCAGAAATCCACCATTTGTACAAGTGCAAATGTGGGTGAACAGGAAAAAGAGAGTTTGGCGGCTTACCTAGGAGTAAAGGAAGCGGGTTTGCAGGACAAGTACCTAGGTTTACCTGTCCAGGTACAACGGTCTAAAACCAGGACCTTCCGGTTTTTGGAGGAGGGGTTGGTGGCCAGGATTCGATCATGGAAGTCGAAATCGATGTCATTGGCAGCAAAGGAAACTGTAATCAAATCAGTAGGGTCTGCCTCCACAATTTATGCCATGTCTGCCTTCCGTATCCCGGCGTCCTCCTGTCGAAGAATGAATAGTCTACTGTCACGATTCTGGTGGGCAGATCAAGATAAAGAGAAGGGCATGCATTGGCTAGCATGGCCGGAAGTGTGCCACAGTAAATTTGAAGGTGGGTTAGGTTTTCGGGATTTTGATCGTTTTAACATTGCTTTATTGGCTAAACAGGCATGGCGATTACTTCAAATGCCCGACTCTCCAATTGCATCCCTGTACAAGGCTAGGTATCATCCTTCTACATCACTTCTCACAGCTGAAGCCGGATCTCGTGCCTCTTGGGCATGGCAAGGCATACTTGAGGGGCGGGATCTATTGGCACGAGGGCTTCGTTGGCGCATTGGAAATGGTGCGGCCGTTCGCATTCTTACAGATAAGTGGCTGCCCTCCTCTCCTCCTTCATCACCTTCTCTGCTTCCCAATGTGTCCATGCAATACACGTATGTTTCAGAATTAATCTGTCCCCATTCCCATTCTTGGAAAGTGGATGTTTTGCAGGAGCTGTTTTCAGTGGAGTCAATGGAGCTGATTTTATCTATCCCTTTGCCTAATCAGCTTATCCCAGACAAATTGGTGTGGCATTATTCTGTTTCAGGTGAATACACAGTTAAAACAGGGTACCAACTCTTATCCTCGGAGCTGAACTTGTCCCACCCACCTCGCGATCTACCGTACGATAAACGGTTTTGGAAGATTCTTTGGCAGCTGCCGGTGCCGCCGAAACTGAGGGTATTCTGCTGGAGGGTGACACGGGGATTTCTACCAGTCCGTGCAGTGCTTCACTACAAGCGGCTGGCTGAAGATGATGGCTGTCCAATCTGCTCCAATGGTGTTGAAAGCATTATTCATTTGTTCCTTCATTGTCGTGTTGCAGTGGAGCTATGGGAGCTTGCCGGCCTAGGCCTCCTTCGTGCAAGGTTATCCTCTCTTTCTCATGCGGATTGCTGGAAAACTCTGTTCTTTGAATGCCGTCTTTCTAAGACTGACATCGCAAATGTTGTTTTCCTATGTTGGTGAGTTTGGAAATCGAGGTGTTGGGCGATTCACAAACATATTCAATATAGAGGACCAGCACTACTTCGACAATTCCAAGCGCAAGTGGAGGAATGGCGCGCTGCGACTTCTCCTCTTACACTGCACCAGGGACCGCGAGCTCACAGAGGACCAATATCTGCCTCGCGGTCTAGCCAGGATGGTTTATGCCCCGAAGGGGGAGTTCTAGTGCGTTTTGATGGGGCTTGGCGGCATGGGACAGGGGGCGGCATTGGTTTTGCTGGTTTTGCAGGTAATGGAAGTCTACTGTTTGCTGTAGGGAAATACTATGCAGGTATTGATGATCCTTTTATCATGGAGTTACTGGCGTTACGTGATGCAATAAGCTGGTGTCTAATGCAAGGCTTTCTCGTGGTTAATTTCTGTGGGGACTGCCAAACGTTGATTCGAGCCGTTCGTGAGAGGGTTATCGCGCATGGAAAGGGCGGCGCAATCATGGAGGAGATTCGGGTGGCTGTGTGCTCTTTTTCGATGTTTTCTTGTACTTTTACTCCCCGCAGGTACAACAGGGCTGCCCATCTAGTGGCACAAAAGGCCCTTCAATCGGCAGTTCGACAATTTGTCGACTGGCGCGTTTGGTTGTGTGTTGTCCTCTGACGATTTTATTACTCTATCTATGCCAAAAAAAAAAAAATTTGCAATTGGAGATTTCTACACTTGACTCAAATAGATAGAGCTTCAAAGTGATGTCTTCGGCTGGTAGGCTCTAAAACGTTAGAGCATCTCAAGTTGGATTTCTTTTGTTAGAAGATACTTGTTTCCCGTGAGATTTCATAAATATGCAAAAGCAACTACACACACGGAGCTTAAATGAGCGCAACCAGGCGTCAAAATAAAAACAATAACAGCCCATCAGAAACAAACTGAGAGCTTTCTCGCTACTCCGTGAGCAGCTACGTTCTAACTCCGAAGTATAAAATGAATGCACCACTGACTTCATCCCACTTTAACTTGTCGAGAACTTTGTTTATTAGGTGCCCCTCCCCCAATCAAAATGGTTCTCAACCCCCAATCTTGATACCATATGAGAGCATCCCTCAAAGCCAGAAGTTCTACCACAGAAGGATTGTATATACCCGGATAGCACATTCATCTGGCTGCAAGCAGGCACCATTGAATTGTATCACAAATTCGAATGCCCCTTAAATGACATGTGACCTCAAAGCACCTGTAGGAACCTGATTTTCCTCACTCTTATATCATCCCCAAGGTCTACTGCTCCTAAAACGGTGAGTCAGTGACTACATTTGACTCACTAAGACTCTCAGCAAGTATTGGAAAGGCGGGGTTGCAAGATTCACATGACTTGGAAATTTGATATTCAGGTAATGTTCCTCCTTTCTTCCACTACGCACTTGTCAAATCTTGTTGATAGAGTATGTATCTGATTGAAACATCAGTCTTCTTCCAACATGCAAATCTCAAAGTTACTAGTATGGAGAGTACTGGGTTCATTTCGATTGTATTTTATAATTGTGGTTTTTCCTAAAGAGTCAGTCTTGTTGGGCTTTTACCATTATTCGATTTTTTCTCGAACTGGATCAATTCTCTGGAGTGGTTTCCCGGTGTACGAACTATTAAAGAAGTGTGCTTTTGTTTCTTTTATGGGTTTGTAGTTTATTCAGTTTTTTGGTATTCATAATGGTTTTGTGTTTGTTCTATAGTCGAGAGAATTGAGTGATTGAAATAAATGGATGGCGACTTCAGATGTAACCGGATTCGGCATCAAAACATGTCCTAAGTGAATATGGAGAGATTAATTATCTAAAAACTTATTGCCTTAATTGTTTTGTATCTGGAGTATACTATAACTTTGACCAGTTAAAATAAAGCTTTTAAAGGCTAAAAAGCTAGCCTCTATGCATTCATAACATTTGTTTACAAATTTGGTTGAAGTAATCGAAGTCATTTAGAGGCATGGAGTGGCGTTTATCTACTTCGAGAGGGGAACAAATAAACATAGCCCAAATGCTCAATCGATTGTTGTGACCAATAAAGCTTTCTATAAGCTTTGTGTCGAAGTAACCAAAGCAGGATATCAACCAACTGCATTCACAATAAAAGAAATCGGGAGATCGATCATGGCAGACAAGTTCTCTAAGGTTTACCAGAAGTCATTCACTCACATAATTAAAAAGTAAATGGGATCAACAAAAGAAGAAGTATAGAGAATGGAAGATCATAATGCGCAACGATACTGATATCTCTTACAATTTGGTGCATGGAACTTTTGATGCATTCGAAGAATGGTGAAAAATGAAGATCCATATATTTTGCTAATATTTTGGGGTTTGTTATTTGCTTTTTGGATCATCACTCTTATATTGGACAGTCTTGTTCTTTATAGTGAAGGTCTTTGGAAACTCATCTTGTTATGAGAGTTACAATGCTATGATACACCTCACAAACAAATTTGTCTATGATCTGTTTTATACTCTGCATTCATCGCTTATTACTTAATGAATATGATCATCTTGAGAGTTTAGCATGTTATCCTCTATCTGCTAGCAAATATTTTGTGTTTATTCTTAACTAATTATTACTTCTCGTCAATAATTAACACAATTACACAAAACACATTTCTATAAACAGTAACTAACAAGCGACAATGATTGATTACCAAGCTACAACTCAATGGCATGTTACAACAACTAACTCCCTGGAAACATAAAGATATCCATAAAATAAAATATGGGGATTCATGCATCCACTTTTCTCCAATTTGAATTTGCTATCACGAGAGTGTTTCCTAGATGGAAACCATCGACATTTCACCCCATATTAAGTCACATTGTGCAGTGTTTCAAAATCAATCTCAAAACCAACAACAACATCATTTTAGCTTTCGAGACCAAAAACACTTTATCTATGTTTCTCCATTCCTTGTCACATTCTCGTGTCTCCAACTCTGATGCGACAATTATCTTTCCCTTTCACCCTCCCATCTTCACTATGATTGTGACTCTGCATAATTTGTTTCCTAATCCATTGGTTGATCAAAATCGCTCTTGAATCTTCAGAGCAATTTCACCCTTCAGCGTTGCAACTTCCCTTTGATTCGCATCATCCCCTTCTCTACAATCAGTCGCATATGTCACATCAGGTAGCTCACTCATGTCTGCCGCCTTGCAAGAATTTATCCCCCTCAAGGAAATCCACCCCTTCATATCCTCTATAAAATCTGTTTTCTCATGCAACAATGGAGCAAAAATCTGCATGATAATTGGAATCAGAAGAGGGATCTAAAATGAGTAAATTGAAAGAAATGTAGGAGTAAGCGGGAAGTGCAAAGTGACAACTAGGTCGAACTCTACAATTTCATTTGGAAGAAGAGCAGCATCAGCTCCAAATGCAACTTAATTTTCATCTTCCCCTTTCTCCGTCCACCCCTTATTCCTTTCAATTTATACTAGAACTCAATATGTCGGCCAACATTGGTGTGATTGGAGTCAGATTGATAGTTGGTGTTGTGATTGGAGACAGATTGGAGGTGGATTGAAGTCAATCTTGCAATAAGAGTTCTGAAGTTCGGTGAAAGGAGTTTTGAATGACCAATGGTAAGTGAATTCTTTTGGGACATCACAACAACTCCTCATGCATAATCAAATTGAGCTTTCTACTATGATTTTAGAGTTTAACAAGACTTTAGTTGGATTGGCTGAACTCGAGGGAATTGTTTTGGACTACTGCATGTAGCTATCTTAATACAAATTCATTATATTGCAATTTTAATTTGCTTCACCTTCAATAACTGATTGTTTTGTCTCAAAATTATGAGTTTACGTTATGGTTATGATCTTAACAGTTGATAAGTGACTACCCAACTTAATGAAGTGAGATTTACATGTGTTAGAGCTGTAGGGTGTTGATTGAGATGAGATTTACGTGTTTATAACTGTAGGGATTTAATGAAGTAATTTACATGGTGATGATTATGATTTTGCTCATTATCTTTGAACATTTTTAATTCATTATCTAAGGAGTTCACAGTTTATGATGTTTTCCTGTTGATTGTTTATGGGTGAGTTGCAAGATTTTGGAAGGTGGTGAGAAGGGGCAACACACTAACCAAAAATGTGTGGCACTCATGAGACTATAGGTGAGAGCAAGATAGGTGGCCAATAAGACAATCTTCATCTTAATCTAGTGTCTGATATCGATAGGAGACAAGACGTCACTAATAAGTGAGCCAAAGTTTCTCATTCCTCATCATGTATGCTACACGAAACAACTTCTCCTTATTAGTGCTACCACTTATTTCTACAGACATAGGCCACTTCGTTTGTTGTATTATTTTCCGAAACTTATACTTTTTTTCTTTTAATCAATGACAAACTATGACTCAATAGAAGTGTTTGATTATAGAGTACGTGTAGTTTGTCTTATGATTAACGAATTTGTTTTTAACTATTACTTAAAATGTAACATGAAAAATGACTCGTAAAACAATCATATTGTATAAGTCTTTCCAACCACTATGTTGATTAACTCTATATTTGCCATATTAATTGTTATGTATATTAACAGGTTTTGTGTTCAAGTACTACTCGCAACATCTAAGCGATACTACTAGTAAGAACAACTCACCTTATGTACTCTTGGAGATTGTTGGCATAAATGATGCTTGGATGTGCTTTGCTCTACACCTAGAGTGGATGAAGATCTAAAGTTCAATTTAAGATTTTATATTTTAACGGCAAGAAAATTGTTTTTGAATTAAGTGCACTATGAGATGTTTAACCCTTCCATAGAGTGTTCAACTCATGTGGCTCCTTGATTAATCCGCAATTGTGAAAATAGCTTAGTGAAAGAGACCTTCAAAGAACTAGATATGTTTTATGTTTGTCGAATGTTCAATGTATAACTTGAATTTTATTGTGTACGTTTGATTTAGGACGAAAGAACGCCTTACACAACTCTCGTTTACTGTTGTATCATGTGTGCACCTTTGGATTGTATCATCCGAATTTATTATTGTTATTGTGTTCGACACTAAATGATAATGCATATTTATCAAATTTAAGCAACTTGCTACTTAAGTTGTTGAAGCAGCATACTCCTATTAAATAGGGTGATGATCATCTCAATAATCTAAATGTTTTATGTCCAATAAATGTTTGTATTATTGGGAGTAATGATAGCTTCTATAGGAAACCTTTTTGTCTTTTCCATTCCTTTTTCCTCTCAACAAAAACTATTTTTTGCGCTATCAAAGTTGGTCATCATATATATAATAAAAGAATAGAAAAGGTTAAGTAACAAGTGAAAGTGGAATATGTGGAGTAAAATGTATGACTTTCTTGTTTTAAGTTTAATGTCGAGTTTCATTCCTTTTTTACTTCCTTTTGATTAATTCTTGTTATCTTAATTGACCTTCCATTGTCTTTGTTTAGGCTGAGTTCAATTAAGTTGTTGAAGCAACATACTCTTATTAAATAAAGTTTTAGTTCAATAGATTGAGTCCAACAAGTGAAGGGTTCAAAGCCTTTAACTCGAGGTTAAGAAGATGTTTCTTTTGTAATTGTTCCAGAAAAAACGTCAAGTGTAGTAAGAACTTTGATGTCTTCTTCTTTGTTTAATTTTCTTTTTAATGGTACAAAGACGTGGCCAATAGTATGGACATGAGTTTATATGTGAATGAAATTAGTTGCTAACTAAACTAATAGCCATTATACTAATAATAACTATTTAATCGACGAGTCTTTAATAGACCTATGATGTGCTTTTGTACTCTTTGATGCCATTTTGGTATCTTTTTATGTTTTCAAGGTACAACACGACTTAGGACGATTTGGATCAAGCATTGGACCAAATGAGTTATAAAAGAAGTATATGGAGATTTTGTTATAAAAGATGAGGTCGAATGACGGAGAAGTCTACTAGTAACCACAAGTAGAGCCCAAGAGAAGCCCAAATCGGGCCAATTCTGAAGCAAGAACCAGTGCGGTCCAACATTAGGTCCAACCGTCACTCATGAAAACCTGGATAAATCGCACCCAAATCTGTAGGAGAGTTTGTTCATGGACCAAGGTGGCAAGCCAAAGAAGAGAAGAGACGACGGTCCAAACAGATGCCTAGCCGGCCCCAAGAGGCCCAAGCCCTAAAAACATATCTTTAGACCAGGACTTCAGGCCCAAGTCAAAGAAACCTTGTCCTACTAAGTTTACAAGAGTTTTGACCGAGTTATACCCCTATAAATAGAGGGCTAGAGTCATTAGTTTAATAGGTTGCACAAATTCACTAAATTTTTGTAAACACTCTATTCAAGTGATATCGTGGCATTTGCAGGAGAGGGTGGAGAAGATGCCTTCATCAACTATGGTGGCACCCTCCTTCTTTTCTATGTTGCTAGTTCGAAATTGATTGTATGAGAATGTGAACTTGTTTATCTTTGTATGTATTGATGTTACGATATCATTTGATGCTTGTGTTTATGCTTATGAATTTCGATGCTTGTTATGTATACATGGATGCTTGATTTTGATGCCTATGTGATGATCATTATTGTTTATCTAGTATATATGAATGCTTTCTTATCATCGATGCTTATGACTCTATAGCGTGCTACTATATGCATTGTGCTTAGTATTATCTAGGTTGTCAATAAATTACCATCTAATGATACCCCATTGATGTTACATGAGTTTAGAGGGAATGATCAACCATCTATACCTTGAGTAGTATCAATGCTTGATTGTTAGATAATTATTGATATAAAACATCAATTATGGCTCATAGAGGCCCACACTTAATCATGTGCTATCCTAACTTCCTTATTCTTCATTAATTAGGTAATGACATGAAGCGAAAGCATACATAAGCTAGTTAAATCTCATCGCAAGAGGCACATGCACGGGTAGAGATTGACCTTAGTGGTGATAATACTCGAGATTCACCTTCTTATACAATGACGTATCTTTACTTTTATACATCTATAACTTGAAAAATCCCAAATAACTTTACCTTTCCTTGCTTTCCTTTCAATTGCTTAGCGAATGAAACCCCTAAGATGTTTGTCTATTTTGTATAACATATATGGTATTGGTGTGAGTAATACGTCCATACGACATCCTAGAATTATAACTCGATTATTCACATCAGAGTCAGACGACCTTGTGGACTCCAACTGAGACTTTGACGACTATGAGGGTGTTTCAGATGCGCATGTGCCTCTGGATTATTCTTTTCTTGCATTGCATTGCGTTTCCTTCTTTTCATATGCCTCCTTATATTGCATTTCTTTAAATATGCCTAGTTAACGTGGCTTCATTTTTGCATTGTCATTGAAACATTTATATTTGGGAGTGTACCGCTTTTATAGGTTAAACATGTCACCCGATGTTGCTTTACTTTGGTTGTAGATCGTGCCTCTTTCATTTATGTATCACTTTGTTAATAATAATGGGAGCTCTTTCGTTGACGCTTTATGGGGTAGGACTATATCTAATTAAGAGAATGGTCGGTTGATTAGTTAGCGAAAATGTAAAATCCGTTATTTACTTTATTAATGACTTCAAATGTAAGTGATCTTTTGTAGTGTTATTATTATTGATATCCTAGTTTTCAACTTGAAGGTGCCAAATTTTAATCACAAGGTAACTTGGCATTTGCAGCTTCCTCCTTTAATAGGATTATATATATTACTTGCATGTTTGGTCATTTTGTTTATCAATATGTTTCACGTCTTGCACAACAAAATTCTTCCTTACTAGTCGATGACTTTTAACTCTAATTTCATCTATGTGCATTGGTTGTTCAATTCCGTTAAGTTTATCCTAACAAGTAGTCGGCTATAATATTTTTGCTTTTTAAATGGCTGACGTCTCAATTAAAAATAATATTTTTTAAATTTCTACGTGAGACTAAAATTTAATTAAAAAACATTGATATATATATAAAACCAATCATTAAAAGAAAACCCCGATGAAAGAAAATCCTGTGTTGGATGGCAATACGTATGGATTTAACCCTCGACATCCATACCACCATGGTAATATTTTAAGTACCGTCAAGTATTACCACTATGATATAGATTGGTAATATATGCTTCAATTTTTTATGATCGAAATATATAAAAATGCAAACCATTTTGAAGAACACGATTGACATAACTTTTCTTTGCATTTTTTAGTAATTTCGATTTATATAGAAAAAATAGCTCGTTAACTAATTGGATGACTCAACAGTTCAGTTAGCCACGTCAGCATTTAACTGACGGTGTTAATGAAATTTGACGGAGACTAATAGTCAATGCCCAAACTTGGACTACGAAACTAGTTTAAGTGACCATGAATAGAATAAATTAATTCTAGTGCCAAACGTGAAACGTTTTAGTAATCCTAATGACCAAACTTGCAATTTACCCTGCTAATTTTTAACTCTTGTTTCATTAGACCAATGGTCATTAAAATTGGATATTTGACCATATGCATAAACTATTTCCCAATTATAGTTTACAAGCTATATTTTTTATGACATGACGGGTTTGCTGAGGTGACGGGTCGAGTTTTAATATTTTTTTTTGTTAAAATTGGATGATTAGACATTTCCGTCCGCCACATCAGCAATTAACTGACGGTGTTAATGGACTCCAATGGAGACTAATGACCAATGACCATATTTGGATTATAAAAAAAAATAATAAAAGTGACCGCGAGTGTAAAAAATTAATTCTAGTGGCACACGTGAAATATTTTAATAATTCGAGTGACCAAACTTGCAACTTACCCAAAATCCAGTAATTTGTAATCGTGTCAGAACTTTTTTTTGAATGCCAATAGTGAAATATGCTGATAAACCAAGTGACCAATATTGTAATTTTCCCGCAATGTGAAAAAAAAGGGTTGCGTTTGGGAAGCTAACAGTGCGACCTGATCGGCTGATCCCATTCCTCCTTCGACCCTTCCCTGTCAACAAACCGCTTCACACTTTCCTCGTCCCTCCACCCATCTGGCCTCATCTCTATCCGCTCACCGGTGTCTCTTGCCGTCCTCCTCCTCTTCCACGAGCGTATTCCTCCGCCTGCGGTCCGTCGGAGCCAGTTACTTCCCATCGCAGTTCTTCCTAATCCCCCCGGCCTCTTCCGCCCTATACCGGAATCCCTTCCCGTTCTCGTAAACAGAACCACCGCCACCGTCCTCTGCATAAAGTAGCTCCAAGACAATGAGGAGGACGTGCTTGCGGTCAGCCTTGCGTGCTCTGACGCGCCAGCACAGATGCCCTCCAGCCGGAGGGATCGGCAGTTGCCGCTCTTACACCAGATTTCCTTCGATGGCCTCCTCGTTATTGGGGTTTCCAAGCAATAATCGCTGCTCCGTCTTGAGGTCTTCCTTGTTGGCGGACAGAGGGAGTACTCTTGCAGGTTGGTCTTCTGTTTTCTTTTCCCCCTCCTTTTTGGTTTCTGCTGCTCTTCGTGAAATGCTTTTAGTCAGAAACTGCTTTTTTGTTGCTTATGTAATTTGGACTAGTGATTCTTATTCTATGCGTGCTTTCAAACTGCTCACCTTCAAGTGGCTTGATCTTCTGCTGCATTAGTTTGGGATGGTTGCTTTGTAAGTACGGAACTTTGATCCATGCCGGAAGGGTATAACTCATACTGTTTGAGATTACTTAGGGTGTTCTGCCTGTTGTGAGCATGGGAAATTGAAGGTGCACTGGCGTTGGTTCATTTCTGGATGATTTGAGCTACTGGGTTATGCTTATTAGCTGTTTCCAATTAAGAGTCTGATTGTGAGATGCTCCTTGTGCTGAATTGCAAGTGAAGCTAAACAAGAAGCTTGTTGTTAATGATCTGATTGTGGCAATCCATAGGGCAGCGAAGGACAATGTTTATACAAACTCAAAGCACACCGAATCCATCATCTCTCATGTTCTATCCGGGGAAACCAGTGATGGAAGTTGGAAGTTCTGATTTTCCAAATGCTCGAGCATCCATGACTTCTCCGCTAGCTAAATCTCTGTTTGGTATTGATGGTAAGTTTTCATTATCATCCTCATTTATAAGAATTAGAATGTTGTGCTTTGTTTTTATTTCCCTAAGGATTGCGATTTGAACGCTTGATCAATTCGAAAACCTTAAGTTGATTACTGGCAGGTTTTCCATTCTAGGATAGTAGCTTAGCTGGTTGATGCAAGGGTGTAGTTATAGAAACTCGAGAACTATTATGTCTTAGGTATAGGAATTTTCTTGGCCGCGGTATTCAAAAGAAACCTGCTACTGAAAGAGCTGCTACATTAATATTCATTTTTTAGTTCAGGGAAATTTAAATGCTTTGAAGCATCTTAAGGAATGGAACAATCTTCATTTTGTAAAACTTTAAGTGTTTGATATTGTAACCAAATAGGTGGAGTACATTATTGGACATTAGACCCGAGGAGAGTGGCCAGGGGTTGTATATTAAAGAATTAAGTGGCAGTTTGGACTGACATCAGCTTCTTTATTGCAGGTGTTGTTCGTGTCTTCTATGGATCTGATTTTGTTACAGTAACGAAATCAGATGAAATTTCTTGGGATCTCTTAAAGCCTGAAGTATTTGCAGCAATCATGGACTTTTATTCTTCTGGACAGCCATTGTTCTTGGACGCCCAAACTGCATCTGCCAAAGACACAGCTATTCATGAGGTACACTTCTATAAGTGTATATTTTGTTTTTCTTGAACTTGCTATGGTCATGTTTTGTCTCCTGTTCTACTTTCTTTAAATTGCGCTGACCAGTGTTGTTTTACCCCTTACTTTTCCTGGATTTTGGTTTCCCTGACCGAATGCCACTCATCTATCAGCATGTAGATATTAGGGCCGCATAATGCAGTGGATATAATTCAAGTATTGTAGTTGCTCGTGATTAACTTCTATATGGATGGTTCCATAAAAGTGGCATCTCGTCTTGCTATATTCCTACTCTAATGAAGTTCGATTGGAGGCTTCCATTTCTTTACTTCGATTATGTCCCCTTCAGACAGGCTCTCTTGCAGCTGGCCTGCTTCTTTATTGATTACTTTTGTTTTTCCACTTTATCAACTGCATGCTTGTCATGCAGTTGAACATTGGCATTGAGCGAACCTGTTTCCCATTTTGTGTTATATCATTGTGTTGCAAGTATAGTAAAATTGCAATGCCTGTCAACCTCAGGATGACTCGGAAACCGTTGCAATGATAAAAGAGCTGCTCGAGACCCGCATTCGACCAGCAGTGCAAGATGACGGTGGAGATATAGAATACTGTGGATTTGATCCGTAAGTTTTCCGATAAAAATGACGCCTTGAAACTTCATCACTGTACTTTTTTTCCCCTTTATTTAATGTGGCAGGCAAAATCTTTTGAATTCTTCTGATCGTGTTTTCTATTTTCAGAGAAACTGGAATAGTCAAATTAAGAATGCAAGGAGCATGTAGTGGCTGCCCAAGCTCGTCTGTGACGCTGAAATCCGGTATCGAAAATATGCTGATGCACTATGTGTCAGAGGTAAGTGATCCATGGTCATGATTCCATGAGATTTAATACGGTTTTTCCCTCCAATGACGAAGCTTCTCTGATAACTGAATCATCTATAAATTTTTCCTCGGCACTTTCTGCTGCTTGCTCATGAATATCTCTTATTCATGCACAGGTGAAAGGCGTGGAGCAGGAATTAGATGGTGAAGAAGAAGATGCATCGCTAGCTGGTTAATCAGATGGTAATGAGTATCATAGCTTCTTACTGAATGGGATTAAGATGCAGGACAAGCTGAAGATGAAGTCTATGATATCATCTTAACCTCCTGTGGAAGGAATAAAGGGCTCCAAACATGAATTGCTGGAGCGTGTTAACTATGAACTGCATAGCGCATACAATAATAATAATAGCACAGGCATGGAGTTTACGCGACCGACACAAGCTTGGGATTGGAATATTTTTGTTTCATAATGTGTTGTTTAGGTAATTTAGGTTTTAAATATATGATTAGTAAAGATGAATTATATAAGCCTATGTTAACGATACACCTTGATCCGTTCGTTGCATCTTACCCAAACATTCTATCCATGATATGTCACGGATGGCAACGGTATAGCGAGAACTTTTCACAAATTTAAACATCATGATCAATCTTTTCGATCTATAATTTTGTGATTTCAACTATGCATCAAAATTACGAAATTGACCAAACCCGAGATTTGACCATTATCTTGGATGGTCAAACATGTTGACTAACAGTCAACACGCCACATCAGCATAGACCACTTAGAAAAAATTGGTTTTAACACCTATTACCATTTAAAAATTTTGGGACCCGACATTTTTAAATTTATTTTCCTTTTTCTTTCTTCTTTTGTTCAAAATAAAAAAGATAAATGGTAATAGGTGGAAAATCCAAAAAATTTAAGTGGTATGTGCTGATTTGGAAATGACGTGGCACATGAACCGTTAGTGAACGCGTTTGACTGTCCAAGATAACAGTCAGATCTCGGATTTGGCCAATTTTTTAACTTTGATGCATAGTTGAGGCCACGAAATTATAGATAAAAAAAATTAACCAAAATATTTAATTTATGAAAAGTTTGGATCATACAAATATATTAACCCTAATTAAAACTAGAAGACCAACAAAGAAAGAAAACTTTTTTCCCCAATGAGAACAAAATTGACAAAGAAACCGGCATTACTATGAAAAAAACTTTACTCGACGCGTTCCCGGGCCCAATTGCCACATCAATTTTACATTACAGATTACATTGAAAAGGCCGGGTGCTCTTCCTTTCCCGTCGTCTCCGCCGGGCTTCGCCGCAGATGTCGATCGAAATCGAAGAAAAGAACCGCCTTGCAGGTTGTGGAACATCGCCGAGAATCGAGGGAGAGCGAAGCGAGATAGAGGAATGAAGGCCTTTAGGCGGCGGCAGTAATCCGAAAAAAGCATAGCGGCAGTGATTGAAGAACTCCCGAATTTGGATCCGGGAATTAGTGCCGTCAGTACAAGTAGACTGATCCGTCGGTCATTTCGGACGTTGTTTACTCTCCATCTCCATGGCAAGTCGGCAATCTATGCTGCCGGAGATATGCTGGAATCTCTTATGGTTCTTCGGCGTAGCAGCGTGCGTGAAGCTCCTTCTGATCCCTTCCTACCACAGCACTGACTTCGAAGTCCACCGTCACTGGTTGGCTTTGACCCGCTCCCTTCCTCTTTCCCAATGGTACTCCAACGAAACCAGCCCCTGGACGCTCGATTACCCGCCTTTCTTCGCCTATTTTGAGTACTTCCTCTCCTTCTTCGCTAGCCTCGTCGACCCTCAGATCGTGGACATTCATGAGGGCCTCAACTACAAGGCAGACACCGTCGTCTATTTCCAGAGGATTTCTGTAATCGTGTCGGATTTGTGCCTTGTATATGGGATTTATCGATTGACTAGGAAATTGGAGACGCAAAAGAGAGTGGTGATGTGGATATTGGTGATTTGGTCCCCGGCGCTTGTGATTGTCGACCATATGCATTTTCAGTACAACGGGTTTTTGCTCGGTATGTTGATGCTGTCCATTTCTTGCTTGCAAGATGGGAGGGATTTGATGGGTGGCTTTCTGTTCGCGGTGTTGCTGTGTTTTAAGCACCTGTTTGCTGTGGCTGGACCTGTTTATTTTGTTTACTTGTTGAGGCATTATTGCCGAGGTGGATTGTTTAAGGGTCTTGGGCGGCTTGCTACCATGGGGGCTGTTGTGGTGGCTGTTTTTGCAGCTGCATTTGGTCCATTCTTCTACCATGGCCAAGTAAGATTGCTCCCCTTAATTCTGTTTTAGCTCCTCCATCTTCTGCATCATTATAGCCGCTTATAGTATGGATTGAAATCGCATCTGCTTCTTGGGTAATCTTTAAACCCTGAGAATTGGCTAAAAAGGATTGAGAGGGTTGAATCGTTCAAGTAGTCTGAGTTTGTCTGTCTTGGCTGGAATGGACTGTAGTTTTGGAATGTGTTCTGAGGTGAAAGACTTGTCCTGTGCTCAGATTTTACCCTCTCGGATGCAACAGCGAAAGGGTGGTTATAGAATCCTTACATAGCCTGGCTTGTTGTGTTACCATCTCATCAAAGTTAGTACTTCAATTGTTTATGTAGAATTAACTTAAGAATTACAATTTTGAGACGGCCTTTCTGTCACAATATTCACATGCAACTCTTCACGTTCGTAAAAAGGGAGGCGTGTTTTCCTATGGATCTGTCTGCAATTGTGGTCAATGTGAATTCATCAGTGACCATCAATCTGATGAACCATTTACCTTATATTATCTAGTTTTGATTAGTGCATTTATTCTATGATTCATACTTTTCAGATCCAACAAGTTATCAGCAGAATGTTTCCTTTCGGTAGGGGACTTTGTCACGCATACTGGGCTCCCAATTTCTGGGTTTTCTATATCATTTTAGATAAAGGCCTTGCTTTTCTGCTAAAGAAATTTGGGATTGACATTCCAACACCAGCTGCTTCATTCACAGGCGGGTTAGTTGGTGATTCATCTCCTTTTGCAGTACTACCACAGGTAACCTTGTCTATTAATTACTGCTACAACTGCTTAGGAAAAATGCTTTTCACTCCGTTCATCGATAGTTCTGTGTCTGTTTTTATTTTATTTGAGTCCCATCTATCGTTGCTTGAAGTCAAATACTGACACTTTCCTACTGTTGCCTGACTAAGTACGAAGCAAGGCAAATCGACTCGTATCTACCTACATGAATGAGTAATTGATTGAAAGAAGGCATATTTGTGCTCACTTGGCTGAAACTGAATTGGTGTGCTTCTCTTCGTTGGATTCCATGTTGCTAGATCATAAATGGTAATATATTCAATCACTTGAAATGACAGGTAACTCCCCTGTCAACGTTCATCATGGTGCTGCTAGCTCTATCTCCTTGTCTTGTTAAGATCTGGAAGAACCCACATCCAGGGTCGGTTGCCAGATGGATTTCTTATGCCTATACTTGTGGGTTTCTATTCGGATGGCATGTCCACGAGAAGGCATCCCTCCATTTTGTCATCCCCCTTGCTATTGTTGCAGTCCAGAGCCTGGAGGATGCACAGCATTACTTCTTGCTATCAATAGGTACATATGCTGATTTTAGTCTACACACAAATTAACATAAGGACGTTCTAGGAGAGGAGGGGGTTTGACTACATAACAGAGCCTCTGCGCATTTCCAAGAAGGCTATCTGTCCTTCTACTTCACATTTATTATTCCCGGGGAGATTAGAACTATGTACGGTCATTGCCTGAGCTTGGGCTTTTGTTTGGAATTTATCTTTCGATCTTCACATTAAAAAAAGAAAATGGTCTTCGTACAAAAATATATATAAAAAAGGGAAAACTTCTAAACACGTGGTCTCAAGCCATCGCTTGAAACACAAACTTCATGGTGAACCTCATTTTTTCGAAAACCAAATTTGATTATTAAGTAGGAGCAGAAGAAAGCAGTTGCTGATGGCTGTTCTGTTGAGTAGTTGCAGAGCTAAGTGTAGTTAAGGAGGGAATAATTTACCCTTATTTTTTATCTGATATTAAATGTATGTTTGAAAATATTAAGAAAACATTGGAAGTCGCAGGATAAGCTATATTAGCTCCCCTTTCTGTGTCTAAAATCTAGGTTCAGTCCTACCACTAACGTAAACATGGAGAGCGTAAACATGACGAGTGTGCACTTGGGGAAAAATCATATATGACTGATAAAGAGAAAAACACAAACATGAATCTTTAATAATTTATGTTTTTATCAAATTCTGTTTGGCCAACAGGCCGCACCCAAATCTAGCTACATACATGCAATATGTGAAAAAAGTTTACTTGTGAATCAACTGCCTGTCAGATGATTCATTCTGTTACTATATGATTTAAAATCTGAACTGATAGACTACGTTTTCCATGTACACTTAAATGCAGCAACGTGTTACTCGTTGTTTCCGCTTCTATATGAAGCCCAGGAGTACCCGATCAAAGTGGTCTTGCTGCTGCTGCACTCAATGCTGATGTGGTTTGGATTCAGTGCCAAATATAGCAAGGTCAAGCCACCGACCATTTCTGATAACAAAAAAACTCGGAAGAAGGGAAGCAGCAGCAGCAGTAGGTCAGGGGAAGAGGGAGAGTTCATGATTGGATGGGGAGGGAAGTGTTACATTATAGGTATTGTGATGGTGGAGACATGGGGGCAGCTGTTGCATCCTTACTTTCTTGGTGACAAGCTTCCATTTGCGCCGCTCTTGTTGATCTCCATTTACTGTGGGGTAGAGGTAGTTTACTCCTGGGTGTGGCAGCTAAAGCGGATAATGGCTGACTGATAAAGAGTTTTGAGTTCAGTGAGATTAAGCATGGATGGTGACGACCGTCGCACTTTGCAGAAGAGGTTGCAAGTGGACCGAAGATTCTGAGAAGGAAGATTTAATGTGTTATCTCGGTTTCTTTAGTTTTCTTCTTCTGGAATGCGAATGTGTTCATTTTGCTCCTTCCAGAGTTTGAGTTGAAGGGAAAAGGAAAGGGAAAGAAGATGGTTCAATTAGTTTCTTTTTGTTGGCGTTGTGGGGTTTAAGAATTTGGCTTGAGTAAACTTTGTGGGTTGTGTTAGGAGAAGCCAGGAAAGTTCCCTGCAGAAGATCGAGAAGCAGCCAGCCATTCCATGATCTCTCAGTCTGTTTGCTTTCTTATTCAATTCTCGCTTTAGTTAGTTTGCTTCCTTAATCCAGCGAGAAGAGAAGCGCAGCTGTGTAACTGTGAATGAATGGCAGTCCCATTTTGTGCCTGAAATTGACCTTTTGGATCTCTTTTGAGATCGTGCATTTTTTTGAATCATGAAGAGCTAGTATAGTGATAAGTCTGCAATTTCAGACTAATTCCCTGCATATAGTCAGTCTTCGTCAGGCTATGTTAACGCTGTCGGATTTTTTTTATAACGGGGCAAACGAAAATACTGACTGAGCTGAAAGAAAGCTTGAAAAAGACATCACTTAGGTGTTGACGTGGAATGCGAAACTCCTTATTCCTATTTTTACTAAATATTTGTATGGTTCGGGTTGAGGCACTATTATTCCTACATTCCGACTATAAATTATTTTTCTTTTATTTCACCCTAAAGATATCTTTGTTGCTTTTCAAAATATTTTCCAAAGTCTTATTTGTTTTCTTTTCAAAATCTTGCCTTCTCGAATAGGGCTATAAGTTTGGGATATATCGAATGTCATACCGAACCACTATTTGGTATCATCAAATACCAAGGTAGTTTAGTGATTGAGAATGATTTTGCGGTGTTATTCGGTATTTAGAATTACGTGATAGAGAACAACATATACTGAGAAATATAAAAAATTTACAATTAATTAAAAATAGCCCATAATGTACCCATCTAATCTTAGTTTAGTTTTCAATTTTTCTTAGGTCACTACTCTCCTTTTCACTAAATCTCATGTTGTTTCTATAACACCAAAATGCATATACTCTCATTAGTGGTTTCTCAACCTCCAATCCATCGAATGAAAGATTAACAAGGGGGGAAATTTGTGATAGTGTATGAAACCAAAATTTAATACTTGGAGAAGACCCACAAAAAAGAGTCCAAGAGAAGCCAATGTTTATGGGCAAAACCCTAAGGCTTACATCATCATAGGGAGAGTGGGAGGAGTCTAAGAAGAAGATAACCTCAAGAGACAAGCTACACACTTAACATCAACAAGGAAGAGGTCAGGGGGACACTCTGTCCACCAACAGACACATTCTGATTAGAAGTACAATGTATAGTGACAAAGAGTCCTGAACGCCCGATCACGATATTTATGGTTTGGCAAACGCGTGTACCACATACCTAACATCCGAATGGGCACTTTAATTAGTTTTTGTTTTCTCACCTCAACTTTCCATCACAAAGGATTTCAAATTAGTTTCGTAGCCCCAAATGGGGGGGAAAATCAAGTTGCGGGTGAATCAAGTTACGAATTGATCAAACAATAGGCCAATCAGGTTAAAAGTCAGTCGGATTGCGTGTCAATCAGATTCTAAACTGATCAGATCGAGTGTCAAACGGGTTACACCATTCATTTGCATTACGAGTTAGCTTGGGCGAATCGTTGAATTTTTCTTTTTTTCAATTCATGTTACAAATACATTGCAAATTGGATTAATCGGGCGAGTTATTCAGGTCGGACGCTACTTTGGAGCCTAAATCAATGGTCAAGTGACTTTGACAACCTTTGGTTTATTAAAGCGGGCCTGAAAATGAAACGAGGGAAATTCAAAAGGTTATTGGGCCGAAGGCCCGAAGCTCTTCCTGTAGTAAGAAAAGCAAAGAAGATTCGAGAACTCTGTCCGGTCCAAAGGATAGAGTAGACAAAGAAGACGACGACGACGAGAACGAGAGAGCTATAGCAGCAGCAGCAGCAGCAGCAGCAGCAGCAGGGTTTTAGGCTAATCAAACCCAACCGCCAGCCAACAACTCCATCGCCTTCCCTACCGGCTGCCCTTTCGTTTCAGCTAAGCTCAAGCAATTTAACAATGGCGTCCTGCACATTTGTCACATTCCCCAAACCACCCTTGTCGCTGGTCAACCCTACCACTTCCCTTTCTCGTTCCCGACCCACCCTTATCGGTAAGAAAAACTCCCTTATCTGAATCGTTTCCTTCCACATCGCATTTCTTCCTCACCAAATTCCTTTCCTTTTTCTTCTTGGGGCCGTCAGGATTGAGAAGAAACTCCCTCAGGATTCACGCAGTATCCAAGCAATGGGAACCCACCAAGGTACCTTATCTTTAGCCTCTTCCCAGTCTCTCTTAAATTTTGTTTCTTGCAAAGTTCGCCATTTTTCAATCCCTCGTGCTACTGTTCGCGGTTGCAGGTCGTGCCACAAGCTGATAGAGTCCTCATCCGTCTCGAGGAGCTGGCCGAGGTTTGCATAAACAAAGTCCCCATGATTTCAGTCTCCAATTTTATACCAACTTTCCTATTGGATGCTGTTCTTCCTGTTTTGTCGCATAGAAATCTGTTGTTTGAGATGCTAGCCTGACACACGACTAAGGTGTAGACCCTGCAGCTTTCCGTTCATACTGAAATAGTTTCACCTGCTGCTCGGTTCAATGAATAGGGCGAATGTTTTAGGGTTTTGGCATCAATTGGCATTACTGATAGGGTTGCTGAAGATGTTGTGCATATAATGTGAATTCAATAACTGGTCTTGGCTGTGAGATATACCCTGAAATAATTAGTGTATCCTTTCCATAGTTTGATCTCCTGCTGCTGTTTCCTTCCTTACCAAATTGATATAAAATGAGTTGGAATGTTTGGGGGGTGCAGAAATCAGCTGGGGGAGTGCTGTTGCCGAAGTCAGCAGTCAAGTTTGAGCGTTATCTAGTTGGGGAGGTAACATCCTGATTGCCGAAGTCAGCTTTGTTTGGTTGGTCTCTCTGATATTGTGTGGTGTTCAAATGTGTTGATGTGAATTGTGATCTCTCAGGTGTTGACAGTCGGGGCCGATGCTGGGCAGGTAGAGGCCGGCAAAAAGGTGAGGATGTCAAACCCATATTTTAGCTTAATCGCTACTGCCGCCCATTTCCTCTCAAGTCCACTCGCTTTAGCTTGTTCATGATTGAATCTTTTTTTTCGTTTTGGCAGGTTCTTTTCTCGGATGTAAATGCTTATGAGGTGAGTTTTGCATTAGTGTTTCCCTTTTTTGTTTCGTGAGAAGCTTGTTTTTGCTAGCCAAAACTATGCATGATGCCAAGCTGTGTACAAGTTGGAACAATACTGCGCGAACCATTGGCTATAGGCCCTCTCGCACTTCATTACCTCTTTAGATTGCACTGCCTAAAGTCAAAGAGTTCCCATTTCTGCACCTTGCTGAGTCGTTGTATGAAGGCTAGAGTTGCATATATGCTATGTTTAATCGTTGATTTGCAAGCATGAGGCTTCCAAACACTGCTCATGACGAAAGATAATAAAACAGCAGTATGCAGTTCTTGGCTTTTTTTTTATGGGTTTCCCTTGCGCTCGTTGGTTGCTAATCAAAGGCTGCTTTGAACTGTCCAGGTCGATCTGGGAACGGATGGCAGACATTGTTTTTGCAAGGCTAGTGATTTGTTGGCTGTAGTGGAGTAAAGCTTCAGCGAGCTCGATGCAACTACTCGAAGACATATTGCATAGGCTGAGTTTTTTAAGTTAAGCTTGAAAATCGTGTTCATGAACATCTGTTTTGGCCTTGTGTATTGATTCGTGCACTGAATCGGACTAGTGGCATAATAAGTTTGGTTACTCGGTCTATTAGTTTGTTTCATGTTTATCACTAAAATTTTCATTAATCAGTGGTTGCTTAATTTAAATTCTCATTTTATCCTTGGTCAAAGGCCGTCCATTTTCGACAAGTTTGTCTGATTTTTTTTTTTCATTCAATAGCATGGTTCGCCACGATTCGATTAGCAACAAGAGTATACCAAGATGCTTCATATACGAAGCCAAGTATGTAAACTGTGAAGAGAACCAAAAACTGCAGAGAGAACTCATTTCCATTTCACTGGCATTCCTATTGAAACGATTGATAAACTAAAACATGCGGCTAATCCCCTCTAGTACTTCTATAAAAAAACTATCAATACAATACTTGGATGCAGAAGCGTCATTGCATTCCAGCCGAAACAACAAACAATGTGAGCTAAGAAAATAAACGAGCAAGAAAAAACTAGAACTCAAACAAGCGCAGTTCGATCATCCCTTCTTTTCTTTTGGGAGAATACCAAGCAACAACTTTCCCTGACTTGAGAAGCCTCAGTGAGTAACTCAAGCTATATATCACATCTTCCAAATGTGCGGTCCTGTCCTTCCCTGATGATGGTGATCCCAGTGCAAACCTTGAATCCACTCGAGCCACGATGGGACCGGCAATCTGCAACAGACGTAACTGTGTTATTCACCACACCAAAGACGATCTTAGCTAATCATTTTGGTTGAGTTGAGAATCAACTTCTCACGCATACCTGCTGCTGGAAGATACAACTCAACCGGGGAGAAGACAGTAGATCATGATGGTCTGGATTGCTCTCCGACTTCCGGAACACATTGAAAACCTCCTTGGCAAGAGCTGAAGCTGAGCAGATATCCAGGCGAGCATCCAATCTTGTCAAGTCACCATAGTCCTTTCTAAACTTCCCGTGCTGCAAGGTATAGCAAACCGAGCCAAACAAATCTGCACTCACTGGGCTTCTCTTTCTACTGCTTGCTGATGAATCATCCCCACCACCGAGCCAGGCTGCACAGGTGGCCCCTAGTAATGCGTAGAAGATAAGAAAAGAAAATAATTCAGCAAGTTGTTGTGAACAAAATGCAGCAGGCAGGTTTCCAAGACTGAAAAGTAATTTTCTGCTAGAGAAATGTCATATATATAACAGACTTGGTCACAGAAACTAGTCAAACCTTGGAGGAAAATGACAGGTCTCCAAGTAGGCGATAATAGGATAGAAAGGAAGGAACCATCAGATTGTTAATCACGTGATTACAAGATCAAACATCCAGTATTTGGTGATAAAGCGTAAAGGAGCAATCCTGTTCCAGGATAGGATTTGACAGACGAGGTTAAGTTTTGACTGCTATGTATTTGTAAATGGATGTTAATGGCCTGAACTGCATGCCACTATCTGAATTGCATTTCTAAAACCCATTGCCTGCTTCTGTGTATTTATACATGAAAGATTATGTAAGAAAAGTGGGGAAAAACAAATATGGGAGATGCACTCTACATGGTGTATTTTCAGGTAGTTGCTACCTCGAATATCGGAGATTGCATCATTTTTAAGTATTTGAGATTGAATGTACTGATGTACATTTTCAAACACATCAAAAGTGCCAACGAAATCAATATCTTTGTTCAATAGCATACTATTGCCATTATCACTCTCCAAAATGGCCAATTAAATGTAACAGCAGGACAGGAACTAATACGATTCAATGAAGATAACTGAAAGGCAGCAACATTACCAATGATCCCAGAAATTGCCGAGTGTGGTTCCTTTAGACGCACATCGTAAGGAGGAGGAGTCCAAACAGGGCCTTTATCTGTCATAATGGCAGTGTCCTCCTTGGCATCCTTAACCCGCCAAAAGTCCTTGCTCTTCTCATAAGAACAGGCAGCCTTCCCACATAATCCAGGCATCAAAGAGCTGGGTACCTCACCATTCACTGTGTTAACAGCATCATGAGGCTGCCCGCCGTTTTTGTGTATGCCAAAACGGTATAGAAAACCCGATTCATTGGGGAGGGAAGCCATGTCTAACGATATCGACTCTGGCACATCCCAATACCCTCCTTTACGGTCAACAAACAGCTCAGGAAATCCTGCCTCCAATGTCACGTCGTGGTTAGGAAGCTGCAACACCACATTTCCAGCAATGGTTCAAAGTCACAGCCAATTAGGTTTCCCATAGAAAGGAAGAAGAAACAGAAAGCAGAGAGATTTACCTTGTGGAAGAGCATCATTTTGTAACGAGGTCTCTTCTTGTCACCATGACGTTCAGTAGAGAGCAAGACAGAGGAAGACGGAGATGGGGAAAACTGTGAGTAGAAGCCGAGGGAGTAGAGCGACTTATCCAAGACATGCTTGGCCACATTTCTGAATGCAGGGAGCTCCAACTCACCGCCATTGAAGAACTCTTTTCTGATGGATGAAATTAGTTTCTTGGGTCGGAATTGGCCAACAAGACCAAGCCACCTGCGAACCCAGAAATGGTCAAAAGTAAAGAAACACAAATCGAGAAAGGGGGAAGTTGGTGGGCGAAAGTGGGAGTTTACCAATCGGAGACGGAGAGCTTGAGGAAGGCGGACTGGAAGGCGAGGGAGCCATGATTGCGGGTGGGAGAGTAAGAAGGGATGACGCCGAGAGGGAAGCCATGGCCGAGGAGGGAGAGCTGTTGAATCCGGAGGGCTCGGCTGGCTCGAGATGCGTCGAGGGGGAATGGTTCGCCGGGGACGGAACGGGCGGAGCCTTCTAGGGTTTGAGGGGTTGAGACTGGCTGGTCCCAGAAGGCGGAATCGATTGCCGTCCGGAGGTTCGCCATTTTAGCAGCCTTATCGGTAGATTTTTACTGTTCTTTCTTCCAGCAGAGAGGCAAATGCTTGTTCTTGGAAACCGGTCCACCGGAAAATGAGAGAAATGAAATTGGTGGCGGCCGGCCGGTGGGGTTTTGATGAGGGGTTAAAGCTCGTCGTTAGCTGGCGCCGGAGCGATGAAGACAAAGGCGGCCAGGCCCATCTCACGGATTTGGGCCGAATTGCTTCTTATCGTCCCAATGAAAATGGAATTATTAAAATATTTTATGTTTTGATTACTAAAATTATTTTATTCATTTCTAATCACTAATTTTATACGATCATTTTTCATTCGTCATAGCTTACGTGATAATCAACTATCATAATACATCATTAAAAAATGAAATTAATCCAAATGCATTCTCAAGTCATCGATTTTGATTAAATAATCGCTTTCAATTTTTTGTATTTGAGGGGACATATAAAGTTTAATCAGATGGATGTTCTATTGAAATTGATGTAAGTTTTCACTATAATATGTTATTAATAATCATGACAATGAAATATATTATTTCTATTATGTGGTTTTATTTAATGTAATATATTAATGAGTATAATTAATCGGATCTAGAGATCATAAGTTTAATCAGCCTCATCAAAGCCTTTGCTGTTAACTTGGGAAGCGGGTCTATCACACACGCGGAATTGGCGGGCATTGTTTATGGTTTGCGGATTGCTTGGGAGAAGGGCTTAGGAAAATCGAGCTCCAGACTGACTCGACCACGGCCATTCAGCTGATCCAGGCAGCTCCTCCTCACAGCCCTCATGGTGTAATGATTGCCGCTGCACGAGAGCTGCTGCAGAAAGACTGGGACGTCCGGATCGTGCATGTATTCCGCGAGGGGAATTTTGCCGTCGGCCACCTTTCTTCATTTGGTCACACTTTACCGATAGGTTTTCATGTCATGGACTATCCTAGTCCTACCCTGAGTCACTGGTTGTTGTTGTTCGACAACATTGGGGCCCAATCCCCTCGTATTATTAATGCTTAAGGGTTAGAGCGCTCCCTGCGCTCTGTTTTCTAAAAAAAAAAAAAAAAACTACGCTCTCATTAGTCATTAGTCATTACGCTCTCGATTATAAATTTTTGAAGAAGAGACGCTTTCACACTCTCGCTTTCTCTCCCGCTTCGCTAATTGGTTAGCTAATTGATTTATTTATGACCATAATAGATAGGAATGAGTAAAGGATCCAAATGAAAAGTTATTAACAGTTACGGGTTAACGGTTAATTTTACAAAAAACCATGAAGCAAAACTAGTATAAGTATGCCTCCAATAAAAACTCCGAGTCAACAGCAACTCGGGCATCCCCTCAGCCTACCTCTTTCTCTCTGCGGATCCGGATCTCGATTTCGTCCGTCGATCTCTCCGGCGGCATCAAGGGTCGAACATCTCCGGCGGTATCTGCTATTCCGAAATATTCTCGGTCCGATAGTTTAGCACAGTCTGGAATAATGGCTCCTGTTTCGGCTCTGGCCAAGTACAAGCTGGTGTTCTTGGGTGATCAGTCTGTGGGTAAAACCAGCATCATCACCCGCTTCATGTACGATAAGTTCGACAATACTTATCAGGTAAATTTCCGGCTGGATCCGAAGCGGGATTCTCAATTGTTTTGCATTTCTTCTCCCTGTTTGATCCGATTAGAACTGCTGTTCTCGTTAACTTGCGTGGATCTGATTTGTTCGGTTCATTTGAATGCAGCACACTGCTAATGGTTACCGATTATGCGACCCGATCTGAGTGTGTGTAGAGTTGTGGTTTGTTTTCTTTGATTCGGAGCTTTCTAGGCCTAGCTGTTGTTGCTCATTTGACTATTAGGGAGGAAATCGCCATTCTTCGAATTCAGTTAAGAGCATTGGACCGTGGTTGCAGTTTTCTAGTACTGAAGCTTTTAATGAGCTGTTTAGAGTGTTAGCATGAGCAGTGACATTGGTAAATCGATGATTCAATGCCTGTTATGGTTTCATGTGATTTTATGATCTGTTATGTTTACTTGGTTTGGTTTTGATTCTCATTGGCACAA